CAGAGTAGAACCGCTGCTCGTCCACGTCAAGAGGAGTCAGCTGAGGTGGCTCAGGCATCTGGTTAGGATGCCTTCTGGACGCCTTCTCACCTGGCCTGGGAGCGCCTGGGAATCCCCTCGGAGGAGCTGGTGGAAGTGGCTGGGGTGAGGGCCGTCTGGGCTTCCCTCCTGAAGCTGCTGCCCCCGCGACCCGGACTCGGATGAAGCGGAAGAAAATGACGACGATTACGACGCTTTAAATATCAGTCAATAGCTATTAGTTATTGATGACATTTGGGAATAAAATAACAATAAAAATAATAATAATAATAATAATTATTATTATTATTATTATTATTATTATTATTATTATAAAATCAATAAAAGGCCTTAAAGGTTAAATAAGAAAAGATTATAACGATAATCTTTTCTTAAATATAACGATATCGCTGTGTTTTGTTAGGTCTGTGTAGTCAACATTTTAAAATTTTTGAGCGTCCCGTTCATTTTGACTGTAAACAAAGCCGTCCTCCACCTCCCCAAACCTGATTGGTTGTAAGGCAGATGCTGCTCCCTCATGTTGGGAGACACGCTCCACAAAAAACGTTCACGTGCCCAAACAAAGTTAGTGTGCTACAATATCGAACAGTAGAAACCATAGACTGTATACACTATGGACAACTTGGTTCTGCATTATGGATGTCATAACCAATAAAAACACTTTTTAAATATCACTTTATGTTTTTTTTGTCCTCTAACCTTGACTGTGCTCCAACACTGCTGTGAAAAATGTATTTGTCTATTAAATTATCTCATTACACTAAAATGGTTTTAGATGCAGAACTTTAACAGCCTTCAAATACACTAACTTTTGTTTGCCTCTGTGTAAACAATGTTTTATGTATAATTTTACTGAGCCAACACTTACTGTGTCACTCAGACCGTGACTCCGGATTGCTGCAAAAATGAAACTGAAAGGCCCAAGTAGTTTCTCCTGACTTTTATTCTGAAGGTGAAATACGCAATATCCTGTTCGTGCTCTCTAACTGGTTACCTTCACAGATAACAAAGTTCTTCCCTTTTTGTGCTCTGCCATCATCTGATTAGTCTGGCTGGACGGGACATCAATATCACGTGATCAAATTAGTCCAACTTTGCCTCACCGTAACCAATCAGTAGGTCTAAATAAAAATGGTGAGTTCTGAATTATGACACGTTATGTGGGTGTGAATCAACTGTTTATTATTAAGTAATAATAATAATAATTCAGTTATAATCTTAATATCAAGTTCAACAAAACACACTTTTTTAGGTGAAACAGAAAATTATTACTCACAATCCTCTAACTTCATGCACACTTAACAGTGAGTATGCCTCAGGGAGTCACTGTGATAACAGGATGCAAAGAGAGCCTGACATATTTACATTTTTTCAAAAGTACTGTAAACACACTGTAAATCTCAAGGTTAATATCTGCACATTAATGTCACTGTTGCTGTTAGAAAGCTGCATTAATAAGTGCTTGGTTAAGAGTGACATCTAGTGGCTGATGATGGCACGGTGGATATCATTATATTTGCACATGGGCGCTATCTAAAGACACAAATGTGTAACTGCAACTTGCCCATGCTATCAGCTGTCTGTTTCTGGCCATTTTCTAAATAAAAGGTGTCAAATATCATCCTGTCTATGTCTCTAATGAAATAAAATCATCTTTTCATTGTCTGCACATCAGGAATAACCTGAACTGATTAGATGTATTCTGCATTTTTATTAGATACTGTATAGACAAATGTATAACTGAAATTTAAGTTGCTCATTCATTGATGTTTCGTTGCGGTGTTCATTTTACATTCAAAGATCTCCTGCAACCACCACTATTAACCCTGTCCAGTGTGCTGCAGGCTCATCTTAATAATTTAATGTATCCTGGTTTCTCTGAAAGGTTTTATTGCCCCAGGATCACATCACATCTGTTTTCTTTGGGTCATGATTTTTAATCTAAATATGATTAAATACAAGAAAAACTTTTCACGAAACACTTGATACCAAAGGTATTAATAACGACTTTTATACAGACATGACAGCAAACACGTGCACATTTTGTACTCATGTCCACAATGCACCATGGATGCATGAATTTTTAATTAGATCGTATACTTGTGCAGCCCTCAGTGGCTGTATGAATTCACTGTCTCAGCTCATACATTTGCAGCAGGCCTTCAGCTTCTGCCCACTGAAAAAAAAAAAAACACAAGGAAAACCTTTGAGTGAATAATGGTATTGTGAAATTAAGAGCTATGAATACACCCAAAACAAAGTCCATTCAACAAAATACCTCCTGTTTACCTTAGAGCCGGTCAGGTCGAACCTGTTGACGTCAAATTAACCAACTTACCTCAGGGCAGTTCTGCTCTGTAGGACTCCTTTGACCCTCTTTAGTCATGCAGATCTTTGTCTCTTCACCACCACTACAAAGTGTAGATCACATTCTGTATGTTCTAAGTTAATAATAGTTCTTGGCCTCTTGATGGTTAGTGCATTGTCTCAATATGCCCTGTGGGTAGATAAGCCTTAGCAGATGCTATTTGTAGAGAATCAAAGCAGAATACCACACAACTGTGTTTGTCTACAAGATCACAGGGAACACATTTGTATTAGAGGAGGAGCAGGTTACGATCATAAAAACAGAAAATATAAATAGAGGTGGAGTTGAGTTTGGCATTATGATGCATATAAATTCACTCAAATCAGATCATCAGGAATGATGTGCAGCAAAATGTGTGCACAAGCCAGTGTGCAGGCACGCAAGTGTCATGTGTGCACAGCAGATGTAAACATAGCTTTTCAGAGCCTGCTGTTCTCCACTTCATACCCACCCACTTGTGGAGCAATTACAGCTTCAGCGGGCATATTATGATGCACTTTGAATCAAAAACCTTCTGTGAGGAGCTTTCTGTCCGTGTCCCCCAAAGGGATGTCTCTTATACAGGGGCGTATCCAGGGAGTGGTCGGGGTGGCATGGCCTTAATTAAAAATCAGGTCACCCCAAAGCAAAAAATCATTACTTTGATTGTGTTGCATAAAGCTTCAACTTCTTTGCATTTCATTTGATGATCTTTTTTTTGTGTAAGTACTCTTTGCTGTCAAAAGCGCTGTCTTTCAAAGAACTTTAAAAAATGGGGCCCAGTCAACGTGAAACTAAAGAGCATTGGTGCTACTGTAGATGCCAACAGACTACCAACAAACACAATGTTTGCAGGACTTCTACAACGAGGATAAAGTGACATAGTCCAGGACCCGAGGGAGGACAGTTTAGCGATGGCGCTACAACACGCTACAGCAGGTCCGTTTGACAAGAAACACTTCTGTTACAGACACTTGTCTTACTTTGTTAAAGCGGTTTACCTGTCCAGCAGAAAGGTGACAGGGTCACCAAGATCCCCAAGCGTCCCCCATCGACCCGGCTTCTTAGCTCTTGTCCAGTCTACCTCAGTTTTAAGCGCCCGTTACTCCACTAGAGTCCCCGGTATTTACTTTGTTCTTTTGCTTGTGTTTTCTGTACTTTCTGGTTACTTTCTACTGTCCGATATTGTAACAGATGAAATTTTTAGTCCTCTCAGACCCACGATGCATAACAATAATAATAATAAACTATAAGAATAAAACTATAAAAGTATAAATGTGGAATAAACAAATAAGATCAACAAAAGACTACCTTAAATACTCATGAATAAAGATAACAATATTTAAACAGCATAACAGTATAAACAGTGTGCAGTATAAATATAAGGAGGAAGGTGAGTGGAAGAAAGTGAATGTAAACAGCATGGCAGTATGTGGACGCAATAGAGCAAATAAATGCAATACAGTACGAATAAAGGTGCAATGATGAGTTTAGTTTAGTTTAGTTTAGTTTAGTTTAGTTTAGTTTGGTTTAGTTTAGTTCATTAAGGATCCCCACTTGTCTACACCACAGTGGAGACTATTGTTCCTGGGGTCCAGGCAAAAACATCACAAAATCACAAATCATACAAAGAAAAGTAAAAACGCAGTAATGTATATATATATATGTATATACATTATAAAATATAAACAAACAGGAATGATTGATATGAATGATATGAAACCCGATTATTGCACAAGTGAAGCCCAGTGTTATTGCACGGATAATGATACATTTACTGCACTTAGATCAATGTGATCAGTATGTTGGTTGAGGGGGACAGGTTCAACTCGACTTGTTGTTGTTGACTGCAGTGATAGCTCTCGGGAAGAAGCTATCCCTGAGTCTGTTGGTCCTTGTTTTGTGTGACCTGTACCTTTGGCCCGACAGGTCAAACAGGTGGTTCCCAGGGTGGTATGAGTCCTTGGTGATGTTGCCAGCTCTGCTCAGGTAGCGAGAGTTGGCAATGTCCTCCAGGCTGGGCAGAGGGCAGCCTGTGATCTTCTGGGCTGTGCAGATGACCCTCTGTAGTGCTCTGTACACCAGGATGCTCTCTATGGTGCCTCTGTAGAAGGTCACCAGCAACTTCTCCTCCAGGTTATTTCTCCTGAGCACTCTCAGGAAGTGGAGACGCTGCAGGGCCTTCCTCACCACCGCAGAAGTATTTGCGGTCCAGGAGAGGTCCTCTGATATCTGGGTGAGTGGGGTCACCTGCGATCCTGGTGGCTTTGCAGGTGAGGCGGGTGTGGTAGATGTCCGACACCAATGATCTTCCCAGTCTCAGGCATTAAAAATCCCAATTTCCTTCTGCATTCAAGACAAAAAATGATCACATTGTGTGTAAAAGAAAATATCCCATCCCCTCAATAATACTCAGTTTTGCACATGATTAAATAGGATGGATGCTTCCTTTCACTAGTCTGGTTGTGTGACCTTCTGTGTGAAACCTTCTGCCCTTCATCTGTGTTTTTGACAGCTCCTCTCCTCCCCCTCTTCCTCCTCCTCCTCCTCCCCCTGTTTCCCCCCTCACACAGCCTCTCGTTTCCCACAATGCTCTGCGAACACCACCACCAAGATGGCCGGCGCTATGGAGGAATATGAGAAAGAAGCTGGCTGCGTCCCTATTCTCCATCCTGAGGTACGGTGCTCACACTCCACTCGTTCACACGGGCGCTTAAACACACACAAAAAACACACCCGACCTGCCTATGCGTGGATGTGTGCGTGGATTAACCTCGCTTTTGTGGAAACTGCGATGCCCCCTGCAGAAGCACCGGTGGGGGGGCAGTTAGCTAACGCTGCTAAAGGTGCTAACGCTAACCCCCACCTCCTGCTGCATAGCAGGCAAACGCTGGGCAGATGTTCGTGTTAATGCGGAGCTAAGAGCTGCTTTCCGTGTTAAGAGCTCGTAAACACGTTTCTGACCCGCGACTTTAATGTGAAAAAGTCACATTAATGCATAAACCTGAGAGAGTAACGACGTTAGCTCTGTGGCTGTTATAACGTTAGCTGTGATGATGGAGATTGGGGTCAAGTGTACATGGGTTTACAACGCAGTGCTGTGGTTATAACACGTTAATATGAGCAGTAATGAATAAAAAGTGAATAAAAATCACGTTCGTTTTATTTATTTAGTCTCAGTAAAGATAATGTTATCAGCTAGCTAACGTTTCCACTCGGATGACAGCGTGTAAATTTCCCATTCAGCATTTCTCTCCCACTCAGCTAAAAAAATCGAAAACAGGCCTTAATGTTTGGTTTTAATCACTCAGAATAATCATTAACATGTCAGTTATTTGAATGAACAAACTTAATTCTCCTTTATTTAGTTGTTTTGATGGCAGTGTAATACAGGTTAACTGAAGAAGCATCACAAACATAAAGGTGTTTTTATAAAACATGAAGATTAACAGTAGAAAAATGACATTAAGCTATAAAGTAGGAACATTACTGCGCCATTTTTAAAAATATAAGATCTAAAAGAAAGAGGTAAGATGCTAAGTGAGAATATGAGTATTTACAACATAACTGTATATGATAATTAGGGCCGACCGATATGGATCGTTTGGGGCCGATGCCGATACCGATTATCAAGGGGGAAAAAATCCGATTTTTTAAATGTTGTTAATTTAAGTAATATATCCACTTATTTACTTATATTTTTTAACAAATGGCTACTTTTGAGCCTTTCGAACACTTCTTCAAAGAATTAAAGGCAGAAAACTCATTTCAAATCCTTTTTATTGCTAAACATTAAGCGTTTTTCTTCGTCGTGTTTACATAATATGACTTACACTACACCCCTGGCTATTTATTTTAACTGTAATAACGATGATAAACGAACTCTTTTCAGCTTATTATTCAGACTGTAGCAGCTGTTAGTCTGATTATTTTGTCAACATCCGTCTTGTCAAACTCACACACTCATCATCCTCTAAAATAAATACTCTCTATAAATAAATAGAAATAAAGCTAACTCACACACATCCTAAAAATGAGGAACACTGTGTGTGTGTGTGTGTGTGTGTGTGTGTGTGTGTGTGTGTGTGTGTGCATGTCTGAGTGTGCTTTGGTTTTGTGCTTGCAGGCCGTGTCTCTAGTGCATCCACAGCGCCATATAGCCATGTTTGCGATGTAATGCACATTGACACATCAATATTGTGATGTTTCAATGCGCAGTATGTAAGTCAAGCTAAACTACCTTTATGTGAGTGAGGGCAATTCGTGTCCAGCTATTCTGAGTCTGAACGTGTTTGTGTTTTGTCACCTGGTTCTGTGGGGTTTTCAACTTCAGCCACGCTGGTTAAGAGCTTGTCGTGATGTTTGAACACATGCATATGTTCTTAGTGATTATGTGCACGAGACTGATCATGCATCTCTAGATTTAGTTTTTACAAAATGAGTGACACACTTGATATCCATCCAGGATGTCCAGAGGATTCAGTCTCACATGAAACTTTAATGCATATAGAGTTAGTGTGTTTGACAACCTTTTTCATCCAAAATAGGAGTCTTTGTTGGTCGTGAACATACTTTTAATGTGTATATTGCTTATTTTCTCTGCACCTGTAAGCTTAACAGGAAGTTGTAGTTTTTTCAGACTGAACACAGCCTGGTTATCAGTTGTTGTCATCCGTGATAGATTATCTAATCATCTGGAAGAGCCGTGCTTGTCACACACATCGGTGTGACACCGTGACGGTTCTCCTCCTTTTCTCGAATTGTCTGGATTTGCTGTTTGATTTGTATAAGGCAAGTCAGGTGAGCCGTATATCGTGGCTGTGCATCATTTAAACAATGATTCATTTCTTTTAAAGCCTGTTTGGTCCACATAATGTGGGCGTACAAGTTAATAATTATCTAGTGATTAATAGAGGTGTTGCAATACAGTTTTCCTCCCTATACAGATTCTAATATCTAAACTAAAATAACAGAGAAGGTTGTGAGACTACCTCGTCCTCGCTTGTCTTCTCCAGTTTGGTCTTTTTCACTCATTTTTTTATACTGTTAACATGATCAAATGTTTGTGGCATTGTAAAAAGGAAATAACAACATAGACTGTACGTGTCTGCCAACTTTTTACAAACTTTACTGTAATCATTGGCAGCAGCAAAACTGTGTGTGCCAACATTCAATTCAAGTAAATGTCAGGGTCAGAGCATTTCTCTGCGTTTCCTTGAGAGACAGCTTTAAAACTCAACAGCTTCATTCTAATGTCACAAACCCTCTGTGGTCATATACCTCGGTTTGGAAGTCTCCTCTGCTGAACACGGTGTTGTTTCACAGTCTGGATTTTCTGGTTTTTAATGCTGCGAGATTGTTGACAGTTTACTAACTTTGACTCTCACTTTTCGCCGCTCAAGCACTGCTCTGTTTTTATTTGTCACATGATGAATGACCTGAATTCAGTCCCTCTATGACTGGTATCTGCACTGAAGCAGGAGGTCAAAATCTGGTCTCAGCTCATGTAAGATGAGAGTTTCTCTTTAAAATCTAACAGCCTTTTCCACCAGAGCGTTGAATGTAATAGTTCATTTCCTGCAGAACAGCATATGCATCTACAGTGGTGATGTTGCTTCATGGTTGGCAGTCTAATCTTCACACATGGATTTACATGACCACACATAAGGTCTATTCATAAGTATATTCTGCAGAATTATGGTCCAATTTCTTGTAACGGTTGCATTTGCAAAGATAATGACCATCCCTATATTGAGATGGCGAGGCTCTTTTTTAAATAGATGCTCCAGTGTTAGTTGATAACTTCACTGAAGACCTCTGGGTTTTATGCAAATAAGTATCAGGCCGTATCCTTGTTTGACTTTGCTCAGATTTGGTTGACCAACATTTTAGCTGGGGATGATATTTGGAGTAGGGCTGAGCGATATGGGCTCAAATCAAAATTAAGACGTTGGAGAGAGTGACAGCTGTAACAAGCACCCAAGTCTCAGTTGAAGATTAACAATAAGATATAATTTGTAGATAAATTAAAGCTTTTTTTAAAGAAGATAGATGATTTTTTATTATTTCATAATGTTGATGTTAATTGTTAAATATAACACATAATTACCTGTGCATACCTCTGTATACTTACTATGTATCAGGACTTATTATAAGAATATGCACCCACACTAGGGCTGTACAGGTGAGACTAGGGCTGGGCAATATGGCATCAAATTAATATCATGATATATCAGTTCACCTTAAAAACCTCAAATGGACGATAACTACTCCACAAGCTGCTCACCACCTCCCACATTAACTTCGTCTACTTCAGCCGCTACAACTTTTGAACCGGCCTCCATCTCCTCACCTGTCTTTCCCTCTTTGTTACGGACTGGATGGGGTGGAGTCATGTCTCTGACGTAGGACAGCGTCTTAAAGGGACATGAGACTATAGCCTACCTACACACATCCAAAACCAACCTTTGTTTATTTTTCTGACACAGAATATACCAATATTGGCAAAATGACGTTGGTTGTTTTTGTAAATTTCGATATCAGTAAATTTTTGGTTTATCACCCAGCCCTAATTTTAAGGTAAAGTTATAATCAATGTTGTACGTTATAAGATTGTTTCATTGATCGCCTGTGATAAACAAATAAATGCAACAAGAATAGGAAAACACCAGCATTAGATCAGCGTCATAAACCGACCATCAGCTGACCTGCCCTGCAAACATCTGCATCTGTTGAAACACTGACACCGGTCGCCCACTAATTGACAGTAAAGTAACATTTAAAAGCACGTTTAAATGCACAGCTTTTTAATGAGGATACCATTCAGTAATATCAGCTTGTTGAGTTGCAGTTATCGTTATTTGTCAGTTTGGAAATGAGAGTAAACGTGGTGTTGAGGTGGCTGAAAATGTCTCAGTTCCTTGAATAAAGGCGATAGCGATCATGACTCTAAAAACACCAGTAAACCCATGTTCACGTCTTGTTTATAAAACACACATTTAGACCATTTAGATAAGAGATATTCTTCTGGATAAAGCAGCTCTGAAGTGGTTTTATTGATCTGTTTATACAACATGATAAGTCTTTTGACCTTACTTCCTCTGCACACATGCACACATAGTCCTCCTCACCACATTTGCATTTAAATAGCATTGTTTCCCACCGTGTTGTAGATGAAATAGTTCCCCTTTGTGTGAACTGATTGAATCATTTTGCTGTTAGTCCTCACTGACTCTTTGAGACTCTTCCTCTTTGACACACAGAACAGATAATTTACAAGAAGGAAGGGCGCCACTCCTGATTACTGGAAATACCGCTATCATGTCTTCATTGCTCTTTCCTTTAATGCAATAAAAGAATGATAATTCCCTCCTTCCTGTGTTTGTCGACTGTTTTGATGTCACCTGTTGAGCCGACAGGAAAGACTGGGAGACTAAAACTGAGTGGTGGTCTTGTCAGTCTGGTCTTAGGGTTTGAGCCTGACCAAGCGCTTGAGTTTGGGCTTCAGGTGTGCAGAAACAAATAAGACTGAAGTGGTTTGTGATTGTTGGCAGAAGGTTATCATACAAACACACACAGATAAATGGCTCTGTTTTAAAGTGGTCAAAATCCAACTGGTGTCAAACTTTGTTACAGCTGATTTCTGCTCAGAAAAATCACATAATCCGAACCTGAATTTTCCTGCAAAGAGTCACGGAATTTAGTTTTGGTGTGTTGTTAGAGCACTGACTTGTTTTTCCCAATGTTGCATGAGTTGACAGGTGCAAAAGCCTCCAGCATCTTAAAATACTTATACAGTAGCTTCCTCTATGTGACCTTTAGGTAACACACCTAACTGTGAAAGATTGATCCTGCACTTTAATGAAGTTTATCCCTCTCCACACCGCAGGCATGGCTCAGAGTTACCCCCTCTTTCAGCCGCCTGCTGCTAAGAATCTGGGTCATTTAGTAGTTGGCTGTGGCTGAAAGAATGAGAGGTACCTGAATGAGAGCATTAGAAATGTCGCTGAAACTCGCAGAAAGAAGTCCTCCATCTCGTCTTTAAACCAGTCCAACGTGTCGAGTGCAAACGGCTCCACTCTCGAGGAATGTAAGCCACAAACAGCTGCGACTTTCAATCTCATCTGAACATGCAAATGAGTGCGCTCGTAGAAACGGCACTCAGAGTTAGCCGTTTGTTTGATCGCTCCTTTTATAGTGCAAATTGGACTGACTCTGTTTCCCCATTATTCCCCTCATAAAGACAGTGTTTCCTCTGCATCCTCCTCATGTATGGATGGATGCAAACGGTGCTTTGAATGTGAAATGACTCCACTGAGATGTCTGTAATTTCAGATCAGATCTGATTGTGAGCTGTGGCTGCAGCACAATAACTCTGCAATGTGATTATCCAAGGATGGAGTGATAACTGTCATTATAAGGCTGGGCGATAAGTCGATGTTGTCAGTGAACCAGACTTTCAGGTTTGGGATGTTTTTTTAGACGGAAATCTAGATTTTCTTTTTAACTTCCTCCTCAGGGCCCCGCGGTTCACCCTTCCAGTTAACTTCCTGCAGAGATACACACACAAACATGGCTGCTTGTGTAAATGAAGAATTCGCTCCCAGAGAGGCTGCCTCATCTACACAACAGTACACAACAGTACACAACAGTGCATGTGGGCTAATCCCTCTGGGCCAAACATTTATTTTGTGTCATTTCTTTGCCATGTTTAATCTTTTTAGAAGAAAATTTTATTAAAGTGAATGTAAAAAAAAAATCAAAGATAGTTTTGTTTTTGTATTTTAAAGTCAGGGTTGGCTGATGATTGACCTTCACTGATTAGTATGCAGATATTAGACAGATGAGCTGTATCAGTGCTTATTTCAAGGATGGGCAAATATGAATAGATTAAAAATGCGCTACTCTGGCTCTGCTGCTGCTTCCCCTCTGAGTCTGTTGTGTCACCTAGGGCTGGGCGATAAACCAAAAATGTACCAGTACTGAAATTAACGACAATAATCAACGTCATTTTCCAATATCGGTATATTTGGTGTCAAAAAAATTAATCAAAGTTGGTTTTGGAAATGTGGAGGTAGGCTAGGGTCTCATGACGCTTTAAGACGCTGTCACCATAACAAAGAGGTAAAGACAGGTGAGGAGATGGAGGACGGTTCAAAAGTTGTAGCGGCTGAAGTAGACGAAGTTAATGAGGGAGGGGGTGAGCAGCTTGTGGAGTAGTTATCGTCCATTTATCGTTATCGAGGTGAACTGATCAATATATCGTGATAATGATTTGAGGCCATATCGCCCAGCCCTAATCTCACCTATACACCCCTATTGTGGGTGCATATTCATATAAGAAGGTCATATATAAGGTCCTGATACATAGTTAGTATACAGAGGTATGCACACGTCATATCTAACCTTTAATATTAACATTATGAAATTGTAAAAAATTGTCTTCTCTGTCGCCAAATTACGTCTTAATGTTAATCTTGGTCACTTTTTACAGCTGTAGCTCTCTCCAACATAATAACCATCTCATCTGTAAATTAATAAATGTGCTTTTTGAGAGAGAGAGAGAGAGAGAGAGAGGATGCTGCTGTCCAGCATTTTGTAACTCCAAGCACGTCACGTGACCTCTCCCCCCAAGGAGAGCGGAGAGGGTACCATCTGTTTCACTCAGCAGCTCCATTGACAAAAGCAAAGCCTGCTGCCTCCGCGCTCAGATGATGTTCCAACCTAAAATCAATGGTTCACATGGAGAGGATACGGCTTCAATCAGCAGTAGTAAGAGTGCTGCCTGTCCTGTACTTCAGCAGCGAAATAATTAAGAAGCAGAAAAATGCACAGGCTGCAATTATCACTTCTGCTGCAAATACCACCGTCGGCGTTCTTTAGATGGCAGAAAGGAGAGGTGACACGGTGCCTGGCATGGGGTCAGAGGTTATCTCCACGGTTGCCTGAGACGGAGGAAAGTGATTAACATCTGGTGTCTGAGTTTCTAGAGTCAGGCCCTCTAACCTCTTCTTTATTGATTAACAGGAAAACAGTTTTCTTGTGTGTGTGTGTGTGTGTGTGTGAGAGTGTGTGTGTGCTGTCCAGATGAAGTTGCTTGTTTGTTGGTTGATCTGTCATAATCAGGATAAAATAAAGTACCCCGTCTTTTCTCTGGCTGCCGAGCCGGTCTGAATAGCTGCTCGGGGTAGTCGAAACAGATTGCACTGAGATGTGTGAATGACTGAAAGTTGGCAGCGAGCAGTACCTGGCAACACCGACACTTGAGGAATACAAGAATGAGAAAAAATTGGACTGTCAGTTTCATTTTCTCTCGCCTCACACATCCTCCTCGGTCTGTGTTAGTCTCCAAAATAAAGCGGCTGTAGTCCTCCCTGTTGATCCAGAAGACATCACATCATCCTGATTTTAATATTACGGTTTAATGATTAGGGGGGCTGTGAAGTCCTAGTCAACTGGTCGACTTACCCCCAATTTTCACAGCGTCCAGAACAGCTCTGATCTGAAACAGCAGCAAATTTTGCTGTACGCCAATTTCTATTGGATCCGTTTGTGAGGCGAATTTTGTGATGGATTAAGACAGCGGTAATCGCAAGAACTCTCAAGAACCCACTTATTTGCGTGCAGTCGCGCGATAACAAGTTGTCTCTGTAGCCACATAACCATATTAGCAGTAGATTGTGTCCTTCCAGAGGAGGAAATCTACTTCTAGACTTCTAGAATCAGCATCTCCTCATCCATGGTGTCATCGGGGTGAAATGACGTCTAAAAACCTTTCACTTGTTCGTCCCCGCCCATCTGCACGGTGTGAAATACGATCCTCCTGAAACACAGTATTTTATTTTTAAAAGAAGACGGATGTTTTATTTTGTGTCTGTGCCCGACTTCCTCTCCAGCACGGGTTAATCTGTGCTGAATTTATCCGCCGTGCTCCAGCGTCCGGAAAAAATCGAACTCTTGCGATCAGCTGTGGAGTCCGGCGATCCGCAGAGGAACGTAAAGAAGGCGGTGGAAATTTGACACATTAACTTGAATGGTTACGACCAGCTAAGATCGGCGGATACGGATACAGTTTGCGGATACTTTTCGTAGCCGTTCCGGATGGGGTGGAAATTGGGGGTAAACCCCAATCTACTGCTTATATGGTTAGCCAATGTGGCGAGAAACAGCTTGTTATCGCACGATTGCATGCGAATCTGCGGGTTCTTGTGAGTTCTTGCGACTCCTGCTTTCCGTATCATGAAATTCGCCTCACAAACGGATCTGGTAGTAATTGGCAGACCGTGAAAATCGCTGGCGTTCTGGATCAGAGCCATTTCGAAAATTTCAGGGTTTTAGTCAACCAAGAATTTCTTTGGTTGGTTGCAGCCCTAATAATTGGACCTTTGGTTTGACTTTTCTCTGATTTGAACAAACAAAGTCTTGACACAGTTTATGACTCTGTTGGGCGTGATCACACAGCTTGTTTAAATATTTGCAAATCTCCTTGAAATGACTGGAGTTTAATTTAGAGAAGGATCACAATCACAGCTGACAGCCGGAGAGAAAACTGAATTAGATAACATCCTAAAATAGTTCAGCAGCCCAAGTGAGTCATTCCTCATCCAAGTGTGAGAAAGAATCGCTCTGTATCGGTTTTTGTCATGCGCCCTCTTCGTCTCGCTGCTCCACCACCAGTCCCCCATGGAGGCAGAAACGCTGGCTCAGCAGATCCTTCTGGATGTGTAGGAAAGCCAGGACTCAGAGGTTAGATGCTGCAGCTTCAAGTCTCTGTGGCCCACATGCCTCAAGCTAGCAGCACCGCATACTCTTGACTTATCCTCTGAGACTAACCGATTATTCCTATGTATCATATATCAACCAGAAACTTTGGGAATGATATACTAGAGCTTTTTTTTTTAAGTATAAATATGACAGTTTTTGATAAAGTTTAGCTACCACGTCTTCAACCCTTTAACAGATCCTAATATTGTGTGTGATCTCAGCTCACGCAGATCTCAGCAGCAGCAGCGTCAGAGCTCTGTGTTTACAAGATGCATCCCTCCCTCGTCTCCGGGTGATGGAGGCTAATTGTGGTTTCCGTGGTGTTACCATGGCAGCTAATTGAATACGAGCAGCTCAGTTGTCACTTGTTTGTGACAGATTAGATCTCCAGCAGGAACAGGGCTCAGTGAGATCATTTGTACTCCATGGCCTGTACGTCCGCCTGTGTGTGTTTGACTCTGCAGTGATCGGAGGAGGAGGAGGAGGAGGAACTGTCCTGTCTGTCTAACTTTCTGTCTGATTCTTCGTTTCTTGTTCCCAAACTAGTTTAATTCATGGATATTTTTAGAGCTGTTTGTCAAATGTTTTTGCAGACGATTCACAGTTGAAACCTCTAAAGTAAAGATGGCTCAGTTTCTGAAATCGTAGCAGTTCATTCAGGTATTACACCTGTGCCAAAAATGCACCACTTTGCAGGATTAAATCTCTGTTGGTGTCCTTCGATGAGGCCAAACTTTCCCACGAGAGTCAGTTAGAAAATTGCTTATAAATTAGGGCTGGGCGATAAACCGAACATTTACCAATACCGAAATTTACAACGATAACCAACGTCATTTTGCCCATATCGGTATATTCAGTGTCAAAAAAAGAAACAAATCAAAGTTGGTTTTGGATGTGTGTAGGTAGGCTATGGTCTCATGTCTCTTTAAGACGCTGTCCTACGTAACAAAGAGGGAAAGACAAGTGAGGAGATGGAGGACGGTTCAAAAGTTGTAGTGGCTGAAGTAGACGAAGTTAATGTGGGAGGGGCTGAGCAGCTTGTGGAGCAGTTATTGTCCGTTTATCATTATTGAGGAGAACTGATCAATATATCGTGATATTGGTTAGAGGCCATATTGCCCAGCCCTATAATGAACCGTTTTAAAGATGTCACAGAGGGTTTCCGATTTGCCATTTCAAGATTGACATTTTTAAATCGAGTAAAGTTTCTGTTTTCCCCTTCAAATGCTCGTTGTTTCAGTTTTTCTTGGCTTTGAATGGAAATCAGAGATGTCATCAGTCTGATCTGCTCCCCTCACAGATTTCCGTCCTCTGCTTAAATCTCATATATAATGTGCTGTTTGGTTTAATACCCATTTACAGACTCTTTAAATATGTTCACGTTCAAAGATTTGTCCCACTCTCTGTGGTTATACTCCTCTTTACGTTCCCTCTCTGGGTTTAGAGCTGCTGCTCATGAATATACACAGTAAATTATCTGCTGACAACTTCCTTAATTCATACTTTGGTTGATAATATATCATCAAACTGTTCCAGAATTTAATAAACCTGTACATCACTCACTTTTTCTTTCTCTCTTTTCAGGAACTCAAACCTCAGAGTCACTACAACCACGGCTACAGCGAGAACGTCAGCCGTAAAAACCATGTGGACGACTACAGCACCTGGGACATCGTCAAAGCCACACAGTCAGTTCATAATCATAATCATATGTGTAAATCTCTGTGTGTGGTCTCAGGATGTTCAATTGTGAAATGATTGTGTTTTTGTGCTGCATTTCACCCTGTACATCCCTGAGAAGGTTGTCAAAAAGGCGGTTATTATTAGCGTTTATAATGAGTGGGTTGATACCGTGGAGTAGCGTGCTCTCTGGTCAGGCGGAGAGTGTCTTAAATTTATCATCAGCTCGACATATTTCATGCTTGGTGGACTTTTTTCACGCCTGATTGATCAGTCAGTGAGCAGAGTTATTTCTCACAAAAGGAAAAAGACTCCGGCACAGACGGCCACGATGATCAGATGAAAAAAAAACGAGAAGCAAAGTTTAAAGGTAGACTGAGGAAATGTACAGCAGGATCCAAACGTCTGTTCGAATAGAGACAGAGGCAGCTGATCAGTACAGAGAAGAGGAAACAGAGGGAGTGAAGTGAGTCTTACCACCAACTAACCCTTCAGTCCAAAGAGTGTAACATGCGCGAGTGGATCCCACCGATCAGCAGTACGGTCTGATCAGCATGACGTTAATCGAAATCTACACCACATTGATTCAGAGGAGGGTTATGTTCCGGCTTTACAGATGGAAGTGAGCGATAAAACAGCAGCACTGAATGAAATGAACAAACATCCTCTCTCCGTCACTCGCTGGATATTTGGCTTTATGTTTGCTTATAATGGCATTGACATAATAACAGTAAATACATGTACAGTGAAATGATGATCACCATACATGTGTGGAAACTGATAAATGAGAACAGTTCACAGTTTCTGAACAAATGAATGAAAGAGTGGATGTTCGAAAAGTTCCTGTTTCTTTTGAAGGGAATCATTCAAACTAGGGATGTCTCGATCTGATATTATATCGGTCCAATATCAGCAAAAAACTCATAAAATCCCATCTCCTCACCTGTCTTTCCCTCAGGTGGAGTCACGTCTCTGACGTAGGACAGCGTCTTAAAGGGACATTAGACCATAGCCTACCTACACACATCCAAAACCAACTTTGATTTACTTATTTATTTTGACTTCAAATATACCGATATGGGCAAAATGACGTCTGTTATTGTTGTAAATTTCAGTATCAGTAAATTTTCGGTTTATCGCCCAGCCCTACAGATGGATGGACATGTCTAACAGCCTGAGCTCCCTGCTCGTAGCTTCCCACTTTGAGCTTTAACAGATTTTTAGTCGAGCTTTTCTCTTCTAAAAGGAAAAGCCCTGTTTGTGTCTTATTTGCTGGTGTACTTCTGTATTAACCGTCTTCTATAGAAAAATATGACAAGCTCTGAGGATGTAGGTGGAGGGAGGAGAAAACGTCCTCCTGAGAAAACAACAGAACGTTTTTGTCACGGTGAAACAGATTCATGCTGTTTTGACTCGAGGTTCGAGCTTCTTTTGAAAGTTGGGCCTCAGTGTGGGAGTCTTGTTCGTGTCTATTGTTTGCTCATGTTGTGTGTCTTAATGTATTGGCACATTTTGTGTCTGTGTGTGTTTGGGTTTTATCAGTTCAGCTGAGTTATCATCCATATTTGTGCAGCTGTTTAATCCCCCTCTCTTCTTTTCTCTCTCTCTCTCACTCTCTCTCTCTCTCTATCTCTCTCTCTCTCTCTCTCTTCCTCTCTCTCTCTCTCTCTCTCTCTCTCTCTCTCTCTCTCTCTCTCTCTCTCTCTCTCTCTCTCTCTCTCTCCTCTCTCTCTCTCTCTCTCTCTCTCTCTCTCTCTCTCTTCTCTCTCTCTCATGTTGTGTGTCTTTCTTAATGTATTGGCACATTTTGTGTCTGTGTGTGTTTGGGTTTTATCAGTTCAGTTATCATCCTGCAGCTGTTTTCCCTCTCTTTTTCTCTCTCTCTCCTCTCTCTTCCTCTCTCTCTTTCTTCTCTCTCCTCTCTCTCTCTTCTTCCTCTCTCTCTCTTCTCTTCCTCTCTTCCCTCTCCTTCTTTCCTCTTTCTCTCTCTCTCTCTTCCTCTCTCTCCTCTCTCTCTCTCTCTCTCTCTCTCTCTCTCTCTCTCCTCTCTCTCTCACTCTCTCTCTCTCTCTCAGGTACGGCATCTTCGAGCGCTGCAGGGAGTTGGTCGAGGCGGGCTTTGATGTTCGGCAGCCAGACAAAGAAAACGTAACGCTCCTCCACTGGGCCGCCATCAACAACAGGATAGACTTAGTCAAGTGAGTTTGACGACGATGATGATGATGATAGGTGTTCATAGTAACAAGTTACACACCTGAATAACACTGTAAACATCCAATGTAACTTCAGTCTGGAGTGATCTGAGTTTAATACTTTGAGTGGGACTTAAAAAAAGGACAGGGTCATAGATCGATGCGGGAAAGAGGTTCACTCATGTATTTGTTTGTGCAGGTACTACATATCAAAGGGGGCCATAGTGGACCAACTTGGAGGGGACCTGAACTCTACACCTCTGCACTGGGCCACCAGGTAACACACTGATCAGCCATCTGTTCTGTGGAGGAGATTCTGGATCTACAGAGATCCACCTTTTTTAAAAATCTGACTTAAAATATGATACAATGATCGGTGCCTTCAAAATAAAATGTTATTTTGTCTTTTATTAGATTTATTTCAGTTGTACTCAGTTATGGCAGAAACTGATTTATTGTAAATGATATATAAACAGTGAAGATAAAAAGAGAGTGAACAGCAGCCCTACTGTCTTATATACCTAAATATATTAAAATGAACAATATTAGTCTCTTAAAAATGTAAATTAAAGCTTTTGTTCCAAGTTTTTAATAAGGATAATAACTTTATTTTTATAGCACTTTTAAAAACAGTGGTTTACAAAGTGCTTTGATAAATGGTCAGAAAGCACAGAACGTCGGCACACAGAAATAAAAACAAATAAAAACAAAAAGCTCAGTTAAAACAAGATTTGAAGGCACAAGGAACCCAGACAATATAAGAACCCTGCAACATAAAATGAGACGAGGACCAAAATAAAAACAAAAAATATACAAGTATAACAAAAGCTGAAAAGACAGTAAAGCCGAAATACGACGGAGGTAAAAAAAATAAAACATCATGAAATCTAGAGAGATATATTTCTGGGTTTCTGATTTTCTACTTTTGTGTCACATCAGATTTTACAAACAAAAAGACAAAACCTTATGTACCAGTGCACAAAGCAGCCATCTTTGGGCATGTATGTCAGTTTTTCTTTAAATATAGGAGTATGTTTTTATTAACTTCCTTTAGATCAGTTTATTCTCTTGAAAAAAAAAGGTGACCTGTGTTTTGTGAAGGTTTAAAAACCAACACTTCTTCAAACACACATTTAGTCTGAACGAAATGTCGTTTTTGTGACTGTCACTCAGTCTTGGTGAGAAGGGACAGGTCACACGAGATCCACCCCTCCCATATACGGAGCAGACAGAGGGGCATGAAGCGCTGTCCTCCTGAATTATTAAAAAGCTCCACAACAAGCATCTGCAGACACTCAGGAGTCCTGTGTCACATCCCCACCTCCCCTGAACCACTGACCAATAACCTTTCAAAGCCCCCCAGCCTCCTCGGCTCGTGTGTTCAGACACCTGCCGGAGCTCAACGCTGACTGTTGTCCGTCCGTTTTCACTCTCTGCATCTAGATGTTTGTGTGCAGCGAAAGAGACGGAGCGCAGCCCTCCTTCAGGCGGCGAAATGAAAACGCATGGATTTGAATTGATGTCGTTTTTAATCGGTTTCTTTTGAATCCCTGTGGGTGTAAGTTTACATGCAGGCAGGTTTGGTGATAAAACACTTGAAGTTCATTTTAGTTAAAGCCTGGAAACCTTGAATAAATCAGCGTCTACTTCACTGAGGGAGACTTTAAATGATAAAAGTCAGTCAGTATCACACCAGCGTTCACCTTTGGTTGTTCAGACAGCGCTGTTTAATCACAGTGGGAGTAAAGACACCCTCGTACTTCGACTGTTTAGCTTCACTCACCCACTCAGCATGTAAGTGGGCGCTCCAGTGGAAACGGTTTTGGCCTCTTAACCCCCCGTCCAATCCTCTTAAAGTCTTTCATTTGTTTGTCGTCCCATTGGACTGTTTGTTATTCCTCAATAAACCCTGAATGAGGAAAAGAGGAGGAGCGAGTAACCGTTAAATTCAGAAGAGCTGATCAATCTTCTGAGGCTGTCAGAGTCAAGTTTGTTTTTCTGTTTCTCCTCCTAGACAAGGACATCTATCCATGGTGGTGCAGCTCATGAAATACGGCGCAGACCCGTCTTTGATCGACGGCGAGGGATGCAGCTGCGTTCATTTAGCCGCGCAGTTTGGACACACCTCCATCGTGGCTTACCTCATCGCCAAAGGACAGGTAGGGAACGCCGGAGCTGAAAGAGAACAATCTGATCTTATTGAAATCTGGCTGACTGTGCTCAATGACAGGTTTGAGGTTTGTTTATCCATCATTTTGAGACAGACGTTTGCTGCACCGCAGATCCACACTGACTCAAACTTGCGTACGCGATGTCAGACCTGTCGTGACATTTGATCGTGTCGTACGCTCACGTTCAAATTGATAAATGCCGATCCTTGCATTGAAATGGTCGTACGGACAGTTTTCTGTACGTTCGTTTGATAAATGAGGGCCAGTGTCTTTTCCTGTTGATGTGGCGTTAGGCTGTCTTTGATATTATATTTGAAGCGCCTATTCTGCCCACTAGAGGGAGCTCTAACGCTTCTATTCCACCTCTCTCCTCCTCCTCCTCCAGCTGCCTCAGTTTAATGTATCTCTCCTTTATTTCAGGATGTGGACATGATGGACCAGAACGGCATGACTCCTCTGATGTGGGCAGCTTACAGGACGCACAGGTGTGTGTTTGGTAAAACAGTCGAGTTTCTAGACTGAATGCATGTTGAATATTTTTGACCGTGATGATGAGGAGGGGGGGGGAGTCTCCCTGTGCTGTCAGGGCACCTGAACCCTCATACAAGCCAGGACATGTTTCTGCTGACTGTAGCCGAACACAGTGACACACAGCCTTGTCATGTGTAAATGAGCGGCCATTCATCAGACAGAGTGCTAACACAGGAAAACAAGTCCAAGTCTGACTGCTCAGCTTTATCTTCTTCAGCAGGAACGCCTCCATTTGAATTTTCCTCATTTGATTATTTGATCCATGAAAAAGAGGGTTATGATATTATAACTTAAAGCTCCCTCTTCTGCATTTGTTAATGATATTAGAAATTAAATACTTGTATAAGGCGATTTTAATTTTACTTTTGTATTCGGCAGTGTGGATCCAACCCGGCTTTTACTGACCTTCAATGTTTCCGTCAACCTGGGCGACAAATATCACAAGAACACGGCGCTTCACTGGGCGGTCCTGGCCGGTAACACCACCGTCATCAGCCTGCTGCTGGATGCTAACGCTAACGTCGATGCACAGAACATTAAGGTAATACGTGTAAATCTGGTCTCAGCTCATATAGCTCATATGTTTTTGTTCTGTGAGCGCTGACCGGTATCTGCTGTCCTTCAGGGCGAAACCCCGTTAGACCTCGCAAAGCAGAGGAAGAACGTGTGGATGATCAATCACTTACAGGAGGCGCGGCAGGCTAAAGGTTACGACAGCCCGTCCTACCTGAAGAGACTGAAGATGGACAAGGTGAAGACCGACACATGGAGTAGATAAACACCACACCATGAGGATTATCAACTATAGATTATTCTCAAAACATGCAAATGTAACCAGCTCACCTGTCAGAAAACACGCCTCCCGAACAGACGTGCTCGCACACGCCTGTTTGAGATGAACTTTTGCACCGCTGCGGTGTCACTGCGTGTACCAGGTTGTTACCTTTCAGTCCAAACATGTCAGTTTGACACCCGTTTACTACTTCTCCTGTTCCCGACTAACCAGACAGTCTGACAGGAAGGAGACGACTCGTAAACAATAGGTTATGTTTAACACCAGAGCTGCCGGAAAACACCAGAACGAAGTCATTTTCTCACACGCTCCGGTCTGATCAGAGAGGGTGGTTTTTAACATTTTTAAAGAGGTTTTTAGATACACATCTGGGGCTGTTTGCTTTGCTACCAGGAAACTAACATATAAGCCTCATGATAGATGTAAATAAAGGTTTTCAAAAGTGCTAAAACTAAATACTAAAGAGGCATTTAAGTTATTGTGGCGTCAAGATGAAAACAAAATGCAGGAAACACATGGTTGGCAGGAGTAAATATGCCGAGGTGATTTTCAAACCAGCCTTTTCATTTTTCCTTGTTTGGGTCTTAAAAAGTCTGATCCTGAATTTGTTTTAACTCTGCTTTAACTTTTTGTTGTCTCCCTGTTTGTCTGCTGGAATATCAATAGTTGAAAAAGGTAAAGTGTTGAACTAGAAAGATGAGAAATAGACCTCTGGATATTTGTCTGTCTTACTACAACACTACACAAACAAATGTCAAAATAGAAGTGTGCAAGTGAGAACACACAACATTTACACACATTTACACCATATCAGCTGTTTATTGTGCAGTTAAAAAATCAAGGCAAGTGTTTATAGTTTATGAGGTTTATAAATGTAATAGTTACAAAGTTTATACAGCGAATTTTAAAGTGCTTCACACAGGATATTAAAGAAGTCATAAGTGATTGTTTATGAATGACACTCTAAGAGTTTTTTATTTACTCCTGTTAGAGAAAAGCTGCTTTCTAAAATCTAGATTCAGTCAGACACTTTTGGAAATGAGCTTTGGTCTGAGGTTCACGGTTTTCAAGTTGGTAGTAGGACTGGGCGATTTGGCAAAAAAAAATGATCAGGATATATTTTTTCATATCGTCCGATCTCGATTATTATTGCGATTTGTTTTTAAACTTCCAGTTATAAAGCATCTGTACTAAAAACTGAAGAATTTAGAGATTATTTCAACATTTTATTAAACAGATCTGTTGTGTTGCCGGTTTTTGAGGCACCGACCACCGACATACCGCCACACAACCGACGTTCAATAATTTTCATTCTCAACAATAACATCTTCGGAGGATGACTCAAAGTCACAGCTGACTTCTATTTTGCTGCCCTCAGCGCCGCATTTATCTTCAAGTTCAGACATTCTGTTTACTTCTCCTGTAACTTATAGAAGAGAGCAGGATCGACTCTGATTGGCTGTTGTGACGCACATTTCCACCATGTTTGATCGAGTAAAAATGCTCACAGCTGATCACCGTGATCGAACTGAAATTTATCACGATCATATAATCGCCCAGTCCTAGTTGGTAGGTTTAGTGAAGACCTTTTCTTCCTTCATAGATCCAAACAGTCATTGCAAATCTTTCCTCTCCTGTATCGTCTCTTGTCTTACTCACACCCACGCCTTATAAATCTACTTTCCCTCTTTTGATTGTCTTCGTCTTCGTCATGTTTACCCCGTCCCTTAAATTCTCTGTAACACCGCCTTCTTTTCAATCCTCCTCTCTTGCTGTGTTCGACCCGCTGATTCTACCTTTGCTCTCCTTCCTCTGTTTCCTGCAGGAGTTCAGGCAGAAGGTGATGCTGGGAACCCCCTTCCTGGTCATCTGGCTCGTTGGTTTCATCGCCGACCTGGACATCGACTCCTGGCTGATAAAGGGAATCATGTACGCCGGCGTCTGGGTCACTGTGCAGTTCCTCTCCAAGTACGTCTCAGTTATACTGCACCTTTGAGTATAATGCAAAACAAATGAAAAGAGAAAAAATCCGACCAGAGGACATGTGCGATCAGGCTGTCCTCAGTGCTGTGGGATGATAATGACTTCATGCATGAGCTTCTGGTGTTTATTTAAGAAGATGTGGGATGGGATTCAGTCTGTAGACTCTGCTGGCTTTGAGATCTGGGATTAACGTGATTTGAGGGGATTTATTTTCTTTTTAAGAAGCACAAAAGACTCCTCTCCGGGAGCGTCGAACAAACTGTACATGCACGAAGACTAGCGTGCAAACAAACAGACTCGTGTCATTTCTGATAATCCACACTGTGCAATTACCTTCGGCACACACACACACACACACACGTTTTAACCCCGTCGTCTCGTCCCGCTGATGTCGTTTGTTGTTCCCTTCACTCACCGTCATCTCTGGACTACAATAACATACATTACCCAGCGTGTCGCCTCTACATTTACTGACATTCTTCACATGCTTCCTCGTTAAAACAACAACCGCGGCTGAGAAGACCGTGGATCCGACCGCCGAGTGTCGTCAGGTCACGGTTTGGTTTATTTTTGCTGCTTCCAGACTCAAAGGACTCGGATCAAACGCTCAGGTTTGCGTCCGTCCATATGTGCTACAGTGAACAGGTTTAACATCTGCTGGAAGAATGTCTTGATGTATGAAACATGGACAGTATGAGCAGAGCGGGACCTGTGGTGGGACTGAACGATCATAAAGGGAAATTCTGGTCCAGTGTAATTTCACTGAATCAGATTTCTTTGCACCCTGCAGTCTGTTAGACGAACACTTTAGCAGGAAAAACAACTCTGAGGTTTGATTGTCTCGGTTTTTTGGAGACGGATGTCACCATTTTAGATTAAGAGAGGTAATGAGACAGGTAAAGGTGCGCACCTGTCCTTAATCATGCCTAAAATTCAGCCGCATTTAACCGACATGGATCACTTTTATCTGAATCTACCTCTGTGCACATGTGAACATGTTTAAATCTGCTGTGAAGAAGGTATTTCATGATTAGTGTAACTGATTTAGGCTCCATTTATACATACCTGCTTATTTTTAAAAACATGAACCATCGTTTGCACCCTTCGTTTAGATGCAAACAGAGAATTCGCCCCTGAAAAAGATGCTTTTTCAAAGATCTGTTTGCATGTAAACAAAGAAAAACGGCGGTAAACAGAGATTTGGGTAGCTGACGGCAGATTGAGCGCCAAGAACTTGGTTAAATGTGACGTTGTTTACAATCTACAGTCTGTGTTTACAATCTATGGTGATTATAGATGCGTGCAGGATAGCAGTCCCATTTATTCCGGTTCAATCCCTTCATATTTGTTTGCATTTGAATCTTTTCCAAAAGAAGGAGGGGATGTGGTTATTGTTGTTGTTGTTGCTGCTGCTTTGAGGGATTCCAATGGGCTAACTTGAGCTTCACGACACTGCCACCTACAGGTTTGGCATGCTCCTGACGACATATATACACAGGTTCATGTAAACGAAAACTTTTCTGAAAACGTAGAGGTGTGCACGCAGTTGTTTTGTAAACAGAGAGGGTGAAATGTCTGTTTATGAAAATAGCCGGGCGTGTGTAAGCGTAGTCTTACTTTCACACTCTGAAGTTGAATCCTGAGAAGGACGGCACAGACCACAAAAACATGCTAATAACTCCTCCTCCTCCTCCTCCTCCTCCTCTTCCTCTTCCTCTCTCTCTGTCTCTGCAGGGCTTTCTTCGACCACTCCATGCACAGCGCTCTCCCTCTGGGGATCTACCTGGCCACCAAGTTCTGGATGTACACCACCTGGTTTTACTGGTTCTGGAATGATATCCTTTTTCTGTCGCAGACTGATTAGAAACGTTCGACGTCACTCCTGCTGAGGATTAACCGGCAGGATTGACAGCACACGTATCTCCGTACAAACGTAGGAAACGGGGCGGAGAAGTCAAGTATTCAGTAATGTTTCTTTTAGGTGTTTTTAACGATCAGTAAACCTCTGATAACCATGAAGATCTCGCCAAACAATGACCTCTGTCCACCTGTTTTAGTCTTATTCCTCCATAGTCCACTTGTGGTTGAAGTAAACCAGAGCTTCAAGAGTCGGCACTCGCTGTTCACTGAAAAAAAAAAAGCTTGGCGGTTGTTTGAAACGAGCGGTTTGTTTTTGGCATCAGCAGAGTCATACATCCGATCTGTTAGGCTCGTTTCGAATCTTCAGACAGAGGAGCTCTCTATGAAAAACCTGTTTGTTAAATAGATTAAGACCGCTGCGGTGACAAAGAAGAAGAGCGGGAAGAGCGTTCATGTCTGCTGGCTCACACATCAGGGAGACTGAATTACAGCTGCAGCAGTTTTAAAAACGGTGAATATAAAACATCCTCAGACCTGAAACAGACTTTCTTTTCTACCCTTACTCTCTTTTTGTTCTTGAAGATCTGTCGTCCTGTCGGAGGTGAGAGGGGAGTTCTTGTTTGTGTCTCTAATGAGGAAAGGAGAGTGAAAATCTTGAACTTGGTTGTATTTCTCTCTACACCGCTGAAGGTGTGTTATCTGGTGTTTCTTAGAAGTTTAGATGATACCACGATGCCCTACCTTCGTCAGACCTGATGTTTTTTAGTAGTAAATGTTTGTTCATACGTCTATTAAGAGTCTACGTCTTTGTTTCCAGGCGGTTTCTCTGACGTGTGAAGACGTTTGTGTGTGAAGAACAGGTTCTGTCGAGCCTCCAGCTTTAACAAGTCATTCATAAAACCCGAGCGTTAGCCGTCAGTCTCTCTCCAGGTTTTTCTGCCCTCGTCTAAAGCGGTTCACACCCCCGGTAGGTTCAGACACAAACTCTCTGCCGTCATCTCACTCGGCTTGACTCGACAGTGAGTCTCACTTGAATGCGTCACATTTGCATTTATGAATGTAAATCAGGTGATTTGGCAGGATTGTTATCTGGAAGCTGAAGGTAAATTTGGTTCAAACATGAGCGAGACTGTTCGTGCTGTTACTCATTAAAACAGCTGCCAGTGTTGAAGGTCTGGATGTGGAGACGTGACACTCAGACGGGGTTTCTGTTTTTAGTGATCGGACCTAAAGCAGTCCTTGTGAGGCTGCAGAGATCAATCATATAAAATCCTACATCTATAATACAGCAGAGGAAAGAGGATTGAGCTTTATGAGCCTTCAGTAAGAAAATACTTGTTAAGAAATGTTAATTTCTAAGCATCAATGTGAGGATTTCTCATAATTATTGATGCAACAAACAGAAGCTTCAGATTTAATCACACTTTCAACATCAATTCAAAGGGCAGCTCTGCAGATTTAACTGCTTTTAACATCTTTAAAACATCTTTAAATCATCTTTTTAACTATACATGAAAAAATCTCTGGTTTCTCCTGATGTCTCCCTGTCACCTGCAGCAGAGAATGAGCCCATATTTCTAAATAGTGAAAACAGGGAGCCTGCGGTCGGGTCAGAACCAAGAACGAAAAGATTTACGGCACTCAGTAGCGCTGTAGCATGTCACTACAGCGTGTCATGCTACAGCTGCAGCCACGGAGGGAGAAGCTCCTCCACACCAGAGACAGTGTTGTGCCGGTGTTTCGCTGTTGTGCCGCTCTTATCTTGAGACTTTGACATGTCTCCTCCGTCTCCTGTACCGTTTTTCTACCGTGTTGATAAGTTCACTCTTCAGATGGAGAGAAGATGTAAGTCAGGGAGCACGAACTTACAATGTGTCCTATCACTACATCCTGAAACCGGAAGTCCCCCTCAAATGTTTATTTAATATTGACCGAATCATAGTTCACCACCTTTATTAAAGACTTGGTCTGCAGACTACCAAAGCCTGAGGCAGGGAGAGCAGCAGCAAAGACCCCCGTAGAGCAACATGAGTGACCCTACATGTGACTCTGGAAAACTCAGGAGCAGGAAACAGTTAACTGTGAGCGTGACCTCCTGGCCTGCCTGAACTAGCACAGATTTCTTCCTTTAATTCTCTGTAAAAAAAAAGTCAAACTGGGTTTAAATTTGATCCTGACGTCTAACAGCTGTCAAGGGAGAGGCTGTAAAGTGACAGTTTGATGCTTTTAATCTCATGTAACTCTCTCGCTTTTGTAATCTTTGATTCATGGCTCCAAGGGAAGCATTAGTCGACTCCCTCTGACCCCTCAGCACACAGTTACATAAACCACAGACTGAGGCCCAGCCCGGGCTGCCGGTCCCGCTCCACGCTGAGTCCGAGCCAGACGTCTAAGTGAATATTTATTGAACTTGGATTTGAGGATGAGAATACAAAACTCTTCATTCGTGTCATCAGCCGAGTCCAACATCTGGTTTGGAGAGTCGTGGACCGGCTCTCTAATCAAATATAGACGTCGACTAACAGAGTTTAGAGGAAGACATGTGAGATCCGAGTTTTCAGCAGGTCTTTGTCATGCAGGTGAAGACATTTTATCCTCCAGTTCTGACCCAGTTCTTCTTCTCTTTGTGAGCTCATTTTCTTCGTCTTCAGGCCTGCAGCTGAAATCAGATCAGATGACAAAGGGTTGAGCCCTCTGACAGAACTTTTTGTCTTTTCCAGACTCCAATCATATTTTTCCTCGTTTTTTTTCTCCTCTCCTGAAACCCTGCAGCAGGTGAACGTCTCACAAGAATGAAGAAAAAGCTTGATTTGATTTTTTCCCTCAGGTGACAGCTCTTTCTCACTCGCTCTCTTTTTCTGCCCAAGTCGACACAGGGAAAATGCATCGCTTCACTTTTTAAAGAAAAGGCTTCAGTCTGGTTTAGGTAACTGGAGTCACTGCCTGAGCGGTTTGGAGTAGGACCCGTTAATCCATCACCTCCTCAGAGGGTCTTTAAGCACCAGTCTGAGACCCCCGTCTGACATCTCTCCCCGCTCAGCCGTGATGACCACGTCTCCCCTGAGGAAGCGCTGCAGCTCATTTGTTTACACCATCACCTCTCCGAGTGAATCGACCAATGAGGCGCTCTGGCGAGTGTTTGTTCTTGTCAGGTCGTTTCAGGAGGAATAATGTGGACACACTTAGAGGGATCAACCGCTCCGTGTTGTCTTCGGGACTTAAAGTGGTTTCTATCATCCTGTCGGTGAACGGTGAACTGTGTTTGAGAGGTCAGCTCTGCATTAACCACATTTTAAAGGTAGAAGGGCGAGTTATCTCCGTGCCTCTCAGAGTCACTACTAGATGCTCCGTATTTGAGTCACACTTGGTGTCCAGGATTACACCGTCTGCTTTGAGAGGTGACTCATACACACCTGTTTGACTGACTCGTTAATAAGCAGTCAGTCGTCACACGGCGGGGTCACAGCTTAGTGTGAGAGGAAGTCACGGTTGTGAAATAATTCCTCCTAACTGAGCGAGTTAACGTGAGACAGAGTGACAGGAAATGTGACTCAGAGTGAAATCACAGAGGTCAAAGTTCATTTTCAGACAGCTCTGTTTTTCTAATTTTTTGTCTGTTTTTTAGAGTCTTTTTTTGTTTGTTTTCACAAATTTATTTGTTTTTCATACTTTTTTTGTTTGTTTTGTTTTTGTTTTTGAAAAAAAAAACACTTTTAGTTGACACTGAGTCTCAGATTTGTTGGATAAAGGCTGAACCAAAAAAAAAACAGATGAGTTTTTTTTGTTGCAGGAAACCAACTGAAAGTCACTCATTATGAAATATACGGTTATGAATTTTGTACCTTTTAAAATAAGACATTTGTGAATTGTTTCTGTCCGCCATCTTCCTTAACCTCGCCGCACATCTCCCCTTCGCCACCGTTCACGTCCCCTTCCTGATAAACACGCTGGCTCTCTTCTACAACTTTGGAAAATCCTGGAAGTCCGACCCGGGAATCATAAAAGCGTCAGAGGAGCAGAAGAAAAAGGTAAAGTTTTGGTTCGGACCTGATCTGACGTGTGCATGTACTCCTGATCCTGGACAGGGGAGACCTCTGCTGCTCTGTGGTGTCTCCTCTGGCTCTCTGCCCACACTCATCCCTCTCTCCGACTCTCATTATCTCACTTTAATGGAGGACAACAGCTTCTTTACTCGGGCCTGTGATTGATGAGGAGCTAAAGTTAACCTGCATTGTTAGCACAGAGCAGCCGGCTCGGATCAGAGGCTTCAGAGTTTCCCTTTCCTGCAGGGGAACCACTTCCTGTTCTCCTCTCAATAGTTTGTTTAGGATTGTTTGACCTTTTTATAAGCAGGTTGATCTGAAACTGAACCTTATCAGTACCCCTTAAAGCAGAGTACTGTAAATCCCATCCCTGTGTTGGTCCGGGTTCACTGTAAATCAGCCGTGTTTCCGGTGTGATCACTCAGCTGGAAGCCCGGCCTCAGCCTGTTTCTGTCAGTAGGTCTATTGTTGTCGAGCCAAATAGACCTTGGCAGCAAGAATTTCTCTGTTCATTCATTTTTCTGTCTTTCTTTCTTTCCTGTTTCCTCCCTGCAGACAATTGTGGAGCTGGCAGAGACGGGCAGCCTGGATCTGAGCATATTCTGCAGCACCTGCTTGGTAAACTCTGACATCTATCTCTGAAGAAACCGATGATCCATCCCAGAGAGAACGGCATTAATCATGCGACTTTTCTCCGCAGATACGGAAACCCATCAGGTCCAAACACTGTGCTGTGTGCAACCGCTGCATCGCCAAGTTTGACCATCACTGTCCCTGGGTGGGCAACTGTGTCGGTATGTTATTAACAGACGCACCAATCAGGACGAGTGGAGAAGGAAGCAAGTGTAGGAAGCAGATGGGAGACAGTGAAGGGAAGGAAAGGGGTTCAGGGGGGCTCAGCTGGTCAGGAAGAGTCCGGAAAATGTCTGAACAAACATCCAAAGCAGCCTCTTCACTGCAGAGACCAAAGCCTGGAGAAAGATGTAAAAGGTTCCTCAGGAGGTTTGAAATATCATAAACAGAAAAGTTCAGAGTTTCTACATGTCATTTTTATCGAGGCGAATATTTGACCGAGGTGAAATAAAAGTACGTTAACTGTCTTTTTTAAGCTCTTTAAAGAGTTCAGTATGAAAAATATAGAACTCTTTCTACAGCGGTGAACATTTTTACTAGATTTGGGATAGAGGGAAAGAAAAAAAACAGTTTTTAACAGTTTTAACCGAGAAAAGACTTCATGTTCTCTTTTATCTTGCTCTAAGTTAATAACCTTTTGTGTTCGCTTAACCACAGTTAGTCGCTCTTATCTTTGCTCCTTCATTTGCAGACTTACGATCTTATTGAATTCCCCTTCAGGGATCAGTACTGGGCTTCTTCTTCTACTTCTACTTCTTCTATTCTTTCTCTTTCTACTTCTTCTACCAGTCTTTTTTATTATTATAATTCTATTCCTACTTCTACTTAAACTTTTTCTCCTTCTTGTACTTCTCTTTCTTCTTCCACTTCTTCTACTTCTACTACTTTTCTACATCTTCTACTTCTTCTACTTTTTCAACTTCTTCTTCCATCACTTCTTCCACTTACTTTTCTTTCTACTATTCTTTCTTCCTCTACTTCTTTTCAACTTCTACTTCTTCTACTTCCTTTTCTTCTCTTTCTTCTTCTACTTCCACTTCTTTTTCTACTATTCTTTCTTCTTATACCACTTCTTCTACTTCTTATGATTATTATTGTTACTATTATTATTATTATTATACTTCTTCTCTTTCTTCTTCTACTTCTTCTTCTTCTGCATGCATTTGTATACTAAACAGTAACTCTGCTGCACTCATCAAGTTTCACCAGCTGTGTCGAGTCATAAACAGCTGTCTCTGTTCGTCCACTCTGATCATCTCTTAAAACCAGTCAAATCAGCTCCATCAGTTCAAACAGCAGTCACTGATTATTTTTAGTGTTTTTTTTTCATGCTCACATGTGACCATGTGATGTAAAAGGGGCGTGGTGTTCTTGTGTCTCCTCTACAGGAAGTGGGAATCATCGCTACTTCATGGGTTATCTGTTCTTCCTGCTCTGCATGATCTGCTGGATGATGTACGGCTGCATCTCCTGTGAGTAGAAAATCCTTCTTTGGAAACATCCTTCCTTTTCTTTCGCTCTCCGCCCTCCTGACTCCCCGTCTCTCTCTCTCTCTTACTCTCTCTCTCTCAGACTGGAGGATCCACTGTGCCACCAGCTACGCCAAGGACGGTTTCTGGCTCTACCTGACCCAGATCGCCTCCTGCTCCCCCTGGATGTTCTGGATGTTCCTCAACAGCGTCTTCCACTTCATGTGGGTGGCCGTGCTCATCATGTGTCAGCTCTACCAGGTCTGGATCTCCGACTCTGACAGCAGATATTAAAGATATTACCCGTTTGCTGTCTCTGTCTGACCTCGTTGTTTTCACGTTTAACAGATCGCCGCTCTGGGAATCACCACCAACGAGAGGATGAACGCTCGGAGATACAAGCACTTTAAAGTCACGGCCACGTCCATCGAAAGCCCCTTCAAGTGAGTTTAAGAAATCCATCAATGTCGAGTACACAGAGAGGTCTCTACTTAACTGACAGGAACTGCTCTCTCCTCTCTCTCCAGCCACGGTTGCTTCAGAAACCTCATAGATTTCTTCGAGATCCGCTGCTGCGGGCTGATGCGGCCCGTGGCGGTGGACTGGACCACGCAGTACACAATAGAATACGACCAGACGTCTGGCTCGGGCTACCAGCTGGTTTAGAGGAGGAAAGAGAAGAAGAAGAGGAGGAGGAGGAGGAGGAAGGAGGGGGTGGAGGACCAGGGGGGAGCTGAGTGTCGCTGTGTAAAAGGAAGTTTGAGAGGACCACCCTCCCCGCCCCCTGCACCCCCCTCTCTGCGTTCATATCAGAGCGATGCTGTTCTCGGGAGCGCTTGCTGTTTTTTCGGACCATCTCTCCCTCACCGATCAAAAGACTGAAAAAAAATCAGCCAGGACTCGCATGCTGTTATGGGGCGACACCACACCTACACCCCCCCCCCCCCGCCTCTGACTCCGCCCCCTAACCACCAACTTTACTACTATTACTACTACTACTATTCTACAACTTCAGACTTCATTACTGTACCTCCACTGCTTTCAGACCCCTCCACCTCCGCTCTTCTCCCGAGCCCTTTGGACGGTGCGATGCTGCCAGGCGTTAATGGAGAGGCGAGAGGCCCGGGGGAATTTCAAGTTAAAGCTCTTGTAGTGACGCTGCGGAGAGAGCGGCGCCGCATAGTGGCAGTATCATCCTCCCCTCCCCCTGCCCTGATATCCTCCTTATTTATGGTGTCCCTGTTGATGTGTCCTGTATGTATTTTTGGTTCTTGACTGGTTCAGGGTGACCTGTGGTGGCCAGAGAAGCTGAAGGATTTGTTTTTTAATCACCGCTTTGTTTGAGATAAGGGAATGTCTTTTTTTAAGGTCTTGAGTTTGCACCGTGACGAGTTTTGAGTTGAGCTAATGATGTTTTCGCCAACATTATTATCAGAGGAAAACGTCGGGAGAGCTGCTGGAGGAGTTCGACTCCTCACCTGCTGAGGTGAAGCTGCGATCACAGCAGAGAGGAATCGTAACATTAGGGACTTTTATTTCGTCATGCAGTAAAAACGCAGGATTAAGCACGAGGATTTAGACTCCTCCAGCGGCGACCATCGTAGACGTGACAGAAAATATCCTACAGACAATGTGATACAGGTATATTTATTTTAAAACTATTTATAGACAAAGTAACTATGTGCTAGCTAGCGCCATCATTTTTACATTTCACATCATTTTAGCAGTTATGGAGCGAGTACCTGTAGAAGCCCGGGAAACGTAATCATGAGACTCTTTATGGTCAGGTACAGCGAGCGTATTTATTAACCGCAGAGTTAAAGAGGAAGATTGGACGAGCGAGTTTACAAGGACGGTTCATTCCATGTGTGTTCATTTCTCTCTAAAAGCTGTAAAGTCTTATTTGTCGTGTTTTGTCTTTTGTCTGCCTCCAACATTGCACTGATTTATTTTCTTTTTTAGTTGTGTTGTTTTTTTTTTTCTGAACACGCGGGCCCAGCACGCCGACGCTAAAGCCGTTTACAGAGTGGAAGAGAAGGAGGAGGGTGCTTATCAAACATGGCCGACTCCCATCACTTCCTGTCTGGACCCTCCCCGAGTTCTGAGCAGCAGCAGGATTCAGGACTGAAGTGTGAAGAATGTGCATCTGTACATAAACGATGAATTTCTCTGTAATTTTTCTTTGGTCAGTGTTAGTCCGAGGTGCTCCCTCCCCCAAAAAACTTTATTTTTGTTTGTTTTTTTTTAAGTTTGGGGGTTTTCTTCCTGGAGAAAACCAAGTGACTATACTCCAAGTGTATGACTGTAGCTTTTAGTGATGTCCGACACTGCTGTCTATAAGCATTTGAACCCCTAAATCCTCCCCCCCTTCGCCAGGAATCTCCACTGCATGTACGATGCTTGGGACAGCTGGGCTCTCGCTGTATATCCCCCGTCAATCCCGTTTTCATCACCATGGTGACAGCCCGGCAAGCCACGTGTCTGTATATAGTGAATGTTAAGTATTTGCAAGTACTTTTTCTGCGTTGCGTTCATTTGTCTGATCTTTTTTTTAAGCGTTTCTTTCTTTCTCTCAGATCCAGTGTGAGTAGTGGACGTTTTTCTTTCAGGCGGTTCGGTTTTTCAGTCGGGCCCTCCTGTGCAAGTGTGTAATATACCTGAATGTTTCATGCTTGTGGACTCTGTAGTCATCCTGAAGGTTTTTTTTTTTTTTTACTTTTTATTTTTTTTATTTTTATGTCATATACCGCTGGGTTTGTTATACCACTGGATGTACAAATTGTAAAGCAAAGACACTAGAGAACTAAGGCAGACGCCGACTTTTTTTCTTTTGTTTTCTAAAAAGCTGAAATGTGATCATGCAATAGTTTTAAGGATAGACGGAGGTTATATTACATTTAAGGACTCCGAGAAACTTTCTGGGCCTCATGTTTGCATCATCAGAAGGAGACGGTTATGTCGTCATTCCACATTTTTTACCAATAATCTCACGAAACCAACCACTGATGTCACTCCTGCCCTGAAAACACAAAGACAGCAGCTGCTTTTCGTGAGGTCAAAGGGTAATCCTCAGCTGTAGATATCATATCAGTACCTGTAACTAACCACTTGTGTTGTGAAAGGCCTTTTAAGGATGACGGGAGGTGAGTGTTTTTGTGCTCTCAGGGCAGATTCATACAGGACAGACTCCTCTAACCATTTCAGTCCTCACTAGTTCTTCCAGCAGCCCTTAAACGCCTCCGTTCTGTCTCCCCCTCTCATCGTAAAAGAAATAAAAAAGATTAAAAAGCACATAATCATTTCCAGTGCCTCTCTGCCCACCTCCAGACATCACTGTAACTCCGCTTCAGATGTAAACATATGGGCATGGTTCAGTTTTAATGGCTTTAATAATAAAATACAGTCAAATGTGAACATGTGGTTTCATGGTTTTATTCGTATCATGAGCACCGATGAAAGTTTTCAAAGGAAAAAGAGCAGAGAGATGAAAGATTCATGTTCACGTCGGAGAGAGAGAGAAAACGTTTAAAGGAGTTAAAAAGATCCAGTTTGTCCGTCACTGAGCGTGAACCAGGGCGCCGGCTCCTTGGCCGTAACCGAACCCTTTGGGTCCAAAGTTCTTGGCGTAACAAGCTGCGGAGAAAAGACAACAGACAAACGTGATGATTTAGATTTTTACAGCTAGGTGCAAAAATTAACCTGAAACTGCAGTTCTCAAAGTGTCCACTTGAGGCAACCTTTCAGGAAACCCCGTTAGAGCCCATATTAAAGTGGCCTTTATTACAGCAGGTTTGACATGTAGTTACAGTAAAGGTCCTTTCACACCGTACAGGACCGTTTTTGTCCTGCGATATTGCGGCTTTTATTTTTTCGGATCACGGTCGATTTTTCTGAAGTTTGGCATACTGCATGTATACTTCTGACCAATCAGATTTCGTGTTTTTGCGACGTCTGATTCACCGGTATATCCAACATGGCTGACCGGCTGATTGTTTACGATCGTTTACACAAACATTACAAAGATAACGACCTGAAGGACAACTTGTGGAGAGTCATAGCGTCAGATTTAACAGTTTGCTAAACGTTTTTGTTTTAACTTTCATCTGTGCTAATGTAAGCTAACGGTTGTTACCATAGTTTCATGTGCTTATCTTATGGCCTCTGATTGGCTATAAGTGCTGACTGTTTGGCTTGAGCGTGTGATGACGTTTCCAGCTTTTCTACCCAATCAGAGGCGAAGGAGGCGGGACTTTCCCCGGGAGAAATCTTCCCCGGGATGCGTCTTTTTCCCCCGGAAAGTCGCAAAATCGCATCGGGCTTGATGTGTATGGTCAGGCGCGTCAAAATTCGCCTCTGAATATTTCTGAATTTTGAGTTCTTTATTCATGACTGTGTAGCTCACCAGGGGGATACGATGTTTAAGCCGAGCATCATCACAGCGACTCTCTGCGACTCTCCCGGTGAATACGTACAACGCTACTGCACAGCTCTGGTTTCAGGAAATGAAGAAAAATCATGGAGATACCGAGAGCTTTTTGGCTTCAAATCCGTATACAGGCGGGAGGCGGAACCAAGTTGTCCATAGTAAATACAGTCTGTGGTTTCAACAAGTCTGGGTCTTATAGGAAGATGAATTTTAACGACTATCATGGTGCAGTTTAAAAAAGGAGAAAAGACAGATCAATCTTTGAAACGATCTTTTTCAAAAATATTCAGTATTCGCAGTTTTGAACTCAGTAAACCTGTCGGATCAGCACAAAGTGAGAACACCTGAGTGTGCAAGTGTGTGCAGTGTCCCAGCTCTCACACTCAGAGCTGTTTATCTCACATCAACATGTGAAGTTGTTCAGGTTCGAGTCAGACGACAAGGTGCAGAATTTCACCGATTTTTTTGTCTTCTACTCGTGAACTCTCATTTAGAAATCAGAAATAAATCAGCTGAAGAGTTTTGTAAGTTTGGATCTAGACTCCGCTTACATCCCTCTGTGGACGTCTGTGTGTGTGTGTGTGTGACCTCTCATTGTCCTGATGAACATGTTTCTGCTCACAGTAAGCAGCTCTGTTAGCTCAGCGAGGCCGCAGAGGACCAATGAAACCAACACTCATCCGTGACCGCGGCGAGCACAAGAGCGAGTGTGTTCGGTCTCAATGGGCTGTTATGTAAGAGGCGGACTAACTGGCTCTGCGAGTGCTGATAAAGTCCTATCTGCTGCCAGTGCTGACCTCACTGTGACTGCTGCTCTCTGTCAAACACCTCAGGACCAGTTTGAGGAAAAGTCGGTGAATCATTTTCACGAGCAGATGTCGTCTGTCGTGTGATCATTACCAACAGTGAGCTGGTTGACACATTAACCAAGCTTAGATCTGCAGAAACACGAGCTCAACTATTTCCCCAAACTGGTCTGATGTGTGTCCGGCTCTTGGATTGCTCGGTTAAAGAGGTCAGGCTCACCTTTGCAGTAGATTTCCCCGTCTTTCTCCGTCTGAGTGGTCGACTCCAGGCTCTTGCCACACTTTAAACAGCGGAAGCAGTTCTTGTGCCAGGGCTGGGAGAGAAAAGAGGAAAGCATTTTAGTCAAGCAGCTGTTAAAGGTTTTAGAAAATGTAGCTTGATCTCCAAATTCAGCCTGCATTTTTATACACTGGCATCAAAAAAGTTCACCAACGTCCCTGTCAAAGGGTTTAATTTCTGCTTCTGGTAGTTTCAGAGTTAATAACAGAGTTAATACCTGCAGGAATCGACTGTTTTTACCAATATAAACTTCCTTTTTAGCAGTAAACTGTATTTACATCATTCCAAGGGGAGGCAGAGCGTGCAGTTCAACTCAACAAGGTAAGCTCTAGCCCACACAGACTCCCTCAGACCCCTTCATTTCATAGATTCACCACGCTCCTACCTTCTAGCAGTAATAAACCACATTAAAAATGACATCTAAGACACAGTCAGCCTTGTTTCTGTTGGTCTTGCTTGCTTTTGAAGCTCAAATACAGGCATTTCAATCAGTTTTATAAGCAGCTAAAAGGATCCAGATCTGTTGTTTGCGCTTCAACATTGATTGTAAAAGACTCCTATGAAGGTCTGTTATTTCAAAGGATCAGTTCCTGTAAATTGTGATTATAATTCCATGCTTTTATTTTGAAGTACTTCCTGTCTGGTATGCAGCGGCTACCTAACAGACGGTGAATTGACGGATGCGGAGAACCGAAGTACTGACGATGTTTTCTCGTGTTTCTCGGTCATTTCAGCACCTGGCTGGAGTCAAAACAAGGTATTCGGTTTTACAACTTTTATTTGTGTTTTTATAAACGTGTTTACGGAAATATTGTCATGTTAGATATACTTTTAAAGAACTAATCCTCTTAAATAAGTTTCTGTCTTGCTAGCTTCTCATGATTAGCCGTCGCGCGCATGCTAACGGCTGCACTCGTTAGCGTTTCGTTGTTATTTGATGTTTTAATTATACAGCAGGAGGTTTTTCTTCATTTTAGCATTTTTTTTGTTTGTATTTTCTATCTTTCAGCTCTTACAGTGTTACTAAAGAGTCAATTGTGAAGGAGTGACGTTCAAATACAACGTTAAGGCTGAACATCATTAAAAAGGCTCCAGAAAACATCGCTACGCTTCATGATTGCAGAGCTGCCAAGTGTCAGATGTTGGAGATGAAAATGACGTCACACCAGATTTCCCAGCGTTTCAGTTACCAAGTCGGAAAAAAACAAAATCGGAGGCCTGAAACAAGATGACTACTTCTACGAAAGTTACTTTAGCGTTTGCCTTATATTGGGACATGGCAAGCACTACCAAGTTGGAAGCGTTACCAAGTCGGAAAAAAGCAAAATCGGAGGCCTGAAAGAAGATGACTATGCCTATGAAAGTTACTCATGTGCTTGCCTAATATTCAGACAAGGCAGGGGCTACCAAGTCGGAAAAAAGCAAGATCAGAGGCCTGAAACAAGATGGCTTGTCTACTAAAGTTACTTTAGCACTTGCCTTATATTCAAGGCAAGCGCTACCAAGTCAGCAGTGTTACCAAGTCAGAAAAAAGAAAAAACGAACGGCTGAGACAAGGTGGCTGCTTCTACAAAAGTAACTTTAGCGTTTGCCTTAGATTTGGACAAGGCAAGCACTAAAGTAACTTTCGTAGACATAGCCATCTTGTTTCCATCTCTGATTTTGCTTTTTTCCGACCTGGTAACTGAAACGTGGAGTTTATTTTGGGTCTTGGCATCTCAAACTATCTTTCACACACAACAGCGCCGACATTTAAAACCCACTCGACATAATGCAATATTGACCAATAAATGTATTTTGTCACAATTCTTGTAACAATTTTCATTTATAGTTTTTGGTTAATTAAGACGAGCATCAGGGAGAGCAGTTGGCATAGAAATGAGGACATCAGTCTTAAAGTATAAATCCTTATTCCTGCGTAGCCTAACAGATGATAACACTAAAGTCTCACTCTTGTCATTTTCTAAATCTTGGCAGCCCTCTGATTGTCTGGCCGGAGTTTAGCTAAACTGATCCTTTAAGTTAATGTCATGTACCATAATTTCTTCATTTCCTTCGTTAAATCAAACAGATCATTTGACGTCATGCTTTATATTTCCTCCCACAAGGAAACACAGATGACTCCACCTGCTGTAGATCAGCTCATGCATGAATCCACCTCCTGTTTTCTCCTGCGATCACAAACCTCGGCTCCTCTGCAGAAAGACTTTCATGTGAGTCACAAGTCTTGAGTATCACTGAGTTTGTCCCTCAGAAACAAACATCCTGCAGAGTCAGATCCTCATGACTTCATCGAATGTAAATCTGCGAGTCAACAACATGCGCCAGAGACCGCCGTGTCCAGACAGCCTCGCACGATCGGAGCCAGCTGTTAGGAAGCCAGCACCCAAACTGTATGGACCGGGTTCAATCAGAAAATCAGGATTTGGGTTCTCTCATTAGGAGAGACCACACCAAAACCTCCTGCATGTGGTCCAGGACTGTTAAAACCATGTGTGTTCAATTCCCTGAAACATGCTTCACTCCTGTGGTTTGTGTGGACTCGTAAGGGACCTACACGGCTCTGGTTACCGGTTTAAATTTCCTGAAGCAGCTCATGCCTTTGTGGTTTTTAATGATTTTTTTTTCTGCAGAGCTGAACACAGGCTTAAACCTTTAACCTTGGAACAAATTTGCAGGTAGTGCGATCAGACAAAAGAGCTGAATTTAATCTCCCTCCTCTGAAACTGACTGAAACATAGATCTTGCAATTTGAGCCCAGACCTGATGCAACCCTGAAAAACTGACTCTATATCATAAACTGTAGAAAATCCTCGGACAGATCTGCAGGAGCACATTCTTTGAGTCTGTTGCAAAAGACCAAATTCCCCAAACACAGCCCTTTTTTTTTGTATACTTTCTGCCTGCGTTGCCGTGACGACTAGTGAATTCTCACCCCAGCCAGGAGTCATAATTTTGCAACTTGGCACGACTAGTGAAAGGCAAATGGTCCACTTGGCTCTAGTCTTGGCAGACGCTTTGAGTTAAAGCCTGACCGCGCAGATAGCACATAGTGGTTTTTTTCTAACACGTCGTCTACTACACCCTTCAGATGGAGATAAACATTTACACAATGTAGATTCACCACAGAGCAATGCAAGGATAATGATCAGTTACTGGAGCACAAATTCAAAAAATGTTTCAGGGATTTCTCACTGAGGAAACGTGCTTTGGCTGTCATTTGTTCAAATTAGCTAAATTTCGCGGTCTGCAGAGGCTAATAGCTTCACTTACTTTCTGGCCCCTCCTGCTGCTCTCTAAACAAAAGGCCTGATCTCTTCTGGATCATTCGCTTCCTCCTGACAAGAACCTCAAACAACCCTGATTAAAAAAAAACTGAACTGAACAGTCCAGTTCAGCTCAGACATTTGATCAGCGAGGCCGTGTGTTTTGAAGCCGCAAACATGCAGATGGTGTGACAAGAATGTTTTTGGTTGCAGATCATATCTATATTTTGCATTATCACTGTTCACGATCTATGAAATACAGAATTTCCTGTAGAGCTGTAAAAAAGGGGTCTGGATTAGAGCATGACACGGGAGCGGATTTTCACTCCTGTCCCGTCCCACTCCCAGAGAAAAACTCCGGAGTAAAACAATTAATCCTGTCCTGTCCCTGTCCCGTAGAATGACTCCCATCACGTGACCCATGGGAATTCCCGAAAAATGTCATCCTCTCGTCTGGATGGGCTTTGTGTACAAGTATGACGCTGAACTTCAAGAGTCAAAAGTCCTCTTTTACGTCGCTGCAAACCAAGTCATAGTTTTCAAGATGTCTCCAAGACCTGCAGAAAGTAAACATTTATGATGTGCTAGGGCTGGGCGACATGGCCTCATATTGATGTCAGGATATGTTGAGCAGTTGATAAATGGACAATAACTACTCCACAAGCTGCTCACCCCCTCCCACATTAACTTCTTCTACTTCAGCCACAACAACTTTTGAACCGTCCTCCATCTCCTCACCTGTCTTTCCCTCTTTGTTACGGACTGGATGGGGTGGAGTCACGTCTCTGACGTAGGACAGCGTCTTAAAGGGACATGAGACCATGGCCTACCTACACACTTTGATTTATTGATTGATTTGACACTGAATAAACCAATATGGGCAAAATGACGTCAGTTATTGTCGTAAAATTCGGTATCGGTAAATTTTCGGTTTATCGCCCAGCCCTACAATGTACTCTGCATGGTTGATATCCGTTCCTCCCTCCCAGATTCAATAAGAAGAAGAGACGCAGACTGTTTCCTGGATACTTAAGTGTGTAGTTAAAGAGCGATAGGACCTCTTTACAGATATGAATCCATAGCCAGGAGTCGTCACCACGGTAGCCTATAAATGACAAACAACCTGATTTTTGTTGCTCTGTGTAAACAGTCAGAAAGGTGTATTTGGACCCTGTTCTGTGCGCTAGATTTGATGTTCCATGTCTTAGGAAGCTGCGATGAAGTGGTTAATGTCATCAGAGTTCAGAGAAAGTTTCCTAACCCTCTTATAAACTCAAGGAACCAGTAGAAACAAGGTGCTTCGATCAGCTGCTCAGGTCATCAATTAAATATCTTCAAATTTTCATCACTAATGGTCTTGTTTGCTTTTGAGCATCTTTAAAAGGCACCAGTATGAATTTCAGTCTATCTTGTTAATGCCAAAAAAATTACTCACAGGAGCTTTAACTGTTGGAAACTTGACACATGCCGAAAAGAGAAACAGTGGGAGGCTGACAGGAAGTGCTTCTGTGCGTATAAAGACAGGACGGCCGATTATGCTCATGATTTGATAATAAGCGTTCAGCTGAGAGTAAATCTTTGGTGATTATCTCTCCTTTCAGTCGTACTTGGTCTAAACTTGGACCTCACTGTTGGGCTGGATTTAAGGTCCAGGTTCAGCGAGTGATCATAACTCAGCCTGAGGGGGACGCAAACATCAGAACTGAGTTTAGAGGTGATCCACGCAGCAGATGTTGGGACTTATTAGAAAAAAATGAAACTGAAATTCTGGCATCAAGATGAAAACTTGGAGGGTCAGACTAGTTTGGAAGTTTCTCGTTTCTTTACCAGCGTTTAATATCGGTAATATCTTCAGGCTTCCTGTTAGAGGCAGAACTAACAACACAGAAGACGAAAAACCTCTGAAGATCAGATCCTCACCTTTCCCGCTCCCATGACCTTCTCAGCTGCGTAGACCGAGTCTCCACATCGAGCGCACTTCTCTGAACCTCCGAACTTCTGGGCGTATTTTGACGGGTTTGGGTTGGTGGTTGGTTTGTGAGATTGTGTCCTGAAGGAAAAAAGAATTATAACAAACTGAATCCTGAAAAGTTGTTTTACCTCTAATTATAAATGACACTTCCTCCTTTAGGTTCTCCTTTCTAACTCAGTGAACCAAGAACCACCCAAAACACCGACCTCTGCGGTCATAAAAACCTCGGTTAGGCTTTAGTTGATCACAGAAAATCTATTGTGACAACTTCATAAATGATCACAGCGAAGTGGATCAAAAATAAACCCGACAGGACCCCCTCTGACCTGTAGTGGGACAGTGAACCGGGGCACCCTGAGGCCCCCTGGAGCTGTGCTTATCGGAGGGTGACTGCCAGCCCCAGTGGCCCCTGAATGAGGCCCTTTGTGGCCGAGGACACAGAGGAGGGAAAACGGTCTCCCGCTGGTTACATAATCGACTCTTTCATAACAGCCATCACCTGACGTCTGGAGCGGGAGTAAACATCTAGGGTGCGTGGGTCTGTGTCCGCCTGTTTGTTTACGCTGCCTGTACATCCTGTGCATGTACGGGTTTCTATAGAGGCTCTCAGTCCGGGGTCAGGTCTGCATTATCAGGGGGTAAATATGAGACTTACAGCTGGATGAAAAGAGACGTGTCCTAAATCCATCGATCTTCCTGGACCTGCTCACAAAACCAGTCCATCTGTGTTTGATAAAGCGGTTAGTCGACTGTTTACCAATATTCCCGTCTTCATTTGACTCGTATTAAAATTCAACAGCGGACAGTTCTGGGAAAACAAACTTTCATGAATCGATATTGAGGATCTAATTGTTAAAATTGTGTTTTTTGGAGTTATTTCACTTGGACACAGCGAGCTCCTGCTGTTTGAGGACAATGGCACAGTCAGGGTCTGAACCTTCTGACCTCTTCAGCTTTACAGCGACCACTTGATCTTTTAGCTCAGCTTCTCAGTGACTCGTTTGTCTCGTTCTCATAACTGAGTTAATTTTAATGGAGTTAGATACTTACTGGCGGCATGCGACTTCTCAAAAACGACAAAAACATTTTTATATCTGCAGATAAAACTGTTGCTTACTCTTGGTGTTTGATTCCCAGCCGCTCTCCTCGGTCCATGTTGAGCGTCCCCGCCCCCTGACCGTAGCCGTAACCTTTTGGACCATACTTCTTCCCGTAGCAGGACTTGCAGTAGATCTCCTGGTCGTGAATAGCCAGCGTGGTGCTGTCTAAACCCTTCCTGCAGACCACTGAGGACACGAAGAGAGAGATGCTATAGACGTCTTTGTTTCTGAGCACATAAACTTCATCCTACGGCGAAACAGGCCAAACTTAAGTCATTATGTTAGAGTTAAACTAAATCTGCAGGTATGGAGGCTGTTTGATTATCACACAGGTGTGAAAAGGATTCGTGAGCTGGCTGTCAGCTGTGGGTTTGACAGAAACTTCAACATCTTGGTTCAGATTCAGATTCAAAAGAAAACTTTTTCAAATGTTTTGGTCTTTAATGTCTCAAATCTTTCTACTTCAGATGTTCGTACATGGCAGCTTTTACCAGGGCTGAAACTGTTCCTCGAAAGATGATCAAGGTATTTTCTCTGCCTCGAGTTCTCGTTTATAAATCGTCACTGTTTTGCACGGATTATTTTCGATGTTGAGACACCACGCTTACGTCACAACGGTAGAAGGAGGAGTAAGCGCTGTGTTGGTTTTGGTTTTGCGGAAAAAAAGGAATAATGAGAGGGGCTTTTCTTCTGCAGAGCTCCAGTAGCTCATTAGTAATTCGCCTCTGCGTCGTGGGCGGAGACAGCGCAGCTCTGCACACTCATCTTCTCGTTAGCTTGCAGCCTAACATTGCCGGTGTAGTAGAAGTCACAGGTAACATAGGAGCCATTCAGCTGTGAGACACTAATGTCTTTAGGGTCATGATGAAAGTTAATATCATAATTAGCTTTCTTACGAGCATTACAATCCGCTAACGCACACGTTTGTTCTGCGATCATCCTCTCTATTTGTTAGAGTCTGGCCTTCATAGCGGGGCTCAGGGGGCGGAGCTTGGATTTGTGACGTAGGAAATCTCACTGTGTCTGAGTCTGCCGTTTGGGTCCAGTTACTTGATGAATCGACAGAATATTTGGTAAAATACTCGATTACTAAGGTCGCTTTCACACCTGACCAAGCGGACTCGGTTCGATTGGGAAGCTGAAAGTCGCGACATTGTTGCATTTATCACTTGTCTCGGTTCTGCTTTCACACTGTGATTTCTAAAGCGCACCGAACTTTCCGAGCAGCATCACGTGGTTGGAAGGGGCGCTCGTCGATTGGACAGAGGAGGGGAAATCCCTCTATCCCGCTCTGGAAAAACAACGGTAAAGATGGAGCATCATGTGAAGCTGGCTGTTCTGGGGATGTCAGGAGTAGGTTTATGCTGTCATCTGACCATCTTCGTCTGTCCACGTCTGTCTCCTCGCCATGCTTGTTTTAGTTTGGAGTGCGCGCCGTGCTTCCTCTACCCAAGATGCACTGCGTATAGCGTCATTACGTACATTTGGTCCTATGTTTGGTCCGGTGAGCTTTCACACTGCATACGAACCGAACCAGGGTTCACTTACAAGCAAACCGAGACCCATGTTTTCAGACTGACTAGAGTTCGCTTGTTTGGTCCACACCAGAGTTCGGATGAGCTTTCACACCTGCCCAAATGAAGCGGACTATCCGAGGAAACAAACTCTTGTCCGTTTAAAGCGGACCAAACAGCTCTGGTGTGAAAGCGACCTTAAATATTTGAGTTTTTACCTCTTTTGTTTCTCCAAAAGTCACTTTTGCATTTCTTCCTCCTGAACCATCTTTAAACTGTCTTTATAAAATTAAACTCCAACTAAACAAAGCGATGTCTGAAAGTGTAAAGGCATCAGAGTGGATTAAGGCTGCAGGGATTAGCTGAATTCTTCACACACTGGCCAACACTGTGTGATCATTCGGGTTTTAGATTTCACACAACTGGGAGGAAAAATGTCTCCATTCATGCCCCTCTGAGTCTCACCGCCCACACTTTCAAAGTAAAAGCCTGACAGAGTCTTTTTTTATCTTATTTGGTTCAGCTGTTAAGTTACAGATATAAAGATTCACCTCCACTTCACCTGGATCTTTACTTTTCACACATTTAACCGGAAACAAATCAATCCAACAAAGCCTGAGTCCGAGCACAAAGAGTCTTTTTCAGCTCCTTTTGGATCTGCGCGGGATATTTACGTCCGTGTTCGCACAGTGGCTGCTTTTCATAAATAAAACACGTTAAATGTCAAACTGTGAAAGTGGAGGAAAGGCCAGCTGAGAGTCAAGGACACGGAGCCCTCGCTGCTCATCGTCTCCTCCGTGGGAGTTTCAGACAAAGCTGCTTTTGAATCAGAAACTGACGGAAAAAAATAATCTCAGAACGCCGCGGTCCTCTCTTGATAGCAGCTAAATGAGAGCGTTTGTGTAATTCGCGGGAACATCTTCTTCTCTGACATTTTAAGGATGGTTCAAGAGCAGGACACGCCGCCCACTTCGGCAGAGAGAGATGAGCGGTGGAAAAGTTTAATCCGAGCCCACCCGTCTTTCTCCTGACTCAGAGGACAAAACGAAAAAAACAGACTCTTATTAGATTAGAAACATTAAAAATACAAACTGTCCGATGCCATGTTTGCTTTTGATGAGTTTATTTAATCAAATCTCTGAAGAGACGGCAGAACAAAGCTTTTTTAAATCTCTGCGCCGCCTCCAAAATCAAACTAATGTTTGTTTTTATGCGTTAAAACCTCGTGACCCTCTGAATTTAACAAGCTCACATTATCTTCTTATTTTATGGTTCAATTTTTTTTAAGGCTGGGGACAATTTGAGATTGGATGCAATATTTATAGAGGAGAAGTGGAGAGAATTTAAGATATGAGATATACATCCTCATCCCATTATTTCTGATCTACTTATTAGTTACATAATCATAAACCACATGACCTTATACATTTTACACAACCTAAACTATGAAGATAGATGGGCAGGGAGAGCCGGGGCATCACCGGACTTATCAAGCGGGCGCCTCCCTTCCCTTCAGCAGAGTTTAGTCAAGTTGGTGCAAAAACACGGTGAGAAGTCGTGGTCCAAAGCCAACCTCCTCCTCCATCATTCCTACAACTCTGATGCAACACAAGACGTGCAAAAGGACAGTAATGGAGCAGTGGAAATGTTGCACACTTAGATTTTTGGATGAATTCTTAACTTGGAAATATGTTACCTGCATAAACTGGGATATTTAATGTTAAATTGAGTTTGGTGACTAACAGATTTAAACTAAAAGCAGCAGAAGAAAAGGCAGATCCAGGAGCAGTATTTCATGATGCAACTTCTTGGCTATGCATTAGGGCTGGGCGATAAACCGAAAATTTACCAATACCGAAATTTACGATAGTAACCAACGTCATTTTGCCCATATATCGGTTTATTCGGTGTCAAATAAATAAAAGTTGTTTTTGGATGTGTGTAGGTAGGCTATGGTCTCATGTCCCTTTAAGACGCTGTCCTACATCAGAGATGTGACTCCACCCCATCCAGTCTGTAACAAAGAGGGAAAGACAGGTGAGGAGATGGAGGACGGTTCAAAAGTTGTAGCGGCTGAAGTAGACAAAGTTAATGAGGGAGGGGGTAAGACGCTTGTGGAGTAGTTATCGTCCATTTATCGTTATCAAGGTGAACTGATCAATGTATCGTGATATTGATTTGGGGCCGTATCGCTCAGCCCTACTGTGCATCACTAATAAAACACTGATATTATGTATTATTTTTCAGATGTCACAAAGCTCCTGTAAAACTGCCCATGACTTCATACCATCCCTCTATAAAGACACCAAGTTTTGCAAACTGACACATAATTTAATGAGCTCTAGCTAGATGCAAATTGTAACTAGTAGGAGACACTATCACCAACTTTAGGGTTAGATTGTTGCTTCTTTATGTTTCAATCTGCTTGTTTCCTTCTTTAACTTTCAGATTAGAGTCACTTTTATAAAAAAAGGACCAATCTGGACTTTTTGGTTTTGTCCCTTTCACAATAAAACTAAAAAGCGATTTGCACTGCCAAAGTGTCTGTCTGAGGTTCCAATGAGGGCGATGATCCTGCAAACCTTGTTGTACTTAAAGTGAATTGGTGTTAAAGCGTGAATACACTTGTACAATTAAAGTTAATCCCCACTTTGTGGACTCAAACATGGCAGAGCTCCACTCCAGACCTCCTGCAGGTAGGTAGGTGTGTGTGTGTGTGTTTCAGCTGTACTTACTGCAGAGAAAACAACATTTGTGGAAAGACTTCCCGTCACACTGCACCTCCTCAGCGTGGTACACCGTCCCCCGGCATGCCGTGCACTTGTTGCCTCCGCCCCAGTTTGGCATGTTTTCTTAAATCTGAGAGGAGATAGAAAGATGAAGAAAGAGGAAGGATGTGGATGAGGATCAAACCATAGGTTATTCTTTCTCTCTCAAAATGTAAGTCCTATTTCAGTCTTTTTTCACATTGCAACTTGCTTCTTTTATTTCTAACGCTCATTTTTGATTTATGAAAATTTTGATTTATTAATGTGCCAAGTGGGAATTCCTTTGCTTTTGCAGGCTGCCTCATGTGGACACTCCAGGAACTACAATTTTTCACCACCAGCTGTTGCCACTTGGAGAAAATGTTGAGCGTACAGGGACAGGGAGCTAATTTTAATTCCACCAGCCTCAGAAAACATGTGATTTTCAACTTTTGATTCAGACTTCTGCTACAGGCCACAACTGTCGAGAGAAATAAAACAATGCAAAATAGGTCGACATAAAAACCAGGACACGCTAATTCCCGGAGGAATGTTTCAGGGCGCCGTGCCTTTAAGCTTTTGTTGTCTGCTGGGCCGCCGCGGCTGCAGGACACACAAAAACAAACACTGAAGAAGAAGAAGGAGAGGGAGTGTGTCGTAAACACTGCTGTTACCTCACGGCACTCATATGATGCTCAACCCGCTGACTCACATGTGTATCTGTCTGTAATTACAGACTCACTCCTCTTCAAATTTATGACAAAGAGGCGTCAGTGAGGTTTTAAAGGAGACAAATTTAACATTTAAATCTGTCATACTGAACTTTAAAGATTACATAATTAATTGAAAGATAAACACAAAGCGAAGAAAAAGAAACTATTAATCTTGTCAGTCGGTAAGATCTCCTCCCAGCTGGATTACAGACTCCAGAACAGGCCTGAGCATGAGAGGGGATCAAAAGACCACAAAGGCTGCCCTCAAATTTCCCTCAGGGGTTTGGGTGGGATCAGAGGGTTGGTGTTGAAGTGTGCAGACCAACAAGTCTGCTGTTGACAGACTTCTATTATAGTTTTTCTTCATAGACCATCACAAGCCTTTTCATAAAGGCTTTGGTGGAAAAATAACCAATATGTCAACTGTAATTTAATATCTCTAATTCTGCCAATTTCCTGAAGGATTACGTGTCTCTAAAGTGGCTCTGAGGTAACTTTTGGACCCTGAAACTTCCTACTGAACCGAAGATAATGAAGTTTTTACTGCTGTGCGACTCGCTGAACCTTTTTGAAGAGAAAACACTCAATAAAGTTAAATTTATCAAATTAACCAAAGAGGTTTTTAACAGGGGTCCTTGTTTTCCAGGAATCTGTTACATAACTTTTCATAACTATTGTCAGTACACACAAAACCCAACTACAGCTGATGTTAGCAGTAATAAACTGATTAATTTAGTGTATTTAGGCCCGATTTCTTTAGTTTTTTGGCAAAATATATACAACATTGTAAAGTTTTGTCCTCATTGCAAGGTATTTAACATGAAATATATTGTAAAATCAGCTAAATCTGTTGACAGGTGAGAAAAAAACACATTTATCTTACATTTATTGCTGTTTCTAAACTATCTGTAATGTAAGTATATTGAAGTTAAATGTTTTTAAACTATTAGCATGAGTAATTTTTCATGTTTTTTCCTCTTAAGGGTGTTATAGGCTCCTCTTTAGTAAGGTTCAATAGAAAGTACTCTGATTGTGTTCCAAAAAGTTGTACTTTTTTATTAATAATCTGTTGTCTATAAAACACAAAGGACCCTTGGCCTGTTAGCATGGATGTTATTTGCTATTTAAAGGTAGTTTTACACTTACAAAGCTCAATATGACATTTTCTTTCACTAAGGTTGGCTTCTTGTTAGGTCGATGAGTTCAACATTGGTTAATGGTGAATAAAATGTACAGCTAGTTTTAGATTTCAGACCCTTAGCACAAACTTTGTTGAAGTAAAACGCTGACTTTAGTTTTAAAGTTGCACCCGTCAGTCCGATCATTCGGTTTACCGTGCGAGTAAATTACGATACACGGTATGATATTATATGATATTGTGCAATATGTCTAAACTTTGCAGGTAAAATGTGTCTGTGTTGAACACATTTAAAGTCCTCAATAATAAGAAGACAAAAAGAGGATGAATTTACAGCAGAGGCTTAAACAATAAAAAAAATTATCTCATTTAAATACAACAGTGTAATGTATGCTTTTCTTCCTAAGACCGGGTTACATGTAATTTACATGAACCTGTTGCTCCTGAACTCCCAAATATCTATTGTTACTGATAATAACTGCCATTTCATTGTAACGCAGCAATATATGTAATGCACCTGGACTGGTAGGTAAATCAGCAGAAAACGCATTTTCTGGCAGATGGGTTGAAAACATCTTAAAGTGTTTTTTTCTAGAAGTTAAAATCCAGCTACAGGAGCGGACTGAAGCACAGTATAAAAGAGTGAAAAAGTTACCTTTCTGTAGAGCTGTTAAAAAAAAGTTTTAAAAAGGTGAGTATCCAGACGGTTCTCCTTGGTAACTCAGCTGCTGCACTTTACTACACTGCCTCTGAAATGCCACATACTGCTCATATTTACCGTTCACTCAGAGGAGGAGTTTCAAAGGGGCGTGAACTCAGCACTGCTGCATTCAGGGACACTCAGAAATCCTGAAGGACGTCAGAGGAGAGAAAAAGAAGCATGAGAGCATTCACTAAACCAGAAAAAAAGTGCAAATGAAAAAAAGGATCTTGAGGATTTTACATTTGAAAGTGGATTCTTAAATAACACAGTCAGAGATTATTGCCACCGTTGATAAACACATAATTTAATAATTTTACAACTTATTTTGAACTGATTCATGTTATAAACTTTTTTTTTTCAGGGGCAGATCTACGGGGATGGCGAAGGGTGGCATAGGCCCCCTCTGAAATCGGACTGGCCACCCTAGACGCTACCCAGAACGCTAACCTGTCATTGGACTTGTGGAATAACGTATTTGGACTGCGCTTCACTCTTCTCTATTTCTTCCCTTCGACTAATTTAGGATCCAGATGCCGTGGCACCAGGATTTGCAAGTTGACCCGGACTCCCCAAACTAGTCACTTTTATCCACCATTTTTCAACTGAAGACCAGGATAATATTTCAACAATGAAGGGTGATATAATCATTACGGCTGAGACGATATGCTTTTCTCCCAATTCGATTCTTCTACGATTTTCTGGATGCCGATTCGATTTAAATTGCGATTCTACGATATTGTCGATTTTCTCGATTTTTGGTCTGCATTTTTAACACCAGTGAAACAGCTGAATGATCGTGATTGCCGACTGAAGATTCCAGGAACCATACACATCAATGGTAAGTCAGTTTTTTAAGATTTATTTTAAATTGTAGAACAAAAAATCGCCATACTTATGTGAATTGGTTCTTTCTCCCACCCCTAATAATTATTGGAGGGTAATGAGGGTTAAAAAAGGATTATTAACATTTCCAAGAGCCAGATCATCAGTCAGTGTTAAAATGCTAAACCCTGAATGGTCTTAGTCTAGGAAGCGTCACTTTTTGAACCGCTCTTCTTCTATAACTTTCACTGTACAAACCCATTATGAAGACACAGATTAGCCCCTTCCTCTCGCTCCAAAAGGGTCATGACCTATTCTTTAAACGATTATAGGAACAATAGCTCAGACTCAAATATAATGGAAATCTTTAAGTGGATTGTTCAGACGACTTTAGAGCTTTGGCAGGCCAGCTGAAATGGCTCCACTCCAAAGCTAAGGACACCTAAGGGCACGTTTTCTGATAACTGAGTACAACACTGCAGGATCTGAATATGAGCATGTACAGTGAACCTTACATTATTGAGTTTTTGCTTTTTAAACTCAGAAGAAAAAAAAGATGTTCGTCTCCGTCAGGAAAGCTGGAAGGAGACACTGAACTCAGTTCACCTTGGTTTACAGTTTCCTTTTCAGGGGCAGCAGGATTCATGTGTTACATATAATTAAATAGTTATCTGATGGGTAAAACTGTAGCTATTCTGCCCCCTGCTGTCCAGCGCAATTAAGACTCTGCACATGAGGTGCCTGCTCAGTTTATGCCTCATTAATCCACAGCTGCTTCCTTTTTCAGCCCAAAATCACGATAAAGGAGACTAAAGACCCCTGGTGCACCTCAAGGTGGTGCAGTCCTGCGCATATTTACAGCCAAGCACTGATTTCAGGTAAGCTTTATCAGGTATGTTTTATTTCGTGTATCCATAAGTTGCATACCTCAGGGGGCAACAACAAATCCATATAACTTTTCTTAATTGCATGATTTATTTAAAATGTCAACACAGATTTTGCTTATTTTTTTACAATAATTACTCCTGCTTGAGGAATCAGGGCTCTAGTCTCATTTATTCGATGTACGGTACCAGACACAATTACTCATTTAAAGATGATTCTGCTCCTTTTTTTGAACACTTAATTAGCCTAACTGATCGTTGATTAAACGCAGCTGATTGAACAAAGCCAGGGTTGATTGCAGCCAGCTGTACTGAATCTACAAACCTCACTCATATTTAACCTTTTCCAGACAGTGACGGTCAGCACAAAGAGCCGAAAATCAAAGTTTTCTCCGAACAAAAAGACGTCCTGAAAGTCACTGGAAAAGAAAACGTTTTTAATCAGTTATTGTGAATTGGATTAGATTTTTTTCTCCTGAAAAATTTTGTTAGAATCTGCTGTAATATGAGAATAGAGCTCAGTTAATTACTTTTACTGGTTTCACTCTTTAAACAAATGTTTTATTCCTCATAATAAAGGCTAAAGTGTAGACTAAATACAGCAGCACTGATTCAGAGGATAATAAGAAGTCCACATGTGAATGTCTGCAAAGAAAGCTTCAATTTAACTGAGATGCAGAACATGTAAACCTGTCCTGATCTGAAGCTGCAGCATTCCTGCACAGAAAATTGGACCCAAATTCCCAGAATTTCAACATCATGTTGGTTTAAGTATTTACAAGAACTCATTTTATCCGCTTCAGTCAGAACCCTCCGAGTTTTAAAACTCTTGAAACACACCTGGGTTTAATAAACTGAACAGAGTAATCTGGAAAACATTTGAGAGTGGAAACCAAACCAAAGCAGGTGGAGATGCAGTTCTCCTTCTGCTATTTATGGACACAAAGACTCGAGGTACGGAAATCCCAAAGATAAACCACACCAAATGAACGGAAATGAACAAAAGGTTTGGTATTTTATGAGAAAGCAGAGCTGCTTGATTTAATAAAATCAAAATCGGATTATAAATGTAAAGAAGAGGCAGAACATGACACAGAAAACATGGAAGACATCGTGAACCTGGAGGTACTTTTAAAAAATCCACAGAAAAATCATATTTTTCATCTTTGCTTACAGGTGTTGCACTAGAGGTGATAATTCTTTTGACCAGTCAGCAGACTGCTGCGTGTCTTACTTCTCTCGTAAATTCTTACTAATTTTCTCTCGTAAATTCAGAAAATCCAGACATTTTTCGCCCTCTAGTAAAGACGACACGCTATTATAGTAACACAGTGGACGTCGACATCGGTCACTAATTAACCGTTAGTGCCAAACTGCTATCCTCGACCGTAAAGATCTATAAGAATGAACTCGAGGCGTAGTCACCGGAGGCGATATATATGTATATCCCGCCCTCCTTCGCCTTTGATTGGCTAGAAGTGATGGGCTCCAATTGGTTATTCCCAATGGCTGTGAAACGTCATCGTCTGTCGGGTTAGGGTTAGGTTAGGATGAAGATTTTGGTTAGGGTTTGGAGATTCAAAAGTGCGATAATGTTCTGTTCGATGTACAGAGCCGACAGTCAGCATTTGGCTTGAGCGTGTGATGATGTTTCCAGTTTTTCTAGCCAATCAGAGGCGAAGGACTTCCCCTACTGTCCTACAAAAAAGTTTGCTCACCAGCCTCTCTCCACAGCGGCCATCTTACTCCAGTATACCATTCTGGTACGTTCTATGGTAGCTCATAGTAGGTTAGTAATCTGCATGATCAAAAATACTCTTAACTCGATGATATCTTGACTAATTTACAAATTGTTTTGTTTATTACAGACCTTAATAATGTGGCTATGAGTAAGGTTGCTTGGACATGTTAAAATGGCAGATTTACTTTAAGAAAAAAAAAAGACTTGATCGTGCAGCACAGTTGATTCACGACTATTTGCGCTCAAGGGCTAACTTTGAGTCGCTTTAGTTGTCAAGGCTGAGACCACAATCGAGATGTTAATTTCTTGTATGACAGCCTATTTTTTTTATTTTATGAATGAATGAAAATGAATGGATGGATATTATCACAATAAAGAATAGTATTTAATCCCTGTTCAATAACAATAAAGTCTATAGTGTTTGATATCACTCTGCTCTCCCTTTATTCCTGATAAATATTTTCTATCCGTTTGATTGTTATTTTGGTTTGTGCTTTTCATGGCTATCAGTGTTCATTATTTATTAAACACATTAGGTGGTGTTGTGTGTTGGAAGTGCAGTGCTTGGGTGACAGTGCTGTATGTTGGGAGGGGGGCAGGGAGTGGAGGGGGGGTCATAATTTTTTCTCTTTCTTGCTTGTCCCATGAAACTACTCCTACTAACTACTAGTACTACTACTACTACGACCACTTATTCAACAACTACTTCTACTGCAACTAACTAACCCTATGCTTTCAACGACAACCACTGCTGAGATTATAATCCAAACTCTGCGACGAAAGTGCGAGCCAAACCACCACCTAATACAACCCACAAAGCACTGAGTTTTTGTCGTGCTTTTATTTTGTAAAACGACACGCAAAATGAACCTGTCACTTTACCTGTTTGGTGAACTGATGCAAGCCTCGTCAGACACACCCCCTTCATACTCGGTACACACACCTCGAAGCCTCGGCTTCAAAGATCCCATCAGTACTGGTTCAGGTTTCAGTGACAACAGTCAGAGTGAAAGTATGTGAGCTGAAAAACAGACTCCATTTTGAGAAAAGAAGAGAGAGGAGAGGACGAGGAGACAGGGTGAGTGTTTACTCTGTTTTTGTTTTAATGTCAAACTCTTTATCTGTATCATCCGTTAATGAAAAATGATTTACTGACTAATACACTGAAAAACTGTAAAACAAAGAAACTTGACCAGACAAAGAGCTGGATCAGTTCTTGATACAGAAAACTGTGTATGTGCAGTTCTTCCTCCTCTTTGTTTAGACTTGACTTTTTGGTAAAAACATAAATAAGAATCTTTTTAGAGTCTCATTTCAAATTTAATCCAGTCCCCTTAATCTTATATGAGAGTTCAGGGACCTCACAGCTGATTTTGTTTTGACCATGAATGAGATAAGGATCAGAGAGAGGCCCTGCAGGGTGGGGAGACATCAGAAGTACTTGGATATTAAACCTGTATAACTCTTAAAGAGGGGGATTAAGTCTGTACTTCCTTTCTGATTCCTCTTTTATTTCTGAAGTCTCTTCCTGTTTGTATCTCACCTGTTTGTCTACTTTGTCCTCAGGTTGAATAACTTGGTTTCATCTTCCATGAATCTTCACAACATCAGATGGAGAAGATGAGTGTTTGTGTTGAGGAAGAGGAGGACAGAGCAAAGTCTGTTATGTCCGACTGTCTGTCTATGAAGAGTGACCGGTCTAAAGATGATCCTCTAAACTTCAGTAAAGAACCAGGACCCTCAGAGGAGGGCAGAACAGAGTCTGTTATGTCCGACTGTCTGTCTATGAAGAGTGACTGGTCTAAAGCTGATCCTCTAAACTTCGGTAAAGAACCAGGACCCTCAGATTCACGGTAAGAGAAATACTTTTCACCCTCCAAACTCTCAAACAACAACAACTGATGTTTTAAAATCAGAACTTTAAATTCTGACCCCTCTGTTTTCTACCATGGTGAGAAAAATGATCTCCTCTGCTCTCAAAACGCTGATTTTCCTCTTTAACCTTCAACCTGGAGAAAGTAAAGAAAAAGTCACTGAGCACAGATTTACTTATTATTCCTCATGTTGATAAAAATGAAGGTCATATAAAACAGCATTTGAAGAGGATTCTGACCTCTGTATTTTCTGATTTGGTTCCTGTGTTTGGGACGTTTTGAGCCTGTAAGTCTTTGGACTGTGGTGTATAGACCCCAGAAAACAGTCTGTGGGTCACAAAATACCAGAAGACCAATGAAGAAATAAATCCTGAGAAATAAAAACTCATTCAAACATCTGTCTGTTATTAGACCTTTAGATCTGATTGGTCAAAAAAATGTTTTAAACTGTCAGAGAAAATCTCTCTACCTTCAAAAATCACAGTTTAGTTTTTTCTCCTGTCTCCACACTTTCAGGCAGCAGCAGCTGAATATTTTACAGGAGATTGTTTTATGTTAGAGAAAAGAGTGAGGTCAGAAACTCTGGTTTAATAAATGCTTCTTATTCTGTATCTTTCAAACATGAAATGATAAAGAAAATAAATGTTCTTTATTTCCACAGAGAGACACAGAGATGTGACTCTGTGGAGGAGCAGCTGTCCAGATGTTTTTCATGTCAGGACGTCCTGAAGGATCCAGTCTCTTACCGCTGTGGACACCTGTCCTGCAGACAGTGCCTGGCCTCATGCAGGGACCAGTCTACTTCTTTAGGACACACCTCCTGTCCCCAGTGTGGAAAAAGAACCAGAACAGCTCTTGTCTCTCAGACAGACAGTCAGTCCAGCTCTGATGGAAGTAAGTCTGAACATCTGTCCTCTAAAGTCTCTGTGGATGAAAACTCAGCTGACTGATTTTCACAAAGACGGTTCAGTGTTGAGAAGTTTGGTTCATTTTATTTTTCTTCTCTTTCAGAAGATCTCGGTCTGCAGGAGGTTTTAGATGAACATAAGATCAGTCTGAAGAGGAGATGTGAACGCGTGAATGAAGGAAGTGATGTAACAGGAAGTAGTCAAACCCTCCTCAACAGGATCTTCACTGAGCTCTACATCACAGAGGGACTGAGTGAAGAGGTGAACACCCAACATGAGGTGAGACAGCTGGAGACAGTTTCAAAGATGAAGACCCTCCATGACACGCCCATCAAGTGTCATGAGATCTTTAAAACCTTACCTGACCAACAGAAGAAGGTCATCAGAGTGGTTCTGACCAACGGCGTGGCTGGTGTTGGAAAAACCTTCTCAGTGCAGAAGTTCACTCTGGACTGGGCAGAGGGTTTGGAGAACCGAGACCTCCATCTGGTGGTCCTGCTTTCATTCAGGGAGCTGAACCTGATCAGAGATGAGTGCTTCAGTCTTCTGAGTCTGCTCCATGTTTTCCATCCAACCCTAGAGAAGGTCACAGCAGAGACGCTGGCTGTCTGTAAACTTCTGTTCATCTTTGACGGTCTGGATGAAAGCAGACTGTCTCTGGATTTCACAGACTCTGAGGTGGTGTCTGACGTCACACAGAAGTCTTCACTGAACGTTCTGTTAACAAACCTCATCAAGGGGAACCTGCTCCCCTCAGCTCTCATCTGGATAACTTCTCGACCTTCAGCAGCCAATCAGATCCCTCCTTCACGTGTGGACAGGGTAACAGAAGTACGAGGCTTCACTGACGCCCAGAAGGAGGAGTACTTCAGGAAGAGGCTCAGAGATGAAGATCTGTCCAGAAGAATCATCTCACACATCAAGTCCTCCAGGAGCCTCCACATCATGTGTCAGATCCCGGTCTTCTGCTGGATCACTGCTACAGTTCTGGAGGACATGATGAGCAGAGAGGAGAGAGGAGAGCTGCCCAAGACCCTGACGGACATGTACTCACACTTCCTGATGGTCCAGACCAAGAGGAAGAAGCAGAAGTATGAAGGAGGACATGAGACAAGTCCTCAGGAGCTGACGGAGGCTGACAGTGAAGTCCTCCTGAAGCTGGGGAGACTGGCCTTTGAACATCTGGAGAAAGGAAACATCATGTTCTACCAAGAAGACCTGGAGCGGTGTGGTCTGGATGTCTCAGAGGCCTCGGTGTACTCAGGAGTTTGTACAGAGATCTTCAGAAGAGAGAGTGTGATCTTCCAGAAAACTGTTTACTGTTTCGTTCATCTGAGCGTTCAGGAGTTTCTGTCTGCAGTCTACATGATCCACAGTTTCACAAAGAAGAGGAACACAGAAGCTCTGAAGACTTTCCTAAGAGGCAACAAAGACGAAAGGTTTTCTTCAAAGATGGTTTCTTATTCTTCTAAAAACCATGATGACTGTTTCTCATCTCTGGATGTCTTCCTGAAGAGTGTCATGGAGGAATCCCTTCTCAGTAAAAATGGTCACCTGGACCTGTTTGTTCGCTTCCTTCATGGACTCTCTCTGGAGTCAAACCAGAGACTCTTAGGAGGTCTGCTGGGTCACACAGACAACAGTCCAGAAATGATCCAAAGAGTCATGAAGAACCTGAAGGAGATGAACAGTGAAGATATCTCTCCTGACAGAAGCATCAACATCTTCCACTGTCTGATGGAGATGAACGATCTGTCGGTTCATCAGGAGATTCAAGAGTTCCTGAAGTCAGAGAACAGATCAGTGAAGTTCCTCTCAGAGATCCACTGCTCTGCTCTGGCCTACATGCTGCAGATGTCAGAGAAGGTTCTGGATGAGTTGGACTTAAGGAACTATAACACATCAAACCAGGGACGACTGAGACTGATCCCAGCTGTGAGGATCTGCAGAAAGGCTGAGTAAGTCCAGGTTTTATTCTCAGAATAGTGTAAATGATCCCTGTAGTTCTTCTAATGTCCACGTTACTGATGATGTTCTTCTTCAAATAGAAATCCACTCAAATATCAGGGAGGGGGTTTCTTTAGCAAAAACATGATCCTGGTGTCTAAAGTCCTGTTAGCCCAGGATGAGGTCTACCTGTGGACCCCTGAGAACTTGTCCTGATTGTGGAGGACCTCTTTGTTTTGAATCGTGTCTGTAATGAATAAAGTCGAACTTTCAGGACAAATCAGCGACCATATCTGAGGACACACAGAGGTCTTCTGATGATGGTATCAGTCCAGATCAACATGTCAGTCAACAGCAGAGAGAGAGAGAGATGACCAGAGCCCAAAGACAGAGGTTCAGTGGGTCTTTGTTTCTGTCTCTTAAAGGTCTCTCTGGATTCATCAGGCTTTATAAACTTGTTTCTGCTGCTGAAGGGAATGTTACATGAAGAAAAAACTTTTATTGTGAAAACAAAGAAATCTTCAAAGTCTTCAAATGTTCAGAGTCAAACCAGCTCTAACCTGCTAAAAAACGATTTGATCTGAACCAATCATAGAAAAAGGAGCTGCTGCTGTGATTTAGTGAGTCGTCCTCTGATTGGTCAACAGTCAGTGTCTATGGACAGACTTACATTACAGCAGGATGTCAACATTAAACACTGAGAGGAGCACTGATTCTCCAAGAGGTACTTTGGATACTAACCAATCACATACCAGGACCAAAAACCTGGTTCTCAGTCCCCTTCTCCAACCAGAACTCAAGAATTCACTCAGTCATAATGATCCAGCTGCACTAACATGAAGACAACACTGTTAGAGAACAGAAGGACTAAAATAAGTCATGGAGTCATTTGTCTTGAACATCTGAACAGTTTTTTTTTCTTCTAAACTTTGACTTCCTGTCTTCTCTCATGGCTGTGGTCCTGATATTAGTATCTGTCTGGTTAAAAACAGGCCGTCTGTCAAACCAAAGATCATGTTTGAGTCATTTTTGGTGAAGAGAAACATCAAATACTCTTCAGTTAAATATTGTTTGATATTTATGTTGTTACAGATTTTCTAACTGTGGACTCTCAGAGACTCACTATGAAGTTGTGGCCTCAGCTCTGAAGTCCAACTCCTCCTATCTGAGATATCTGGACCTGGCTTTAAACGATCTGCAGGATTCAGGAGTGAAGCTGCTCTCTGCAGGACTGGAGAGTCCAAACTGCAGACTGGAGACTCTGTTGTGAGACACCATTTCCTTCTGATCTAACAATAAGATGTGACAGTTGCTGCCTTAGATTTTTCTCTGTGGTTTTTCCATCAACTTTGGTCGAGCAGTTTTTTTCCTCTGCTTTCGATTTTTTGATAGTTTTGTTGTATACTGCATTTATACATCATTGCTATTGCTGCAGTGTTATTTGTTTGTTTTTCTGATATGTAAAAACTTAAAATATTGTTTAAAAAAAAAAAGGGAAAGTTCTTTGATGTCCTTCAGGGGCTCAAGAACACTGAATCATTAAAAGCAGAAAAAGTTTCTTCAGAGGTGAAATGATTTTTCCTTTTTTCAGACTGATGAACTGCAGTTTGTCAGAGATCAGCTTTTCTTCTCTGGCCTCAGCTCTGAAGTCCAACCCCTCCCATCTGAGAGAGCTGGACCTGGGTGACAACAATCTGCAGGATTCAGGAGTGAAGCTGCTGTGTGATTATCTGCAGGGTCCAAACTGTAAACTGGAGACTCTGATGTAAGTTTAGTCTTTGTCTGTTTCTGGTGTAGATTCATTTTTTTTAACCCAATTCAAGTGTTCATAGAATTCTTTAATGTTTTCAGAACTTAATTCTTGCTCACATAGTGCTGACAGTAGAGACAACATAGTCTGTTCTGGGTTGAGTGTTATTGTTGAAGATCAGTGTACAGTGAGGGATGAAGGCCGTTCAAGTTCATTTTGAAGACTTTTTACCTTTTGTTGACCTAAGCGCTGGCCAAACCAGTGCTCCATCACATTTGATGTCTTGTCTGTTATTTTACATGGAGGGTCAGAGCAGACCAGATAATGAGCTCTGACAGACTGGATCTGGTCCAAAGGTCTCCTGTTGAAGTTCTTTAAGCTCAATTTTTTAAACCTGAACACCTGAAGTTTGATTATTAATTATTTTGATCCTCATTCTCTTTCCTTTTTTCAGACTGAGGCACTGCAGTTTGTCAGAGATCAGCTGTTCTTCTCTGGCCTCAGCTCTGAAGTTCAACCCCTCCCATCTGAGACATCTGGACCTGAGAGAAAACAAACTGCAGGATTCAGGAGTGAAGCTGCTGTGTGACTTTCTGCAGAGTCCAAACTGTAAACTGGAGACTCTGAGGTCAGACTTTTTTCCTCCATTCAAACATTATCATGATTTGTTTGTGATGATGACACTAAACTGCTGACTCAGGACTGAAATACTGACCCAGACTGAACACCTTCAGTCCAGAGTAGATTTTCTGCATCAGTGGATTATTTGATTGACTCCAGTTCGATCACTGCTGAGCTCCAGTGAATTAAAACCTGAACCCAAGAAGAAAACTCTTTGTAGAGTTCACAGTGAGAAGCACATTCAGACAGAAAACAGAAGCAGGGGGAGATTTGTCAGACGAGAACCATTCAAACTTTTGTTCAGGACAAGATCAGGGACTATAAAAAACTCAGAGTTAAGTTTCTGACACTGATGAAAGTCCAGCTCTGTTACTTTGAATTTTGATTGATTTTGTGAATCTTTATGTGAAAATCTGAATTTTCTGGTTTATCTGCACTTTTCTGAAGCCTTGCTGTGTTTAGACTGAAATATTTACCTCTCAAAGACGTGATATTTTTGGTTCAGCAAAGCGAAAATATTCTGAACCTCCTTTATTTCCCATCTGTCCTGATGTCGCTGAAATTTTCTGAAAATATTGAGCTGCATCTACAATCAGTAAAAAAGTCTCTGAGTTTTTTATTTCACTATTTAATGTGTTTTTGAATTCACAGTTTCAAACTGACTTCCTGTTTGGTTCAGCTCTTTGGAGCGTCACTTTTCTTTGATTCATACTTTCCAAACCTTTCCCCTGAACTCTCCAGATTTAAGACATCAGGTTTCAAACTGGATCATTTTGTCTAAAATCTCATTATTTCCTTTGTATTTAGATTGAATAACTGCAGTTTGACAAAGATCAGCTGTTCTTCTCTGGCCTCATCTCTGAAGTCCAACCCCTCCCATCTGAGATATCTGGACCTGAGTATCAACAATCTGCAGGATTCAGGAGTGAAGCTGCTGTGTGATCTTCTGCAGAGTCCAAACTGTAAACTGGAGACTCTGAGGTCAGACTTTTTTCCTCCATTCAGACATGATCATGATTTGTTTGTGATGATGACACTAAACTGCTGACTCAGGACTGAAATACTGACCCAGACTGAACACCTTCAGTCCAGAGTAGATTTTCTGCATCAGTGGATTATTTGATTGACTCCAGTTCGATCACTGCTGAGCTCCAGTGAATTAAAACCTGAACCCAAGAAGAAAACTCTTTGTAGAGTTCACAGTGAGAAGCACATTCAGACAGAAAACAGAAGCAGGGGGAGATTTGTCAGACGAGAACCATTCAAACTTTTGTTCAGGACAAGATCAGGGAATAGAAAAAACTCAGTTTAGTTTCTGACACTGATGAAAGTCCAGCTCTGTTACTTTGAATTTTGATTGATTTTGTGAATCTCTGTGTGAAAATCTGAATTTTCTGGTTTATCTGCACTTTTCTGAAGCCTTGCTGTGTTTAGACTGAAATATTTACCTCTCAAAGACGTGATATTTTTGGTTCAGCAAAGTGAAAAATATTCTGAATATCCTTTATTTCCCATCCGTCCTGAAGTCGCTGACATTTTCTGAAAATATTGAGCTGCATCTCCAATCAGTAAAAAAGTCTCTGAGTTTTTTATTTCACTATTTAATGTGTTTTTGAATTCACTGTTTCAAACTGACTTCCTGTTTGGTTCAGCTCTTTGAAGCGTCACTTTTCTTTGATTCATACTTTCCAAACCTTTCCCCTGAACTCTACAGATTTAAGACATCAGGTTTCAAACTGGATCATTTTTCTCTAAAATCTCATTATTTCCTCTTTATTTAGGTTGTATGAATGCAGTTTGACAAAGATCAGCTGTTCTTCTCTGGCCTCAGCTCTGAAGTCCAACCCCTCCCATCTGAGACGTCTGGATCTGAATTTCAACAATCTGCAGGATTCAGACATGGAGCTGCTGTATGATCTTCAGAAGAGTCCAGACTACAGACTGGAGACTCTGGAGTCAGTATAGAGTTGGAGTTAGTCTGTGCTGATCTCTCCTGTTCCTCTCCACACAGAATCACAGCAGATATTCAGTATTTCCTGCTGACTCTTCGACCCTCTCAGAGGATTCTTTCTTTAGTGAAGCTGTGAGAACAGAAATCATCAAACCAGGAGTGTAAGAGTGTCAGTGATGAAAAAAGTGTCTCCTCGTCTCTATATTTCAGATCAAATGTAGAAATGAAACATAATGAAACAGAAATGTTCAGTTTCTGCTCTGAAGTCCAGTTTATAGTTCTCTGTATTCAACACAGACTTTATTTCTCTGCTAACTTGTTGATTTTGAGCTCTAAGTCTGAAAACAGACAGCTGTTCTTTATACTTGTTATTTTCACAGCAGGTTTGTTCGATCAGCTTTAACACATTTGACAGGAATGATTTCTTTATTTTGATGATGTTGGTTTATTTGTGAGGAAACCTGCTGCTGTACACCATCACTTCTGCTCTGAGCAGGACTGAGACCTGCTGGTCTTTAAACTGGATGTTCTTCAGTCCAGCTGATGAAGTGAGTCTCAGAGTGGAAACACTCATCGTCTTTTTTTCTCTCCTCAGATGGAGATCCTATCAGTGAGAGTGATTAAGAAGAGGATCATGTGTTTCCTGATGCTCAGAGAGGTGGAGGCAGCGGTGTGTCGGTGTGTTTAGTTGGTCTTAGTTTTTATGAAGCAGGAACTTTGATTTGATCGTCTTTTCTTGGAAATCAAAGTTCCTGTTGGACTCAAAGATAAAGTCTGTGATCCCCGTCAGGTTTGAAGACTTAAATTTCACAGCAGAGTGATTGTGGCTCTGAGTCGGGATGTTTGGACATTTGTTTCATGTGTTTTTATTTGTGATATTCTCTCTAAGGTGGGTTATTGTTCATTCAAAGTATGTGGTGGACAAATCCACACATCTAACAAAAAAAAGGTAAAATATGAAGATTTCTGCATGACATCAACGATATAATAGATATAATTTTCTAAGCAACAGGTGGTCGTCTCTTATAGGGGGTACTTTGATCCAGAAATCAAAAGCAATCGAAGAAAGACACACGTCTGTCTGTCTGATGTTTAGTGCCTTCCTTTTTAGTCTGGCTTTTAGCTGATTTGTGTTTGATTCTTCTAGCCTCTCTTCTAGTCTACTCTTTTTATCTCACGTATTTCACTCCACTTTAGTCCCAGAATTATTATTTTATGTTTTATTTTCTTTTATTGTTTGATTTTAAAACAGTTTTATTATATGATATTTTATTATTATTACTCTTTTATTTCATTTCATTTTTTATCATTTTATGAGTTTCCTATATCTTGTCATCGTTTTATCAGTTTAGCTTCAGCTCCAGTGTTTCCCTATTTTAGTTTAAGATAGTGTTTCCTCGGTCCACTGGGGCTTCCTGCTGAGCCCTGACTTAGTGTCCCAGTGGTTGTGTGTGGGTGGTGGGGTCTCTGTTAAATGTGGGCTTAGAGGGTGGGTGGGTGGAGTTTTGCAATTTGTATTTTATCTTGTATTTTATTCGGTATCCCCTGATCCTCCCCTTCTTGTATTCTTTAATGTACAGCACTTTGCGATACAGTCCATGTATGAAAAGTGCTCTATAGATAAAGTGATTGACTGATTGATTGATTGATTGATTGATTGATTGATATGTCTGCGGCTCCACATCTTCTTAGCCTTCTTTTTAAACACACTCATGCTTCACTAAAGTCTCTTCTTCAGGCCTCAGAATGAAGATTTGGGACTGTAAGACGAGCAGCTGTATCTGAAAGCTCATTGTTCTGCTCATATGAACGCTGCATTTTACTGAATGGTTTTTGGCCACAGCAGACACTTGGCTAAACTATATAAAGTTAATTGTCCCATCTGCTGAGGTTTAGTATGCTAAATGCCTCTGAGGGGCCAAACACATCCACTGGCAGCTCTGGGCTCAGTTTAGCGCTGAAATAAAAGCTCTGATGTCCTCGGACAGATGGTGTGATTGTTTTTAAGTGCTACTCAATCAGCCTGATCTGACCCTGAGATCACAATTGATGCGTTCAATGTGTTTCTGCCTGATGGAAATGAAGTTATTGTAATTATCGGTCTGACCTCTGCGTTTACACCATGTGCAGTCTTGTTTTTAGCCACTATCTTACTCAAACACTTTAATATTTAAGCTGCAAATACTTGAAATAAAGCAGCAGCATGGTTCTTACGCTGGAGTGTTAAATTAGTTTTATAGCAGTTTGCAGCAACAGTAATTGTGTCTAACTGCATAATCATGACATGTTTCCATCTGCTCTGTCTTTCTTATTGGACTGAATTACTGCAGGCGTGCGTGCATTTGTAAACGAGTAAACTGACGCCATCTGCAAATCTGTCAACATTAGGAGAGACGTTTAGGCTCCTTTAATCACGGACTAAAGAAGAAAGATATACCTGCGATAATGTGGTGCAAAACAAAGGAGATGAAAGTCCACGCACGACAAAGTTCATGAGCATCAAACCTTTTTAATCAAAGTTTGTCAAAGCTGTAGAGAAGAGAAGCAGTCGAGGCTAAAACTACAGATTGGACAGAGTTACAGACTGCGAGTTAAGACGCTAAACCATCAGAGTGTGCATCATTATTTCAACACAGTTACAATCTGAAAGTATAAATGACACTATGAATACACTGTACAAGAATAATTACAGACATGAAACTGTACATCACACGCCCACTGTCAGAGTGGATTATCTGTGCACCCTTTGGTGTGACTAACTCCCCTGAAAATGACCGTAAATAGCACCAATGTTTAAGGTGAGGGGAGGCTCCTCATAGAAATCCCCGGACAACCTGAGACCAACTCTCCTCCCCCCAAAAAAGCACCCTCAGGTTGGGCGTTTAATCCCCAACTGAGGGATGAAGACTTTGAAAGACAGCATGTGAGCACAGTGAACTCTCCCTTTAGCAACAAGAAGGGAATTACAAGTATTTATCATAAAAGGGGGGTGATACTTTAGGGTGTAAACGACCAATTGGTTCAAAACCGCTCTGGTGGATCGCTCCAGACTGCAGTAAAACAGGCTGGAGAAACCCTGCAACACAATCTCTGAGAGAAAAAGTCAATATTTGCACACAAACAAGCTCATGTTGTTATTTGTATTGTCTGACAACACAGTAGAGAGGATGAATTTAATAAGAGTGAGAACCATTTTTCACTGAAACCAAGAAAATCTGTAAAAATTCATTCTTTACGGCACCAAAGTCCACCGACAAAAGCAGCAACTTTGACTCACAGAACACTGAGATGTTGATCTACAGCTGCCATGTGGGTTTAAGGTATTGTGTGACATCTCCCTGCACAATAATACACACGTTTGAGAAACCCTGAGTGCAAACAAGTCGCTGTTTTTGTCCATGGAGTCTGGTGGCGTTAAACAGAGCGATACAGCAGATGTTCCCGCTTCAAGAAGAGCATTAATTCATAGAAAAAAAGACACTTAAAATAACTTTATTAACCTGTTAGCTTAAAAAAACGACATTGTTCGCTCACAGTCATTTCGCTGAAGCAATACTGAGACTTTTTGGTCAAACTGTGCGCGTAAAAAAACTCAGGCCCAGGTTTAAAAACAGACTTTTATCTTTTTTTTAGTGATAAAATATCTTTACAGTACTCTGATATCTCCACAAAATCCACCAACAGTCAAAAATATTCAAGTACCTGAGTGCATACTCACGTCACATTCACCTTAAACTCTAAGACGTTCGACCTTGAGCCAAACCGTCGAGGTTACGGCGATTCAGTAAAATAGAAGCTGCACACGCGTCCCTGCGAGCAGTGAGTTAATGCGTCTGCTGTGCATTGAGAAGTCCTTGTGATACCACATCGGCTGTAAACATTCAAGGCCTTATTTAGTGATTTCTGGAGAGAGTCAAGAGGATGCTCTGCTACTCTGATTATCTGGACGACGTGACCAGACCTTCTGGGGCAAACTTCACACAATCACTCGAATTTCAGACACACACCTTAGTGCTCAAATGTTTCATTACAGTACCTGTAATCGACATATATTATCTAAATATAAATAGCAATCGGGCTTTAATACACAAGTGACGAGGGATTAGGTAGCGTGATCATTTTTTGGGGGGGAGGGCTAAAATTAAGGCTGATATACAAAAATACAGCAGTGACGCGCTCCCACCACAGGAGGGCACTGTCTCATTGGCAAATACTGCTTCAGTCACTCACTCTGATATGTAGTGTCCCATCATTGAACCATGAGGCACTTGAAACAAAACAACCAATAACAGAAATTCTGAAAACCAATCACATATTTAAAAAAAAAAAGAACAGATATTCACTGGAAGTTAATCTTCATGTTTCAGTAAGTTTTAAATTTTCGTCTTTTTAAAGAAACTCTTAATTTATTTATTAATAAACTAACAAAGCACCAATGATTTGTAACTATATTTTTCACATTCAGGATAAAAACCTGAGATCCTCCTCTGCACACGACACCTAACAGGTTGGAGGAGGAGGGTGTCCGACGTCCAGCCTTCTCTGAGCGGAGCCTCTTTTTCGAGCCGCCGGCACAGCGCTGACTACATTTCCCAGAGTGCCGGGGGTCTGGAAGAAAGCCTTGGAAGCGGACAGAGGGGCTTCCTTGGGAGTGTGAGGCGTCTGCAGAGGTAGAGAGAGATGTTATTAGAGATGGGAATCGAGAACCGGTTCCAAATGGTTCAATCCATCGACAACATTCACATTTCAACCCGGTGGATGGTACGAAAAGTTTTACGACAGCGAGTCTTGTTTGGGAGTTTTGAGTTTGTGCAGCGTGGACTAACTGAGCCAGGCGCAGGTAAAAAAAAACACTCAACCCGACCAGAAAACCCTCAAAACCCTAATTTGACTTAATGACGACCAAGTAAATGTACAAATAGTTTGTCGTTAAATTTTTATGAGACTACATTTTTTTCTGTTATCAAAGATTCAATAAAATTTTGAGTTAACATTGAAAACTTCTAGTCTACTTTTTTTTAAATCAAAGAAAGACATTGTTAAGAGAATCGTTAAAGAATTGAATTGATAAGCAGAATCTTTAATTGCAACGATATCGATAAAATTGCATCAATTCCCATCCACAAAATTTGTTGTCAGAAGGTTTAAAAAAAGCACCACTTTGCATAAGCTACATTCATAAAAACGATGATAAAACCACCCAGGATTGTTTAAACCCACTGTGAGGACATACTGAAACTGATACTGGACCTCTTTGTGACCTGAAAAGCAAACAAGACCATCAGCACCAAGACCGACAGTTTCTATAGGTATGATTAGAGTCTGAAGCCGCTGTGAGGGGTGTGTGTCGGATCAGATGACGGCAGAAACGGCTCGTTTTTTTTTAACATCAAATATCCTTAAAAAGCCACACATGTGAGATGTTTGCAGGGATGTATGTAGTGGGATGCATTTCATAGTTTCTGCAGAGGAGCCTTTAAAAACCATCAGCTCATCTAATCTCTCATAGCATCACCGTTGTTGTCCAGACTCATTATTAAGTCGGTCTTTAATTCTCCTTCCCTGCCAGCGCCTCAGCGGGTCGTCAAGAAGCGTCTGTGTTTGTGAAAAAGTTAAGCTGGCAGACTTTCTTTAGTCTCGCAGAAAAGAACATTAATCCCTTTTTAACAACTTGGAGCTGAATCAACTTGGACTGCTGTGACAAACAAACAAAAACTGAACATGCGCTCGAGTCAAGCTGCGCCGTGGCATTTTTAAAAGGTGATCATCACAGCGGAGATCTGGAGGTCTTACCAGTGGTTCTGGTGTGTTGATGCTGACAGTGTGACGAGTCCCTGAAGGAGACTGTGGAGCTCCTGTAGCCGGCGTGAACATCCTGCCCTGCTCTGGCGTGGACGGCGACGGAATCGACCTCCCGACCTCCGAGGGTGCTGCGAGGCCAAACGGCGCCGCCCCGACCATAAAGTGTGCGGGTGACATCACAGCGGGCAGGCTGAAGCTCAGGTTGTTGTGGGTTTCGGAGGTTTGCTGCTGCAGACCGCCGGCCACCAGGGGGTAGTGAGGGAGGGCTGCAGAGGGAACCAGGATGTACGGCAGCGGCACGGTGGCGACGCTGCTGGACGGAAGTGCAAGACCGGCCGGCGTCTGACCAGCAGTGAGGAGGAAGTTGAAGCTGCTCAAACCTGAAGATGAAGCGATGGATAAATTGAGTTTCTATTAACACAAACAAAACGAGAACTCTTAAAGTTTTAGAGGCGTGTGCGAGTAGGGCTGGGCGATAAACCGAAAATTTACAGATACTGAAATTTACGAGAATAATTGACATCATTTTGCCCATATCGGTTAATTCGGTGTCAAAAAAATAAATACAAGTTGGTTTTGGATGTGTGTAGGTAGGCTGTGGTCTCATGTACCTTTAAGACGCTGTCCTACAAAGAGGGAAAGACAGGTGAGGAGATGGAGGACGGTTGAAAAGTTGTAGCGGCTGGAGTGGAGTCGATTAAGGCTGCACGATATTGGAAAAAAATAATATTGCGATTTTTTCAACCCTGCGATATATATTGCGATATTAAAAATACAGTATTTTCACCAGATGACCTGAATAGCACTTAATGTTATGCTGCACTGCTGAAATCTTGAGGACAGTTAATCTGCTCTGATCTTACCTCTTTTTGTGAATGTTAGTAGAACGGCTTCTGTCTGTCTCAGAGATATTTTTAGCTTTTATAGTTCTGGGACGTTATTGTGGCGACAGGTGAACACAGAAGACGTGTTTTGGTCAACATCATCCTTCTTTTAACCGAAATAATTCCAGATAACTGACTTTCCTTTTCTTTTTGGCAACAAGTCTTCATTTTCGGTGGTTTTCGCTTGTTCGTTGTTCATTTTGCGATCGTTGTTGTTGTTGTTAGCGGTGTTGTGCCGAGAAACGCATGTCCTCCGAGAATTGCATGCACCTCGCAAAACGCGCACTGCTTATAGTAGAGTGGTCCACGGAAATGTACAATTTAAAACCCATACAGTTCTTATTTGTTGGGCTTAATAGTCATGAGTAAAGTTCCGAAAGTAATTCTCAGCGGACACACGTCTCCCTCCATGTGCAGAACATGTGCAGGGGTGGGTTTCCTCCTCCCTGATTTTGATTGACAGCTGGCAGGGTAGTCTGATTGGCAGCTGAGAAGTGAGTCTGATTGGCAACTGAGTTAAGGACGAAGGCGATTGGTGGATCGCTGCACAGCACATGCAGAGTCACATGGAGTGTATCTCAGTCGGTTACCCTTGAAATTAAATGAGTTCATTCACCTCCAATATCGCAGGCTCTGCGATGTGACTATCGCACACACGTACATCGCGATGACGATAGTCAAACGATATATCGTGCAGGCCTAGAGTCGATGAAGTTAATGTAGGAGGGGGTGAGCAGTAGTTATCGTCCATTTATCGTTATCGAGGTGAACTGCTCAACATATCGTGATACTGATTTGAGGCCGTATCGCCCAGCCCTACACACGAGTGTCTGCGATCAAAGCCGTGTCCATACCTGCGTTGTTGGGCACATAGAGGTAGTGTGAAGGCTGGGCCGGCTCCTCGGCGGGACTCTCAGGGGCCTCCTGCTCTCTGAGAAGACCAGCCGGATGATCGGGAGAAGTCCTGTTTCTGCACTCAGCTGATTCAGGTCTCATCTGGGAGAAAAAAAAAACACAGGCGATAATTAAAGTGGACTCAAAGATGGAGAAACCTCTGATTTGTGTATTTAAGTCAATATTCACTTTATCATCTTAAATCAAAGCAGCGTTTAATGCGTCTCCCCTCTGATTACACCGGAGTTAACTTCTGCCGAGTCATGCTGGAGATCACAGCTTACAGTCTTTTAATCTACCTTTCTTAAAGACCATGAAAAATGTGACTTGTCCAATTAGCAGGATTGTGCAGCCTGACTGATTGCGAGGGTTTTCACTTTACGAACATCCTGTAAATCACTGGAATAAGTTTTTAATTAAAGCAGGAACGACTTCTTCTAACCAGTCAGCGTGTAGAAATTCACATTTCCAATTTAACGCTCTGCTCTCCAGAGTTATGACGGGGTCTTGTTATTTAGCCTCTTATAAGACATCATATAATCATGAATGAACTGAACTGGAATAATAATGTTGTTAATTTAAACTACATGGTGTAAACAAAGCATATCCAACATCCTCTCACCTTGTCATTTTCCTCTAACCCGGAGATTCCCTTCTTCTTCCTCAACACCTCCTCCTCCTCTTCCCTTTCTTCCCTCTTCCTCTTCCTTCCCTCCTCAGACTCTGACCCAGGCGACCTCTGACCTTCAGGCCTGTCTGGCGCCCTGTACAGCATGACCACGGAGGGCTGGGAAAGGCTGGGGAGGTAAGCCAAGCAGTGCGGGGAGGGGGAGTTGGCGAAGAGTTGTTGCTCTGTGGGGAGAGAAGAGGCCAGCAGGGTTGGGTAGGAGGTGGACGGAGGCAGCGGGCTGCTCCTGCTGCTGCAGGTGGAGGAGGTCTGCAGGGATGCACCAGGACGGATCCTACAGAGGAAACAAGACAGGAAGGAGCAAGAAGTTAAAAGGCTTGATTCAAAAGTTAAAGGGATATTCCAGCGTAAAATTCATTTCTGGTCAAACACACCGTAACCCCAAGTTGACACCCCCTCGAAAGATGAATGTTGCCGACCGCTTCCTTCTCTAGTTATACCAACTTTAGTAACGACCGCACGATAGCAGTACAGAGAACCACGCCCTCAACCAAAACGCCACTCTATAGCCACATTTCTTTATTATTTCCTTGTAGTAATAATCATCATATTTATCATTTTGCTCTGCAGACACAGTAGTTCTTCTGTCTTAGCGTCTCAGTCTGATTGTATTTCCATGAAGAAATGATCATAAATGTTCTTCCTTGAGCTGCGTCACCCCGCTGTAGTCCGTAACGGACTGGCCTGAGGTCTCATTACAAACAAGCGTCTGCTGGAAGAGAGTAGGTGAGTTGTGTTTAGTCTCTTTGCTAAAGAAATGAGTCAAAGTTAAAAAGATGTTTGGTGTCTAGTACTATGTCTGTGACCCTATATGTCCTGTTGATGAAGTTAGGTGCTGTTCTGAGCATTATTTGAGGTTATAGAGTGGACTTTTGGTTGAGGTTTGTTTATGGCTCCTTTGACCGCTGTGTATTGCTATCGTGTGGTTGTTTCTAAAGTTGGTATAACTAGAAAGCAAGCGGGTGTCTAACTCGGTGTTACGGTGTGTTTGACCCTGAATTAATTTTACACCGGAATATCCCTTTAACTGCTTAATGCCCATCAAAGTATGACTTGTTGTGGACTCTCTTTGATACGAACAGGCTGTAGCTGCAAAAGCGAGCAACAGTTTACAGTAAATCAGAGATCCTCAGGTCGGGGCCTCCTGGTTGTTCCAAAGTCAAGACTTGTAACTAAAGTTGACAGGGTCTTTTCCATCGGGGCCCCTGAGGAGGTGGATTTGTCTTCCTTAATATAATGGTCCCCCTGGTCTCAGGTTTTTGTGGTTGGGCTCCTATGTTGGCCAGGTATCACGGGTCCTTATGATGTCTTTGTTTTAGTGACGTCTCAGCTCATGTGACACGCATCAAAACTTTTCTGTCTTCCACTGGTTTTCGTCTTGTCTGGTCTCTTTCCCTCAAGTTTTCCTCCATGTTAAAGCACTTTGTGAACTCTTATTAGAAGTGCTGTATAAATAAAGTTATTATTATTATTATTATCACCATTTTCTTAACTGTTTATCCACTCAGAGGTTGCAGGCAGCTGGAACCGATCCACACACTTAATCCTGCAGGGGACTGAAAGTGCAAATTACCCCGATGAGCTCATTTTTGGACGGTGTGAGGAGGTGGGAACACCTGTGAGGAACACAGGTACGCAAACACTGTGTTGCATTGTTTGTAAAGTGCGGCTGTTGCGGCTTACTTCCATGTCATGTTTTGCATCTGTTCTCTTTTAGTAAACCATTTGTTAACTCACTCAGTGCTGTTTTCAATCCTCACTTGACACGCCGTGTTGTTGTTGTTGTTTGTCATCTTTTTGGAGTAATCCACAGGCTGGTGTTGTGGACCTGCGATGAGAGGAAAGGAGAGAAAACACTGTAAGAGTGACGCCGTCCCACATGTCTAACGGTAACGTAGAAACGGAAACAGAGTGTTACCTGCAGGATTTCGACGTGGACTGCTGGGTGCAGAGCTGACCTGACGCTGCACGGCCGCAGAGGTTGGTGTGACGTTAAAAGACGCGTGGCGGGGCATTTTTAACTGTCTGATGTCTTCTTTTGTTATCGGCTGAGTGATTCCAGGCAGAGTGACGGCTGAGGTGTTCACAGAGAGAGATAACAGCGAGGTTAGCGTTAAAATATCAGCAGCTTTAAATTTAATCCCCTGAAGTCTTTGAGAAGTGTTTGTCGAGGTCTTACCTCCACTCCCAGAGTTTTTAAACTCCACAGGGCCGAGCCATGTGAAAGCCGGTTTCCTGCCCCTCTCCTCCCGGACGTGGACTTTCTTTATCAGGTCCAAACTGGTCAGCACATTGGCGATATCATACAGCCGGCGCACCTTAGCTACAGGAACAGAGATGAAGTTTAGTTTGACTAAAATAAAACAAACCGGACTCACACATTAGCAGGAATCCTCTCTGCTCTTACTTTTATACTTGCTGTGACTGGATGAGTCCTGGCTCTCCTCGATGAGGACCTTTGCCGCTGCGTCCAGAGTGACGGTCTGAGTTTTGGACACCAGGAACAGCATGACGAACTTTTGGCTCATGATGCGCAGAGATTTGTCCTTTCTGTTGCTGCCTGCTACAAAAGCAGAGAAACGTTAGAGAATATTTGACACCGCTTCAGGATCACACACGTCACACATGATGGGATGATTTTTACAAATCTCCCAGAAAAATGAAGCAATTTTGGTAGATTTAACTCTGCTTTATCCCTGAAAACTCTCTATTATGGTCCGTTTGATGTTATTAGGTTTCAAACCTGCAGGACAAAACTGTGAAATAAATCTCACTTCGGAGGCAGATTTGTTTGAATTGTGATTGCTGCTACAGGAAGATAAGACAGAGGTGCAAGATGTGTAAAAAACAGACAGAAAACACGTCCTCACTTGTTATTCACAGGGACATTTTAACCATGAATGCAGAGTGTTTTGTTGTGCACAGATTTCTTTATACGACACTTTTACTCATATCGTTTTATCGTTATATATTGTGCGATTTGATCTGGATCGGTGTGCTTTTACTTTTCTCTAATATATTAGATTTTTTGCACGACTTGTCAATCAGGTAAAAGGGTTAGTATGTTTTTGAAATGTTTCCTCTCACACAAACTGTGCTTGGCTCAGCACAAAACACGATCTGGATCGGTGAAATTATTTTTTGGAAATACCTGATTTTGTGTTTTTTTTAGAAAACTGGTAAAAGTCTGGAAACAAATATTTTTTCATACATTATTTTTTCATTTTCCATTCTTTTTAATTCCTGAAAATTAGCCAAATTTATTTCCATACTTGCGTAGGAACCCTGAAAAAACAGAAAGGGGGCTTCAAACTCGTCATTACCCTCAGAATTTAGACGTTATAGGTTGAACATTTCCACTGAGGGAGAAAGCTCTGATTTACTGCAGCCCTGAATTTGTCGCGAAATTTACCAACAAAGGGGGGCACTGTTAATTCACCACCATAAATATTGGAAATAGTCCTTTAATAACCTGTTTTTAACGTCTGTTGATCCTCCTGCTACAATCACAGGATCAGAGAGGCTTAAATATGCAGCCTGTACCTTTACTGAGCTGTTTTAGTCGTAGCTCTGTGTTTTGAAACGCCGTGACCGCGCTAGAGAAGTCAGGTCAGTATGTAGAGGCGCTCGTATGTGGAGGTTATTTCGCCGCGGTGGCTCCTGCTCTGATTTTTGTATGCGCCGCTTTAACGGAAGGTGTTTTAGTTCTGTAATAAACCTCAGCTCCGTTAAAGCACAACAGTAAAGACATGCAAAGGTGAAAGAAATAAAGAACCAGCCTCTCTTCATTACCGCTGTTGGCGTCTCCTTCTGCTCCATCATCCTCACACCCCGCTGCAGCCTCTCTCGCCTCATTGGCCATCTCCATCTGGAGGTGGTAGCCCTGCTGCAGACCCCTCCTCTGCAAATCCTCCAGTGTGGCCTCCAGCCGCTGGCGACCGTACCAGGTGTAGCTGTTCTTGGCTATCCGACCCACGATGGTGAGGGACTCCAGCACGTTGACGATGTCGTAGATGCGCCGCCGCTCCACTCCTGAATGTTTCAGAGATGACGACAAACTTGAGCGTGGAAAAATACGAGCTCACATTTCACACTTTTTAGCGAGAGTTATAAAGACTAGCCGGCCTTGCTCTGATTTGCAGCCTGGTGTCCGTCCATAAACACCAGGCTGCTGTTGCCATACCAACTGCCAAATGCAATTACATAAGAGCTTTACGATGCTCATTAAAAGGACATGATCTGCCTCTGTCATCGCTCCTTTTCATGAGGGGTTATCAAAGGCAGCGTTGGCACCGGTATCTGCGTCTTACCAAGACTGGAGGCCACCTCGTCCAGTGAGATCCAGATGGGGCTGTGCGGTGGGGGGTAGTCAGGGTAGAGGGCCAAGAACTTCTGACAGAGCAGACCCAGACTCTTCTGCTTCCTGCTCGGCTTTTTGTCCGCGTCGTCCTCCTCGTCCAACTGGAAAGACAGGCACACGGTCGAAATATAAAACCGGTCTTTATCACCGTCATGGGAATTTCAAAACCCCCTCGAGGGGCTTTGCTGAATCAAAATCAAGGGATGCGAAAAAAAACTGATAGTGAGTTTGACTCAGCGTTTAAATTGGCTCACAAATCAGATCAGCGCTCTAAATTACTTTCCTGTAACGTGTTTTCAGGGGGCAGATTTGGAGAAACTAATCGAATCCTTTAATGCCTTTAATTATGTTTTTGATGAGGCTGGAAAAACCTCAAAAATATTGCATATGCCGAATAATTGTCTTTGGCTCTGGCTGCCATCTATTATAAAACACAGTTTTATCATGTATTACTGCATAATTGAGCGTTTGTGTCTGTGCTTTTGAAAACTCTCTATCTTGGGAAAAGTTTGGACTTTCTGAGGTTTTCATATCATATTTTGAGTCCATAATGAGCAGCTGGAATCTAACTTCATAATAAAACATTTTACTCATAACTTGAAACACCTCACTGATTATTAAGTTGACCTTTAACCTCTTGGGCAGCTGCAAAAAGTCTCACATACCTGACAAGAGTCTTCCACCTCGGCGTCCTCCGCCGCCATCACTTGTGGACTCGCAGGTTTCTCCTTCTCGTTCTCTATGGGCCTGAACAGAACCTTCTTCATCTCCCTGTCCCTGATGTCCGGACTCGCAGCGCTGATCAGCATCTTCAGGTTGGCTGTGGGCGTCCAGGGTTCAGTCAGTACTGTGTGCTTGATGGGGGTGATGTGGGCCAGGTCAGGGGTGGCGACTTTCCTGAAGATCAGGAGGGGGGTGGGGGACTCTGTGGATTTCAGGGGCGTGGATTTTCTCCTCTCGGTGCAAATGTTTTCCTGAGAGAGAAATATGAGGATATTTATCTGTTTCCAGCTCTTCTCGTGACTTAACTCCTCTCTAAAGATGATATAACATCTCTTGAATCATTCATCCACCCTACCTTCTGCTCACTGTGGCCCCCATCCTCCTCTGACTCCACCTTGAAACTTTTTTTCCTGGGACTTGTGAGGTCTTTGAGAGCCAGACATTCAACTTCCATCTGCAGCCAAAAAAAGTCAAGATATTACCGGAACATCATGCATCAATACCCGGGCTGATATTCCTGTAGGTCTTATGAGGGAACAGGGAGATTTTAGGCGGTAATGTTGCTGCAAACTCTGCCGGGTGGGAGGCTGAATTTGGCGCACAGAGCTTCGGCTAATTAGCCTTTAGCGAGCTAACGCCTATGACACAGTTATTAACCTCAGTATAGTGCGAATTGGTTTGATTTTAACACTGATAAACTGCTTAAATACATATAAAACAGACAGCGTTTTACCACATGACATTAACTTACTGCATTAGGTGTAATATGAGGTGGAGACTATGTGTCTATAGTTGAGAAAAGGACACATTCACCCTAATTAGTCACTATATTTAGACAAGATGTGGTAAATCTTGTAGTAAGTCATAACTTTTTGAGGTATAATTAAACTAATAAAGGCAACTTTGGCTATAATTAGCTTCTTACTTAGCAGGGAACATACCATCAGTGAGAGAAAACGCAGATATTTACCTTTTTCTCCTCTTGAATGACTGGATTAAACCTTCAAATGTAGCTCCAGGTCCACCTTTCCTCACTCTCCGGTTCTCTCTTTCTTCAATCGAACATACCAGCTTTATTCCCTCCTTAAGAAATAAGCGGGTAGTCCCCCTTCACTTCCACCTTCAGCCCTCTCCTCCGAGTCTCACTGTCCCGGGGAGACCTCTGCTCTATCACCCGCTCAAGCTTGTTTTCTGGCGCTCTCGGGCATCTGGATGACTCCAGCCAATCAGCGCGCGGTTGAACCGCTGCGTCACAGAGTCCAAGCCAATCGGTGCTGTTGTGCTCGGGTGCGCGCCTCGGCTTCCACCAATGGGTGCGTTGAAAAGCCACGCCTCCTTGAGATATGTTGGCGGGGCAACCGGCGCGCTCGCTCCAAGCCCGCTATGGAGTCTTTAAAAAGAAGAGGTCTCACTCTGTAGCTTATTCTGTGGACCTTTTTCCTAGAAATAATAAATGATAAAGGTTTGAAGTATGGCCAGGTATTCTATATGGTGGCTGAGAACCACAACTGCTGCAAATAGAAAAGAATACAAAAAAGGAAGCCACGATGGAAGTTGTCAATGCAAATAAAAAAGAAACGGTGCAGATAAATTAAAAAAAAAAGGCACAATGGAAGTTAATGATGCAAAAAAAGAAAAAAAAGGCGTTGCAAAACAAAGTACAGTACAGTTGCTTGACTCGTAGAAATAAGTACCCAGACCCCTCTTTTTTTCATTTTTGGTCCCCAGCTGCTCACTTCTGTCTTTTTGATTTGCATCCTTTTATTTCTGAAGTACGGAACTTTTTTTTTTTCTTTTTCCATTGCCACTTTTTTGCGCCATTAACTTCCATTGTGCCTTTTTTTATTTGCATCCTTTTATTTTCTCAGTAACTATTATTATTGGCACAATTGGTAACTCCCATTGTGGCTTCTTCTTCATTTTCTCTTTTTTGCATCCTTTTTTATTTGCAGCAGTGGCGGTTTTTGGCCACCATAATTTTAAATTAAAACTACCGACTCTTTTGGAAAAATAAAATAAAATAATGCATTTCAAGCAGCGCTCATCATGCAGGATGCTCATATAAATACACAAATGTATTACAACTACAAAATGAAGCTTCCACCATCCAATTTTTGAGTTTATTTCATGTAAAATTAAGAAAAATAACAAACCAAGAAGGTTTTGAGAAGGGTTACTGAGCAATTATGTTATACAAATCACAGCATAAGTGTAACATTTTAAAGAAATCTCGTCATTCATGAAAACATCCTTTTGAAAATGCTTATTAGTAAAATCAAGGTGAAATTTGTGGAATGAGACAATCATTCAAATAATGCCGTTTCACTAGCTTGATATGAGATGCATTAGTTCACTATAGCAAGTGTATATGACTGAGATTTAGAGAAGAACATCTGAGACCAGTGACACGTCGTCGCAATAGACGATCTTTGACTCTCAGCTGGGTACTTTGGCTTGTCTCCTATTTCTTCTCCCACAGTGACGCCCTAAGCGTCAAGTACCGAAGCCGAACACCTAGAAACCCGCTATTAATACCCTTCCCCGGACCACAGAGGCCTTTGTTTCTGCTGCTTGGAGTAATTACCTCTGCGGCTGAAACAGACAGATGGGGGTCGAAGGTGGGGGGGCGTCAGGAGTGGCGCTAATATCACCTGAGCAACAGCGCGAAAAGTTGTGGGTGGGAACGAGAGCTCGCATTTTTAGCAGCCAGGGTCCCGCCTTGTATGCAAAGGGTGTCTAAGGACGAGCCCATTACATAACATCCTCCAATACACAAAATCTACCGCCAAATACTATTCAAATCTGGACTCTGAGAGGAGAGGGGGGCAGGGGTTTTTAGATGATGAGGGTTCTTGAGTGATCTGTCTGTGAGTTTCAATAGTAGACCAGAGCAATGACTCAAACTATCAAACTAATCAGCAAAACTTCCAAAAAACAGGAGAACAAGAGAATATTTATTGTTCTACAGGACCAGTGGGTCTCTGAAGTATTCATTCAGTAAGTTGCATTAGTTCAGTGAAAAGCAGTAAAAGACAATTATAACAGAATCATTAAAGCAAAAAGAGGAAGAAGGAGGTGCATGTTTTAAATTCAGCTGATAACATGTCAAACCCTTGTTGTTGTTTCTGCTAATGTTTGTCTTTGTTTTTCTGAATTGCTCTGGAAAAGCTGAAAACCATTACCCTCCACATTAAGCACTCAAACAGCCTCCCCTTTTGTCCAGGTTTGAATCCAACTGCAGCCCTACATTAACCACATCAAGAGGCTGAAACTCAGGAGTGAACCCTTAATGAGTGGATGGGCTGTTTAACAGATTTGTTTGTTGTCCGGAGTAATGGACTTGGCACAGGCGCTCTCTCTTAACAGCGCTCTGTTTTGCATTTCAAACAGCATCACACTCAAACCTTTCCTGACCTTTAAAGCTCGTTTCCTTCACAGCTCAGTCTGATTATGGCCGTGTGGACCACTGTTTGCAGATCATTGGTCCTCTATTTCACGTGTTTATCCTTTAGTAGCCTGCAGACAGTTGGAGTTCAGTGAGACACATGCAGTTACTGTGATATTTGCATGAACACTCTTCTTGTGAATTCTAGCTCATGCATGATTGTTTTCTTTTAATTCTGCAGAATCACAGCACTGCGGGACAGTTTGTGACAGTATTACGCCATCACTGGTTAAAACTGATTACAGCAAGTTCAGGCATGTTCTCTTTGGTTGTCATAGCAAAGCATTCTGGGAAAGGGTAACAGTCACTAACTGACACAACCTATAGACAAGGCTTTAAGTGCAGCCACCAAAATGTGCCAAAACGTCTACACTTCCTGCTGTTGGACAAAAGTGAAGCCAAGATACACGACACGGGCAGACTGTGTATGTGGAGCCTGAGTTTCTGCTCTTTCTACTAAAACATACATTTGACTCATATATATGTTATGTATATGTATATATGTAGATCTTTCAGACGGGTACAGCCAGGCTCTCGCAGTTACAGGAAGTTTTATACCTGAACAAAAGTTATGCCAAGTTTGATCTGTTTCAGGTCGCTGGCTGACATAAAGAACCCTTTACTGTTACCATTTTTGGCCCAATAGGCTTCCGTTAACACCATCTTATCGCACTAAATCCAAGTATATCCAACAAATGATCAAACATGAATCAGTCAGTGTGTTTACATGCACAGCTTAATCGATCTGAGCTCATAATTTGTTTTTTGTTGTTGAATCAGACTTCTCTCCTTGTCCTCGTATTCATGCAGCTGAGAAAATCTAATTATTGACGCAAACATGTCCTCCTCCCCAAAACTAGGGGGCGATACAGGTCTTTTCAGCTGCGCTGTTTTCGGACCTTTATTAAAGATGTCTCCGTTTCTCGTTTCGCGACCGTCCATATACTTTTAAATGTTCATTTCTGTCAGGACAGGAAGCATAACAGCGCATCTGCAACATGCTTCAGCCATGTTGCAGTAACTTCTGAGTCCAAAGTTCTTTAGATGATAGCGCCACTTCTTCTCTGGTGCATCACATGCATTGTCCGATCATACTCCCACTACGCTGGTTACATGGTAGAGAAAATCAAATTTCAATCGCATCATCTGGGTGTCTTAATCGGAGTTCTCAAACCCTGATTATAAAGTGTTTACATGCACTTCAGTTGTCCGGTCTTAATCGAAGGAAGGCAATGATTTGGTTTTTTTCGAGTGTCATGTAAACGAACTGAGTTAACATTTCGACTGGAAGTACCGACAAAGTTTATTAATTTGTATTCGCTGAAACTAGACTAGACTTTTCATTAACTTAAGACAGAAACTACAAAAAAGCAAAAATGACTATTTGGGTTTTTTTTTAACCAAAAGACGGTGGTATATTTGCTCAGTCTTGTCTTTGATTTGCACCGTCACACACCAGTGCAGCCCCCATTGTCCCCACTATATGTGACATGACACTACTGGAAGCCCCCCCCCCCCCCAGTCATTGTGTATTGCAAGCATGTCAGGATGGCAATGCATTCAGTGCTAACAGGACCACTTTATAACAACTTTCCTCCCCTCGGTTTGAGACAGTGGGCAGTGAGTGGGTCCGACTCCACGTGTGGTTTTTTCACTCCTCACTGACCTTTCCTCTAACTGCTTTTCCCTGAGAGTTGATACAATCACAGCAAACTCAGTTCAGAGAATTCACATCAGCTGAAATGTCAAACACCTCCTCTGGCATTTAGTTAGACTCTAAGGTGTAACCTGCCCTCTAACATCGTGACTCTTCGCTCCGTCTGTCGTGTATTAGGGATGAGTTGACTTATTTTGCAGCAGGTTCAGACTCCCTCATTATAACTTTACCTTTAAGTTATTGTCCCATTTCTGTATAAAACCACTTTTGAGTTTAAACAAACTGTGGTGTCACTTTTGCCATGAAGGATTGATTTACTGTATTTGGGGTTCTGGACTGGTTGTAGTAAACAGTACTAACAGAGCCAGGGAGTAAAATCTGAATTTGCTGTTGCTGGTCTGGTCAGGCAGCTCTATCAGCTGGAGGGTTCCTCTGCCGTGTTTGTAGGCGGGCAGGTCCTGACTTGTCCTGATGGAGTTGTTAGGGAGTCAACTAAAGCTGTTCCTGAGTCAACAGCCAAAAGTGACCCCCTCCTCCTCCTGCAGCTCTAACATTTAAATAACGTCACCCAGGGCTTTGTTGAAGCCTCACACAGATTAAGGTTCAGTGAATCCTGAGATACGTAGAGTTTTGATTTAAACCAAAAGTGTGGCTGAAATCACACCATCATCATCTTGGACTACCATTCCAAGATAATCTGGTCGAGATCTAATTTTCTCTTCCATGTGTACAACTCTATCAGACTGAAACTGGACTAAGGCTACGTTCACACTGCAGGTTATGATGCACAATTTGGATTTTTTGTTAAATCCAATCTTTTTGTGCGGTCGTTCACATTACGACAACGAATGCAGCATCTAATGTGAAGGGAATGTGTCCGTGAAGTGACCCACATGCGCACAAAACACAAATTGCTTTCCGCTAACAATGGTGACTTGGTGGCATATTGATGATGTATAGGTCGAATGAATGTGCCTGAACATCCACACTGCAGTCACATCAGATACATATCCGATTTATATCCACGTACAACAGAGGCCTGGGTCGGATTAGAACAAATCAGAATCGCACTGTTCACACTGACATGAAAAAATCAGATTTGTGTCACATATGGTTAAAAAAATCAGAATTGACCTGCAGTGTGAACATAGCCTTAGTCTCCTGCACATGCTTCAATATTTACGCAAAATATCAACAAACGAAGGAAGGTGTAAAAACGACGAAACTTGATCATCATACAGAGAGCTGAAAAAGTAATAATGTTTTTATTGTTCGGTGTACACCCTGTAACATTTTACTAACGTGTTTAATGCGTAAAAAGTCGACCAGGAGACCACCCAGTAGAAACCCACCTTACTCAGTCAGACTGGGACGAGGACAGTAGCCTAAGTAAACCGCCTAATCGAGCTTTAACCGTAGCTCCACTTTGCTGTCCATGTAAATGTACAGATTTTTGGCGCCCCCTGTGGACAAAACCAGTCTATTATGTCCTGAACTGTGTGCTTACGTTATGTCGTCTTATAAAAACTCTCCTCTCACCGACCTTTAACAGTCGAATGTATCAGTGAGTGTGAATATTCTGAGTGGAAATCAGTTAATTCTGCATTCTTCATGGAGGTGAACCATGCACTGAATCAGTCGGCTATAATTCATGGAAATTAAGATGCATAACTCAAATATTTTTAAATGCACAGGCCTCAAATTTAGGAGCTGATTCACAAATTCAACGTGTTTCACAATAAACAAAAACGATCAAATACAAAAAAAAACACAAGCTGCAGAATTAACAGCCCTCATATTAGACACATTAGACCTATTTACATCTTTTTAAGATTTGAGCACCTTCACTCAGTCAGAACATGTTGCAAGTATCAAGATATCTTGTCTCATTTGCACCATATTTGTATCCTGCGTTTTAACCAACTGCTTCATTGTCTCTTCAGGTTGCAGTGTGGTGTGTACCCTCATTTAGTTAGAAATATGGAGTAAAACTGACTGAAGAATCTGTTGGGATCAGAGCAGGGACAGTAGAATAAAAACAAAACACAACCCCGCCCCCCAGAGGTGACTGGGAGCTACTGCATTATTTTGTTGCGGTCAGAAGTCATTAAGTGGAAATGCTCTCTCACAAACTTTGAGCCACAGAAACCATCCAGAGCTCCATATATCCAGCTCATTGAGGACACTATGGGATGTATTCAGGATTTTTATTCCTTTAAAGTTTCCCCACTTTAGATCATTCTCATTATTTATGCATTATTTAATTCTACAAACAAGTTTAAACTCATTTAAACTGGATCAAACATCACTGATGCTTCAGTAGTATCTTCACCTCTATTTCAACTAATATTAATACTTTATTCTCTGCTAGCGTTAAAAGAAAAAAGTTTCAGACAACTCTTTGCGACTTCTCTCACTCTAGCCGACGATTCCATGCAATACACACCCATTATAATCTTCTCATTTCTCCAACAATGATCATTATCATTGAAGAGTGATTGATCAAAAACTACAATACCTATTGAAATGTGGATTAATACACCGATAGATGAGACGTGTGTCTACGTTTTAAAGTTTAAATGGAGTCTCTAGGTGAAAGTATGTAAAAACTTAAGATATTTGAAAAACTCTAATAATTGCTTTTTTTCTTGCTTTTCCCATCGATTCCAATGTAAAATATATTCTGCAGTTTTTCACCAAAAAAATATATACAATAGAGAAAAGTAATAGCACACTAATCTCAATCAGTTTGTCCAACAAATCTTCAAGCCATCAGACAAAGAGGAACAAGAAAAAATAAACAGTAGGACAATAGTTCCTCAGGGTGAGGCACTGGCACCTGTCCTTTAGTACAGGGGCCCCTTCACAACAATGTTCTGTCCCAATATTATTGTATAAGGGCCGGTGCCTTTGTGTGTTTGTCCTGTGGCCCTCATATCATCACTTTCACGATTGACAGTCAGTTCTTGACAAAACACACTGGTCATTATTTGTCTTTCTTTACATTCCGTTATTGTACATGTCATTGTTAGTTTAACCAAACATAGGTATATGACACGCACGTCTGTGATTCTAACTATGTGAGATGTCCACATTCTTGTGAGATGCAGAGAACATTAGTTATTTACATATGAGGTTTTCAGCTCTACCTTCCACTGGTTGAGAAAGGAACTGTACATTTGTACAAAAAAGAAGAATAAATGCTCTTTAATTTAAACTTCTTTTTTGTAACTTACGTATTAGTTATCCACATTCAGAATGGGCCTGGAGAGCAGCTATGTTGCACAAGTAGACCCTAGTATTTGTTCCATCTTTCAATCATTAGTCTTTTTTTTAAACCGGTTCTCCTTTTTCAGTGGAAAAATGTCAAAAATCCATTTCTGAGTGTTCAATCTCATTTCTACTTTTTTCAGCTGCTGTATTGTCATCTCTGAGTGAGCTCTGCTTGAGGCTACCAATGCAGGACTCAAAGATCCTCTTTCTTGTGCCAACACTTGTCCCGTGTGTTAGGGGCCGTTGTTGTATGTCCTTTTCACTGCAGAGTGAGCCGATTTCTTTGTCCACCTCACACCCCATCTACAGTTCCAACCATTAGTGTTCTCTATTTTTTTTCCCAGCAACTCTCAGAATCAATCACATCTTGTAAAAAAAAAAAAAAAGAAAATGAGAAAAAAAAATGTAATAAGTAAAAAATGACTAAATTCTGAATAATTTACATGCACAAATTGGTTGGCAGGTGCTGCAGATAGAAAACTCAAGATCTTAAACCCAAAACCAAAACTTAATTTTTCTGTTCATCCTGTTCAAGTTTGAGTTCAAGTCTAAGTTCTTGTCTCCCTAGATCCCTGTGGGCTGTCCCTCCCTGCAGTTGTTCCTGGACTTGCACCTCCCAAAAGGGATTAACCCTGCAGGGCGGCCACATTCTAGCAAGGGAAAGTGAGCCTGATGTGTCCTCTTCATTGCTAGTCATCATATAATGGCATATATGATCATTTGATTTTATTATCACTAAGATATATTAACTTTTTGTTTTTTCCTTGATAAGTCAGGAGGTGCTGATTTGTAAATGAATTGATATTTTTGCCTTAAACTCACCAGGACAAAGTCACACTGAAGTTTCATCACCATGCTCGACAAGCTGAGGTAAGATTTTTTAATTCTTCACTTATTTTAATTGTCACTGAAGTTAATTTTTACAGATACTGAAAAAAAAGACCACTTTCAACCCTCTAAATACGACTAATCCTTTTGAATGCATGTGTAATTTGAGGAGCTGTGTTCTGCCTTAGAGTTTTTCAGAAGACATTTCTTGGAAATTTGTGTTTACATCAGCAAAAAAATACATTTTTATTTAAAACCATTTTTTTTAATATCTCAGAATTTGCTCAAACTTTAGAAAATATTCACATTACAAGGAGTATGTCCTCTCATTGGTGAAAAAATTGATAACAGACAAGATTATCACAACTCCATCACGCATGTTACTGACAGTAGTCCTTTTGTTAGTTCACTGCCTTTGTGTTTATCTAAGTGATAACAGGTAACGTCAGCAGTTCAGGATCCCAAACATTCGCCCTGAAATATTTACTTTAATGCTTTGAGTGAAAGAGTAACAGAGTACAAACAAACTCTTTTGAAACATTAAAAAGGTCGTTTTTGGAGGTAGAGTATAGTGGACATGAAGCGCAAAACACACACACACACAAAAGTGTGCATATCTTTTGTACATTGATTTTATAACCGTTCCTCCAAACTTGTGTTTTGATTTATTTCAAACACAGTGCCCATGTGACCCAAACCCAGCGAAACTAATAGCAACCAGACAAAAGTAACTGAACACAGGATAACCGATAAGCAAAGCAACGTGGTGGCTCCTACATGGAACGTTAGTGAAAAGGCCATCGGCACCAATCGCCGCTGATCGTTTCCGTTCAAGTCAAAGTGTTCAATTCTACCGGCTTCTTTCTGGCGCCCTGTGGTTCAGCAGGGCTTCATAGCCGATCGCCAGGGTTCTATGTTTTCCAGACGCCGCATCATGACGCTGAAATCCCTGGATTTCCTCCTCTGGAAGGACACAGTCTGCTGCTTATGTGGTTATGCGGCTGTCTTTATAGAGACAACTCGTTATCGCGTGATTGCACGTGAATTCGCGGATTCTTGTGAGTCCTCGCTATTCCCGCTATTCGAAACAAAACGCGTCCAGTAGGAATTGGCATATAGCAAAAATCGCCGCAATTTCGCTGCAGTGCCGTTCCGATGCGTTGGGAATTGGGGATGACGTTGCACATTTTTACTTTCAATCAACTAACTTGATTTGATATTTAAAAAAAATCACAATTTTTAACAAATTCAAACATAAAGATATGCTTTATATCCACCGATAGTGACATTTCCTAAGGCGAGGCGACTTACTTCCTGTGTCGTGGACAAATTCCATTAAGCGCTGCTGCACCACCGACCAAAATCTATAACGGTGAAAAATGCCGAAAAAGTTCAGCAGAAGATTGTCAATGTTTAAAAGTTTCTCTTCGGTGAAAGTTACCAGTGAGGAGGAGCAGAAAACCAAACAAAAACACGAAGTACGAGAAAGTGAAGAACCGAGTTCCATTGCTAATGACGTAGGGGAATTGGTATATGCTTAATTTCAAAATAAAAGCATGCTTTTACAAGACAGGAAATCCACTCTCTAATGAAGTTTCTTTCACAGAGCGGCTGTTTCAGATCAAACATGACCTTGAACAGCATTTGAATTGGACAAATACCTGAAAGTAAGTCAACTGTGGAAACAGCCCACATATCAGACGATCAACAAATATTGGAGTTTGTGGTCGAAGCAATAATACCCAATCACTGAAATGAGCTCTTTTTAAGTCTGTGTAATTTTTACCTTGATTTCACCCTTTGATAAACTGACCTCACGGATGACTGGATGCAGTTTAGTTGATAATTAAAAGATGAAAACGTCAGGAGGTCAATGCAAATGCAAGTTAAAGATCAACCAGAAAGACTCCCTGTAAGCACACGAGCGATAACAAAGGTTTGGTTACTGTCTTTTGTACAGGAGAAGACAGACCGTGATGCCACTCGGCATTAATCTTCTAAAAGGCTTCGCCGTCTTGGTCTTTCTGGTTATGGTTGTTTTGATGCTGCAAAATGTGGACCTTCTGCAGGTGAGAACTTGGAACGCTGTCGTCATTGTTTAAATATTTGTTGCAGAGGTTTGACTGGAAGAAGCCACAGCAGGAAGTATCACTGTGGGGTTTTTGTCAGGTCTAAAAGAGCAAAAAGACTGGAAGGTAACACATGCAATTTTTCCATCCATCTTTCTCACCCTTTTTTTCTCCCAGCCCCGCCAGCCAAAGTCGAAAGACCACCCTGCCATCAACTCCACAAAACCGCCCACTGATCCTCCCGTGACTCGTGACTTCTGCACCTTCGAGCCACGGTCTCCAGCAGAAGCTCAGGAGGAACGTCTCTTACTGGACTCCATTGCTTGGCCTGAAACCCCCATTTTGCCAGCTCCTATCTCACTGGAACAGACGAGTGATCCGGCCAACAGCACCTTCACCATCCTGTCAAGAGGAGAGTGGCATGTCGGAGATCAGCTGAGAGTTTTGATCAGAATAAACGATTTCCAAGGTCATGTGAAGAAATCTGGTGGCGACGTCTTAGTTGCACGGCTGCACAGCAAGACGCTCACTGCAGGTGTAGCCGGGCAAGTGGAGGATCACCTGAACGGCTCCTATTCTGCGGTATTCCCTTTACTCTGGGAGGGGGACGCACATGTTGAGGTAAAAGGCCATCTACTTGAATGTTAGAAGCTAAAAGAGTTGATCATTTTGGAGGTATTTAACAAACGCCGTCCACTCTTGTTTTATCAGGTGATGCTAATTCATCCCAGCGAGGCCGTCACAGTCCTGCACAGGCTGACCAGAGAACAGCCTGACAGGATCCTCTTCACGAGCCTCTTCCACACGCCACACCTTGACCAGTCCACCTACTGTAACGTCTGCCTGCGTCAAACCAGCCAACCACAGTGTGACTTCACCGACCTCCGCACGGGCGAGCCGTGGTTCTGCTACAAACCGCAGAATCTGGACTGCGACACCAGGATGAAACATGCTAAAGGAAAATTCACGCAGAAACTGGAGGCTGAAGAGGACAAGCTCTTCCAAAAGTCAGTAAACTACCCTCGACCTTCCTAAAGGAGAGCAAACTGTGTATCTCCTGGTTTCAATCAATCAATCAATCAATCAGAGTTTATTCGGCGTCACTTTTGGGAGATGTTATGTTGATCGTTGTTTTGTAGAGTGTAGTGCAAATAGAGAGGCAGAGAAAACAATTATTATGGATAAGAGGTACTTTCTTGTTGGTTTTTCTTCAGGCATGTCAACATGAAGGTCTACATCAAGGCTTCAGGACCTGACGGTGTCACTGTGTTGCCATCGAAGAAAGGTAAATCTCTGTTTTTCCACTTCAGTCATTCTCTACGATAGAAATCTGAGTCGAAGGGTTCGAAGGATTGGTCTCTTCTTTTTAGCTCCTAGAAACTCGGTAATCCCATCTCCACTTTTTCAAATTCTTCTCAGGTCAAACTCGGGTCACTAAAGACACTGGTAGATACAATCCCTCTGGATATTACTACCAGGGTGTGTGGCGAGCTCTAGGTGGCAGCAGAGTTCAACAATTCAACACCTCCTCTGCCATCAGTCAGTGTCTGAAAGGAAAGATGGTCCACCTGTATGGAGACTCCACCATCAGGCAGTGGTTTGAGTTCCTTGACGTGTCACTACCAGGTAGCTCATCCAGAGAGGTTTTGGGCTGCAGGTTGATTTTATTTACACCCTAAATCTTGAACCTTGACCTGTTCCTTTGTGTTAAACTTGTAGATGCACAGCACTTTGACTTGAAGGGCTCAAAACAAGCAGGACCTCACATGAAGTTGGACCACAAAAACCGCTTCATGATAACATATCGCTGCCACGGTCCTCCTCTTCGTTTTCATGACATCCCAGTCAGTCAGCTGCGTTACATTGCCAATGAACTGGACGGATTAAAGGGTGGCTCTGACACTGTGGTTGTGATCGGCATCTGGTCCCACTTCAGCACTTTCCCAATTGAGGTCTACCTCAGACGCCTCCAGAGCATCCGCAGAGCCGTGGTCCATCTGTTGAATCGGGGTCCAGGCACCCTGGTGATCATCAGGACTTCAAACCTCAAAGCTTTGACGCTGTATGAGACGCTGACCAACAGTGACTGGTTCACCATTCAGCGTGACAAGGTGCTCAGAGCCATTTTCAAAGGAGTCAACGTTAAATTGGTTGACGCCTGGGAGATGGTTCTGGCCCACCACCTTCCACACAGCCTCCACCCACAACCCCCCATCATCAAAAACATGATCGATGTCCTCTTGTCTTACGTTTGTCCCAAAAAGTAACGCTGGCTGAAGACTTCAGGGAGCGGATATTTGAGATTTGATAACGCAGGGAAATCAGGTTCTTGTTGTTGGAGCAGAAACACTTTCAGGTTATTTTACAGGTTTGGGCAAAAACTCTTTTTTCAGCACTGGCTGCTTTTTAGTGATTCCAAGTTAGACACAGTTTATTGGTGCTACTTTTTACACCGGTTCAGAATCATGAGATGATATGAAGGTTTACAGACAAAATCTAAAGCTTGCGGTAAGTTCCCGCTCTAGCTCCCCAATATCCGTCAGCTATTGTTTTGTGTTACAGATCTCAATGAGGTCATGGCCACAGACAGAAGGTAGAAATGTCTTTTTTGGTGTTGTTGGTCCCAGAATAAAGGGAGGGAGGGGGGGATCTACTGTTTACCAGCCGGTACTGCCAAAAACAGAGACAACCGTGTCTAAAGGTGATAAGACGAAAGAACTGGACGGACGCAGTCAGGGAAAATACTTGTTTGTTGCCCTAGAGAACCTGCAGGTATGGTGACCTCCATAAGCGCCCTCCCCCAGGACAGCGGTGTCCTCTGGGTCTCATCATTGCTGGACGTCTTGCAGCACTTTGATCAGCTGTGGTTGTTTTAAAGTGCTTTACAAAGTTGAGTTGAGTTGAGTCTTTGGACTTAGGACTTGGCAGTTACATGACTGTGATTAATGATTGTGATAGATTTCAGTTCGATCACGTGATCAGCTGTGAGCATATTTACTCGATCAAACATTGAGTAAATCTGCTCATGGGGAAGTAAACAGGAGAAGTCAACAGAATGACAGGATGTGGAGCTGAGGGCAGCAAACTAGATGTCAGCCATGACTTTGAGTCATCCTCCAAAGATGTTATTGTTGAGAAGAAAAGTTATTTAACGTCGGTTGTGTGGCGGTGGTTCGGGTTTCTCCAAAGTGACGTTGAGCAATTAAGCCGTAATGTAAGGTTTGTCGGCGGTTGGTCCCCTCAAAAATTGGCAACACAACAGATCTGTTTCATAACTTGAAGTCCTTTCAGAGTGATTATGTGGAAAACATGAAAATGTGAGCGGAGTCTGTACAGCCCGTCAGTTTAGCTAAAACTAGCGGGGCAGCCACCAGACCAAAGAAATCGATCATATGATCTATGTTTACATCATCTAATGTTTACATTTTAAACATTATTTTTTATTTTGGGTTAAAAATATGTTAATAAGATGTTGAACTGATCTCTCGTTTCTTTAGTTTTTAGTACATATGCTTTAAAACTGCCATTTAAGAAAAAATAAAAAAAATCGTGATAATAATCGTGATCGGACGATATGACAAAATATACTGTGATAATTATTTTTGCCAAATTGCACAGTCCAACTTGGACCGTCTGTCTAAAGGCCTGGCTCACGACAGAGTTATGATTTAACAGCTAGCCTCACAGGAGCGGAGTGTAGAGAAAACTCATATGCATGTTTGGGAAGCTCATGCTGTCAAATAAACTCCTGAAATCATTAAAATGCAGAGCAATACTTTAAGAGGATTTATGAGTTTGCACCTCACGCCTCGTACCTGCCCGGCAGTCTGTAAAATATGTGACGGTTTACCAACAGAGAGGATGTAGCTCTGCCTCGTGCGACTTCAGGTTCTGGGAGAGAGATGGGAGGAAAACAGGACAATCAGTTACAGAGACAGAGGACAGGGACAGGGACAGGGGAGAGAAAATGGATCAGTGAGGGAGGATTGATGGAGCCGCCTGAGAGCAGACTGTAGATCATATTAAAAAATCACGTACATTTAAGTCAGCTGTGGCTAAAAGTCTCAATAAAACAGGTGACGTTTCAGTACCAGAATAAAGAAGAGGTCTCCAGCGGTGTTAAACTAGTAAAACTGAAATATGTAAAATATCAATGATGATGCAAACTCAACAAGTTTGTATTGTGCGTGGTAGTCGGTGCTGTGTCTGCAGAAAGATCACAGCATTTTAAAACATAATTTCTCTGCTAATATTGCACAAAGTAAGATTTTTTTTAAGCCCTTCAACATGAGAAACTCACACACTCCCTCCACACCTGAACACTTTATTCCTTCTTCTTCACTGGCTCCAGGTTGAATGAATATGACTTTATGATAACATGTAAATGTTGCTCATATTGAATTATGCATCTGTTGTCTTTGTCACTTTTTTTTTGTTTCTTAAACATGTTAAATGTGTTTTAAGACTTTCCTCAGGGTAATGGTGTTTTACGTTTGTAAAAATGTAGGGATGTATGATCTTGATTATTTCTCAGATAGATTCATTTATGAACTTTATTTTTAAAATGGTCTTAATTTAGTTTGTAAAGATGCCAAACTTTTATCGTAACGCAGTAAGTTTGATCAGTGAACTCAGATTCTGCGTTTTCATTTTAATTTGATATCCCACGTCTGATAAGGTGAGTTCATTTTAGCGGTAACTGCAGACAGAATCACACTTCTTTTATTATTTTATTATTGTATTTAAGCTGTACCAAGTTCACAACCATCATGCATTGAGGGATATTCAAAAAACCACAAGGAGACTTTAAATATGACCATCTGAACAATCGAGAACCTATTAAACAACATCAGTGGAGAGGTGGTGTATAGAGATTTGGATGCAACACTGCCCCCTTGTGTTCACCAGAGGAACTGCACTTTACTGTACTGCAAAAACTGAAAACTACAACAGTTTTATGCCTTAAAAAGTGCATTAGACCTGATATATATGAAATAGACAAATTTACTCTTCAACTTTCCTGAAATCAGACAAAAGGTCTTATTTCAATAAAACTACCTCACCTCATCAAAGTAATTCAGCTCTGACTTATGGTCCTGTATAGGTTGCATTATTCCAAAAATAAGACTTGGATGTGTCTTGACAGGTTGATGTAGCTTAGATTGCGTCTAACAGGTTTTTTTTTACGACTAGGAATAACACAAAGACACTTGCCTTGAGTTGACTTTTGCAGTGTGGTCTGGAGGACTAATGCAACTTTTTATCCTTAGCTCTTTTTTTATTATCATTTTCCTCAGCACAAATAAGTCTTTATATCTTTCACATAATTATCATTTGTTGACTTTACACACAAATCGAGATGTCAAACTTACAACCCAATGCAACAGTTGAAGTGCATTTCTTGTACAAGATTATATTTTTCTAAAATTTGGGTTAAAAAAAGATCCAGATCAGAAATATCTGAGCGCTGGTTTTCAGTCCTGGTATCAAATATTATGGCAAAGACTGTTTGGTAGATAAAGTCTAAATGTTGGGGTTAAGAGTCATGTATTGTAGCTGAAAGCACTGAAAACTAATTTTAAACAAAAATTGAAGCGATTTTAAAAAGTGTGAAATTTATACACCACAGAAAAAAAGTATTTTTTGCTTTTTTTCTGACATATCCATAAATTTAAGTTGACATTATGGAGGCTGTAAAATTAGAGGTTATAAAAGCATGTGTTTTAATTTCATTAAAGTGCTCAGCTCTAAGTGGGATGATGGTTTATTTCTGAAAACATTTTGCTTGAATAAAAAAAAAAAGTTACTTGAATCTGCAGAATCTTTGACTTTGTTTTCATACTCTAACAAAAAAATTATAAACAAAACTAAAAATAAACCTTCTTTTAATGGGCGTTACACCTCTAAAAATAACTTAAACAGCATGTTGTGTCACATGACAACTAAAGTAACACTAAAATTTGACCTTTAGGGATTCAAAACAAACTTAAAAGTCCAATATTGACAAAATCTTATGACCTGTTTGTCACAGTTCACAAGCTCACCTCACCTCACCTGGAAGAGTTGAGCCCCCTTGTGGCTTAAATTAGAACTACATTTCCAATAAGAAACCGTACAAAACTACAAAATTAGAATAGATAAACTACATAATGTGACCACAAAGAAATGAGACGGGTCTTTCCCTCTGATGGTGAACTGTTGACCCTGATGTCTTCAACACAAATGAGTTTTTGAGAAATTATCCCCATAGAGAAATGAAAATGTTGCTTTTTGCACCAAATTGCAAAAAAAAAGGTTTTATTTTTTCTATACTAGACATCATATGCATTCACTGTTTATTATAAAAATGAGATGCTGGGAGGCTAGCAGATGCTATATCACTAAATATGAGTCATCACATGAATAGTACTGATGCAAAATAACCCTGTTTAGATGTGAGAGGAGCCCTCCATCCACGGTTTGCAGAAAATGATAGCATTCATTTCCCCTTTGATCATTTGATGTGATTTTCTCCCTCCGACATTACGACACAATAACGTTTCCGTGTAATTTAACGTGGCGTCGGCCGTCCAGCTGCTTGTTAGTCCTCACATGTGTGATGTTTGGATAATAGAGAGCGCTGAAAGCCTGCAGGAGGCTGAGCTCAGTAAATTCAGCCCCACGCTGCAGTGAAATGGATCATCAGCCCGGGGTCCCATTCCTCAATACATTTACTCAACAGGGTCTCCACAGTGAATACCAAACAGCAGATACAGCGGCACAGGCCTCTGAATATATGGAGGTGGGTTTTATTTTATATATGCTTCCTATCATGGTGTATTAGGGATGTGTTTTATCAACAAACCCTGCAATAATGAGCACCGTGACTTTTTCTTTTTTTGTGCAGAAGGAGCTCAGATGGCGTACAGACACAGACGGGAACATCAGCTGCAGCAGGACGACATGAAACAGGTCTGGGATGGTGTGAGAAGATCTCAGGTCTCCGTCAGAAAGGACTCAATTTGATGATGTTCTTACCTCCTGCAGATCCAGTCCAGCACCTCTGGGACATCCCGCAACATTGCATCTACAACCACAGACTGTCTAGAAGTATGCACAGACATTCATTAGAGGGTGTGCGTACAGGCAGGTGGAGACACAACTGAGCCACATCTTGAGGTAATTAAAGCCTGATCAGCCTCATTTTCCAGGATGATCCTGAATCCAGTCCTGACACTCCAGACAGACCTTCAACCACAACATCAAACCGATCCAGTCTGCAGACACGAGTATTAAAGGGATATTCTGGCGTAAAATTAAGTTAGAGTTAAACACACCGTAACACAGAGTTAGACACCCCGTCGAGAGATGAATGTTGCCGACTGTTTGCTTCTCTAGTTAAACCAACTTTAGTAACGACCGCAGGATAGAAATACACAGTCTGAGGAGCCATAAACAAACCTCAACCAAAACGCCACTCTATAGCCACAAATAATGATCAGAACAGCACCTAACTTCATCAACAGGACATATAGGGTCACAGACATAGTACTAGACACCAAACATCTTTTTAACTTTGACTGATTTCTTTAGCAAAGAGACTAAACACAACTCACCTACTCTCTTCCAGCAGCCGCTTGTTTGTAGTGAGACCTCTGCCAGTCCATTACAGACTACAGCGGGGTTTCGCAGCTCAAGGAAGAACATTTATGATCATTTCTTCATGGAAATACAATCAGAGCGAGACGCTAAGGAAGAAGAACTACTGCGTCTGCAGTGAAAAATGATTAATATGGTGATTATTACTTCAAGGAAATGATAGAGAAATAATCATAAATGTTCTTCCTTGAGCTGCGACACCCCGCTGTAGTCTGTAATGGACTGTCCTGTTGGTCTTACTACAAACAAGCGGCTGCTGGAAGAGAGTAGGTGAGTTGTGTTTAGTCTCTTTGCTAAAGAAATGAGTCAAAGTTAAAAAGATGTTTGGTGTCTAGTACTATGGCTGTGACCCTATATGTCCTGTTGATGAAGTTAGGTGCTGTTCTGAGCATTATTTGTGGCTATAGAGTGGCGTTTTGGTTGAGCGAGTGGTTCTCTGTATCGCTCTCCTGTGGTCATTTGTAAAGTTGGTATAACTAGAGAAGGAAGCGGTCGGCAACATTCATCTCTCTACGGGGTGTCTACTTGGTGTTACAGTGTGTTTGACCCAAAATAAATTTTACGCCGGAATACCCCTTTAATTTCATGCATGTGCTTGTTAGAGCTTCTGTTAAATCTTGAATCTATGTGTGCAGAGAGGACACATTCAGCGCTGATATTTTTTATGCACCAAAGAGCAGAAATATTCATCCAGAGTTCTTCACCTCTGGCTAAAAATGTTAATACTTTCATCTGCTGTTGTTGCTCCAGCAGAGATACAGGTACATGTACACGAGCGCCGCGGCTACAGTGAAAATGAGTCTGTGCAGGTTAATTGAAAATTTCGACCTGACTCTGAGATTGAATAAAGGCGTTAATCACAGGTGCAGCCGAGTGCTTTTCTTTCATGTATCCAGCTCTCTGACTCAGTGCTGACTCCACATCGGTTTTGCATGTTTCATACATAAAATCTGAGGGACGGTTCAATAAAACCCCAGCCGATGTGCGTCACTGATGTGGACTGAAGCAGAGATTTAACCACCGCTGATGTTGGAGCGGCTGCAGAAACCCAAACCTCTCAGAAAATCATCAAAAGACCGTCTGTCTGATAAAAGAGATTAGAGGATACTCCCTCAGCTTTTAGAGGTTTGATGTGAAAGAAGTGCCTCATAAATAATGAGGTTTGAATATTTATCCGAGGTTTAGTCAGCAGCTGTTGAGGTGCAAAATATGATCCTCTGAGAAACGCTGCATGGAGGAAGAAAGTTTGATCTCTGAAAATAGAAGCAAACCGAACCTCAACGTTGAGCAAAAACTTACTTTAGAGCACATCACTCTACACTCCTGCGATAGGAGGTCTGTGGGATCTTAAAAAGCAATCACCCACTTTATTATTTTACAACTGCTGTGAGGGTTTCACAGAGACATGCTCATTAAATGGTTGTAAAATGGAAGCAGCAGAACCTGAAATCTGACGACTTCTACTACAAGGTCCAAGAACACAGGGTCCTGCTTTCTCATATGTAATCTATCCTCTTATTTGCATCATCCGTGTGTTTCCAGGTGACTCGTGTATATTCCATAGGTTCTCCAAAGCAGAGAGACTCTGTGATTGATCTGCAAGCGGGTGGAGGAGATAACGCTTTGAAAAAGCAGTTTGGGAGCGCTCTATTAAATGATAATGGGAAAGTAGATTTAGGAGCCGAACAGCGATTAGACCAGTTTGTCTGCTGCATTTAAATGATCAGAGGAAACATGAAGTTTTCTGGAGATATACAGACTTACAGCTGAGGAGAGATTACACCGAAGGGGAAACACTGAAGAAGCTCGACTGTTTGAGTTTGGAGGTGCTTTTAATTTGGAGTCCAAGAACTAAATATGACCTTAAACATGATGAGAAGTGAGGATAGGTTTAGCAGTTTTGTTCCTACGAAGTGTGATCGCTACATGCTCTCGTTAGCCATGTTTACGTGGAGAATTTGATTCCCTTCAAAGGGTTAAACTGAAGCATTTCAGAGACATGAAACATTAAAACATGCGTCAGCGGTGGTTGAACCGCACGGCACCTTGTTGACAGCAGCTCTAAGACTGACGGGCGAAGGTTGCATCAACTGTGAGCGCTTCTTAGTCCCAAAAGGGTTTAACCTCCCTTAGGGGTAGATGCTGTCAAATATCTGCACATAATCTGACGCTCCAAAAACACCTTTGGGACCCCCAAAACCCCAGGAGTCCTGACTCTGAAGGCTCGACATGCTGAAGGTCAGCAATAACAGGGCAGAGTTCTAACTGAGCTGAGTATCTTCGTATTCACTTAGCCGTCACATCAGATCATGTACAGAAGTAACCTGTAGAGGACATTACAGACGATGACGACTTACACAGGATTCACTTAGCAGGATTTAACACACGCTACAAGATAATCGGGCTGAATTTGGACCCGATTCCAACTTTTAACAAAAGTCTGCAAAGGCCTGATCATCAGATGGTCGTGGAGATTACCTTTGTGGAGTAAAGTGTATTATGAGTGACTCTTTCTTTCTGATCTGACTGAAGAAGATGATGCAACCATGGCAACGGAAAGCATAAACTGAGACAGACATGAGAATCAATCAGTAGAAGGATCAGGGTGGACTGGATTTAGACGGTCCACCCTTCACTTATATCGCTACCATAACAACATCACTATAGCTGAGTTTACATGGTCTCAAATAATCGGAATAAAAATGCGTCATGTAAACATGTCGAGCGGAAGATTCTGATCCAGTTTGGCTCAATCAGAAAGAATTGAAAAAATCCGAACTGCACTGTTCACACTTACACATATCTGATTTTTTCATCTAAGTGAGAACAGTGCAATTCTGATTTTTTGTATGTGGATATAAATCTGATATGTATCTGATGTGACTGCAGTGTGGACGCTCAGGTCGCGTTCATCCGACCTATACGTCATCAATATGCGACAAACGTCACCATTGTTTGACGACACAAACAGGCGCGGGGAGCAATTTGAGCTTTGTGCGCATGAGGGTCACTTCACAGACGCATTCCGTTCACATTAGATATTGCATTCGTTGTCGTAATGTGAACGAACCGCACAAAAAGATCGGATTTAACAAAAATTCCGAATTGTGCATCTTAACCTGCAGTGTGAAAGTAGCCTAAGATTGACCTTCCTTATGCTGGGTTGCACGGCACATGGGCTGCAAAGCATCACCTAGGGTGATCATATTCTGATTCCACAAAAAGACGACACGACTACGCGGAGGCGGAGTCACAGAGTTGCGGGTAGTAAATTCTGAGAGTTTTTCGGGTCGGACAGAGTGTTTTTTACGTGCTTCTAACTCAGTAAGTCCACACGACACAAACTCAGAACTTCCATACAAAACCTCGGACATGTGAAAGATTTTATAAACATGCCGGACAGCCCCCAAAAAAGAGGACACGTCTGGGTCACCCTAGCATAACCTTCCTTTTGGTAGTGCAAATCTTGTTCTTGTATTTGCATTGGGCAAAAAAAGTGTTTTGTTTAAATACAGCAGCTGAGTTACAAATCTTTATATGTTTATGATGAGGCAGAAAAGTCACCTCTGACCTTTGCTGTCACAGCCTTTACTCTCGTCTGGTCTGTTTTTTTTTTAACCCATATTCCCTCATGCCAGTCAGACTCTCCTGCATCCATCACTACGTCACCATTCCCCCCTGAGGATTCAGATATTCACAAGGTTTGTTGACTTCCTTTTGCATGTTTGGCTCCGCAGGGTCCACAGATCCGGGTTGATTTAAGGATTTAGCTGAACCGGTCCTCTCTCCTCGCAGAAACGCTCCAGTTTTCCTCAGATAGTGCGATGTGATGTAAATCTTCTTGAAGCTCCATGATGTGGAAGTACCAAGAGAGGCGGTGTGGGAGGAAGAGGAGGAGGAGGAGAAGGTGAAGGACTTGGCATTCCTATCTGCGTGCTGAGCCAGTTGGTGCCTACATGATTAAACAGCACAAGTATAGCACAGTCTGTATCAACTCGCACATCCCTGCCAAGTTGGAAAGTACAGTTCTCCTAAACCCACTGATGCCGTTTAAACGCCAGTTAATGCACATTCATCTCTGAAAAGAGAAACGGGAGAAATAAATATCTTTAACTGCATTTCTAATAACAGGGACTCAATAAATCTGCATTTCAGGGTGCTGGGAAAGTGAAAGGATTAAACCTCATTTCCTCGTTAATATTTTATAGTTTTTGACTCTGCAAATCAAACCTGAGGATAAAGGAGAAAATGAAAGCACGAACCAATCCATCACTCAGCGTTTCAGTGCCAAACACCTCCCGCTCTTGTCTTTACAGGCGCTGTTTTAGATGAATCTGACAGGCGGTGTGAAAGTGCTCCATGCATGATTTCTTCCCCCCTCTGCTTGTTCTTATTTATGTATACATGTTGGCTTTGTTTCAGTCCATTACCCTGACCTTCGCTACCTTTCTCTGATGCTTTATGGGTGGCAGATGGTGCAGCAGCTCAGCTTTGACAGCTAAGGGCATCATTTAAAATTGTTGCTTTTGTCTTAAATGTATTTAATGTTTGTGTGTGAGTGTGTGTGTGTGTGTGTCATCTGTCAGGTAGTGTGGGCTCTGCTCATTTGCAGCCATACATCTGTGCTGAAAATACGTCTTGATCGTCAAAACCCAGTCTTCAGTATGTACCAGTCATGACTTCTAGATCTGATTATTAAGCAAACCTCAACAGAAACAGAACATTATAAAAGCGTGTTATGAAGAAATAAGGCCTTAACAGCAACCAATAAGAGCGAGCGGATCTGAAAACATGCGATTAAAAATGACAAATAGGATCAGTCCCTTGTAAAAGTTTGAGTGGTCTGTGAAGCCCTCAGGTGGTCAGGGAGGGAATTACATGGGCGCAAATGAACAGGTTGGAAAGTCCAAGGGGCGGAGCTTGAGAAGAGCTAGGCGATTTATCTGTCTTTAATTGTGATTACGTTAAAATATGATAATCAAAACTGGACGACAATTGTGCTGTCCGCTGCGTTGACCTCATTACATCCTATACGTCCTCTTCCTGAACAGCTGAGTATGGGTGTGGCTTCTCCCCTCAAACAGCTCTCACTTTCACATCATCGTATGCAGGTCAGATCAACATGAAAAATAGTTTGTGAAGTTGTGGCTCCTGCTCGAATATGTTGTGCAACAGAGGTTGAAACTATCAGGAGGAGAGAGGAGAGCAGGGAGAGGAGCAGGAAGAGGCAGGTGTGTGTTTCTGTGTGCGTCTGAAAAGCAAAGGGACGAGAGAGAGGCTGCAGCGCGCACAGGACAGAAACATCACTTTGATGTCTTAAAAAGCTTAAAAAGATTTGATGATTGTGGGCGTAGGTGGCTCTGCTGTTGTGGAGGTTGTGTCAGCTGGGTGTCATCAGCCCAAAGGTCCTTTCACACTGGCACTGACGTTAATACAGAACGCGAAATTACGAAATATTCGGAGGCGTAACACAGATGAAAGTTAAAACAAAGACGTTTAGCAAACTGTTAAAGCACACAAACCCCAAATCAAATTAAAAAATAAATAAATTTGTTTTTAGTCCAGGGCGGGCACAGCTGACTCGGTGGGCGGGCATGGCCCCCAAATGCCCGCCCATACCGCCGGGTCTGGTTCAAGTTTCAGATCATGTTTCATATTTCAAGCCTCAAGCTGCAGGACGTGTTTCATGTCAGGGTTCGACATCAGGACTCCTCACAGGTTGAGGATTTGCGTTAAACATAAAAAAAGTAGTTAGGGAATCAAAAAGAGTGGTTGATTTACACACACACACACACACACACACACACACACACACACACACACACTTACACACCTGTCTGACCTCCCCCCTCTCTCTCTCTCCTCCAGACTAAATCGCTCCTCTAGAGAGAACCCAGTGGTCAGTCATGGTTTCCTCCTCTCCACACACTGATGAGTCTCATTCAGAGGTGATAATGGGTGTTCAGAGTGTGTGTGTGGAGGTAATTAGTGCATTCTCATCATCACAGATGAGTGGGAGGAAAGTTTACCTGTCGCCTGGCAACCATCACTATCACCTCCTGTCAGCAAATGAGGAAACCAATCAGCAGCCTCCTTGTGTTTCTGTCAGCCAATCGAATGACAGATGCAGGACGACTGCACATGTTCATATCTTTGTTTTTATTACTAGTTTGATGAGATTATTATTTGTTAGATAATTAGTGTGTGAATGGGTGAATGTGATGAGTGATGTGAAAGCACTTTGAGCAGTCAGAACCAGAACCTTTTCATCCATTTGTGAAAGGAAGCTCAGGCAGTAAACAAAATTTCACTCCAGACAAACTGAGAAACTGATTTTGGTAAACTTATTAAGAAATGTTTGGCTTTAAATATCCAGAAATGAGGCGAAAGTGTGTGAAAATAAGCATGATGGGATATTTTAATTAGAAATAAAACCAATGGACTTGATTAGATCTGAAATTTTTGCAGTGTAGACACCATCCAGCCAGCTAGATGTCATGCAGTTGATGGAAAGCTTCTATAATCCATTTATTTACATATTTTTATAAGGGACAGTATACAAGATTAATTTGATGCATCGTACCAGAGCTTATGTACATCTTTTGTCCTTTGTAGGTCACAATTAAATCATAAATTACACAAAGCAGAGCATTAAAAGCAGATGTACAAGTGCACATGGGAACACTCACTGAAACGTACACCGAGAAAATAAATGCCCCAATATATCGCAGGACGGGAATATGTAGCTGATGTGAGCGCTTGCATTGACAGGATATGGGTTCGAAAAAAAATATTGATGTCTGAAATAATCGCACGACAAAAACGGTCCTGTAAAGACCTTTAAAGTGAGGTAAGTCAAATTTGTCTTGTAGTTGTGTAAAAGACAAAATGTTTTTACTTTATTTTATTTCTTAAATTAATATATATTTGATCATACAGAAAGCATCAATCATACATGCAAAAAATAAAAAATATTTCTTTTTTTAAATTTTGACTGCTCTTGGGGGCCCCCTACTGGCCACAGGGCCTTAAGCAGTCGCTTAGTTCGCTTATGCCGACTCTGCTAACATTGTTGATGCAAAGAGAAGTAAAGGTTGCATTCCATTTTTTTGGGGGGATATATTTTAATTAAATTTTCCAGAAACAAACAAACAAAAAATAAAATAAAATAAAATAAAATCACATGATAAAAAAAAAACATACAAACAAACATTTGGCTCTCACACATTATGTTTAAATTTATATGGGCGAGAGATTCAGGTGTCGTCTTATACAAATAAAATAGGTAAGTAAAATAAAAGTAAAATAAATCAAGTGTACATTACCGTGCATTATAGTTTCATATGTTCAAGGAAAGGTACACAGAAGCAAAACATTAATGAAATAAGATGTCATTTTTTAAGGCAGAATGGTAGGTTGCATTTCTTAACATCTCTTTTTACATTAAATTATTATTTTTAAATTTAAAGAGAAAAGCAGGCCTCGTTGGACACATAAAAATAAAGGGTACAAAGTTATGCTTGCATTGAAAACACTCAGAATTTTATTTCCTGTGTGATTTTATTTTCAGTGAATCAGAAAAAAGACTTGATGCCTCATTATTTTAACCTCATATCTAATTTGAGAGTATTTAAAGGATGATCTCAGGGACCCCTCCTCTTCATACTCTGTTGTCACAGACACTTCTCCTCCACGCTCATGCACTCAGTGAACCACAGCGCCACCTGGTGTCCGCCGGAGCAGCTGCACTCCCCGCTGAGAGCGCACACTCACACAGACACACACACGGGCTGGTCGCTGTGGAGGTCTGCAGGCTCTCTCCGCCGCTATCTCTCAGCCTGAGCGGGGCTGCTTGTCCCTCACGTACCCGGGGCTGGCATCCGTCCTCTCCCCGCTTTCCAGGAACACCTCGAAAGGGACATACAACTGCTTTCCCCGGCGCTGCGCCTCCTCTCCAAACAAACCCGTGTGTGTGAGGCAAAGATCTGCGGTGGGAAGACAGAGATAGAAAGAGAAGAGAGCCTCCCCTCTTCAATTGCTGCTCCACACCAGGTAAGATCATCTAGCGTCAATTTGCTGTGAAGAAACGTGTCATTTTGACTCTCGCTGGGTTGTGGAAAGAGCAGAGAGGCTAGGGGAGCTAACGCACATGGTGGATTGTTCCAGATTGGCTGCACCTGCTTGAAAAATGAGCGTTTCTGTTGGGTTGTTTGGTTGTAAATATACTCAGTACTTCTGCAAGGTGCTGTCAGATCACCGAGGCAGGTTAGAGATGGATTGGAAAGTGATAAGGATCCATGAACGCACTCTTGAATGCAGCTTTGAGGGGTTTTTGTGAATTGAAAGGACGTTGTTGGCAGGAATTGTGCGTATTTTCACCCTTTTCATGAAGTTTGTTGATGTGAAACATCTTCCTATGATGCACACTGGAGTCAGAACTACTTGTCTGAGCAGAAACAGCTGGTGCACACCACTCTGTCCTTTACTCCAGTGGTTCTCAACCGGTCTCTCTCTTGGACCCACGTTTTCCCATGGTCCATTTAAACCAAAAACTAAAAAAAGAACCTTTAAAGACTCAAATCTTTGACATAAATACACAATTTTTTTGAGTAAAGTGCATTTCAGAGGAGATGAACTGAGGACGACAACTACTGAAGTTGCGTATATAGAAAATATCAAATTGCACAAAATGGAGACCAGCAGAATGGAAATGTTTTTGTTTTTAAAATCATTTTAAATAGCTCTCGTACCTTCATACTGCTTCTGCTTCCCCTTTATGAACTTTCCAATGCAATTATCCGTTAAGTCCAAATTTGGAGGCGGCGGTCTATGATAATTATTCATCTAACCAACCAGAAACAGACAATTTCTCTCTATTTGATCACTTTGGCCACCTTTTCAGACTTTTACCATATTTTTGCAGACTTGATTATACGACGTACTGTGAATTAATGTGTCTTTGTTCGCACGTAACGGTCCTTTCACTCCGGGACAGTTTTTGTCGTACGTCAATATTTTTTTTTGAACCCGTATCCTGTCAGTACAAGCGTTCACATCAGCGACGTTTTCCCGTCCTGCGATATTGCGGCATTTATTTTTTCGTCTCACGGTCGATTTTTTGATTCACCGGTATATCCAACATGGCCGACCGGCTGATTGTTTACGTGTCGGAGAACAGAGTGATTTTTGATAAAAGACACAAACATTACAAAGATAACAGCCTGAAGGACGACTTGTGGAGAGTCATAGCGTCGGATTTCTCACATGACGATGGTTTGTGTGCTTTAACAGTTTGATAAACGTCTTTGATTTAACTTTCATCCGTGCTAGCGTAAGCTAACGGTTGTTACCATAGTTTCATGTGCTTATCTTATCGCCTCTGATTGGCTTTAAGTGCTGACCGTTTGGTTTGAGCGTGTGATGACGTTTCCAGCTTTTCTAGCCAATCAGAGGCGAAGGAGTCGGGACTTTCCCCGGGAAAAGTCTTCCGCGGGATGCGTCTTTTCCCCCCTGAAAGTCGCAAAATCGCATTGGGCTTGGTGTGTATGGTCAGGCGTGTCAAAAATCGCCTCAGAATATTTTGTAATTTCACGTTCTATAGTCGCATTGGACCTGATGTGTAAGGACCTTAAGGCGCACTGGATTGTAAGGCGCATTAAGCATTGAATGGTTGATTGTTGCTAGCGCGTAGTCCGGGCACTCCTAGTTTAGACATTACAGTCAGGTAATCATACATAAGGGGTGCTGGATTATATGGCACACTGTCAATTTTTGAGAGAATTTAAGGATTCAAACTGCGCCCTATGGTCCAAAAAATACGGTATTTGCTTTTTTATCAAATTACACAAAAGACCATAAAAAACATGTAATTTTACTGCATTCAGGCCACATTAAGAAGAAACCGAGGAGGACATTCAAAATAAGCTATTTTTCAAAATAAAAGTCATGTCACTAAATACTTACTTTTTTGACCAGCTGTTCGCGACCCATCCAGAACGTGTCCGCGACCCACTTTTGTGTCGGGACCCACCAGTTGAGAACCCCTGCTTTACTCCATCCCCTCTCCCAGCCTGTGTTTCTGCGTCTGCCTCCTGAGGTTATAATGACAAACTTTATGTGAGGCTGCAGACGTCCAGACAGCACCACCGCCTCCATCCATCACCTCGCCCTCTGCTGCCTTTACAATGTCTGGGCGATACCTCCAGGCGGAGGATCCTCCTGCAGTTTTTTATCATTTGTGTTATTGAAATATATCCTGAGGCGGAGGGGGGGCAGCCGTTGTCTGAGGTCTGCTTTTTATGGGACTCAGATGTGGATTAGGGCTCATCCTGATCTATTTAGTATCACTCACAGGCTGCTCTCATGGACGCCTGGAACATTTTTAATAATAGACTCACTGGCTCGCAGCATCGATTTGTGCAGCGTGATAGGAAACCGACGCAGAAACTCTTTAAACGTCGCAGCAAAAGTCCCTTTATAGACGGACAAAAAAGAAAGATAAACAGGTTTCTCAGTTTCTCATTTCTTCTTCTTCTTCTATCGATTTTACTGCATCTCTCGACATCCTCTTTGTGTTTCTTCCAGAGAATAATAACTGCTCACTTCTTTATTGCTCTAATTGAATTACACGCCCAAGTCAGGCAAAGCAATTATTTCCTAGATGGTGTAACAAGTGAGAGGCTGCGGCATGTGTCCCCTCCCACAGGACTAGACCTGGCTGAGAGCCCATTCATAGAGTTAACCCCGTCAGTTATTCATTCATTCATTCATTCATTCATTGAGTCAAAGCTGCAGAGTTGAATTTGACCTCCTGGGAGGACTAATAACCTCACCACGGAGATTTGTCTGAGCCACCACGCTCGCTATCAGACGTGGTGGCGTGCCAGGACTCTGCAGCGGTGTCGGGGGTGGTTGTAGTCTGGTCGGGTGGATGAAGCGGTCTAAGTAAGCACTTTGATGAGCCCAAGAGAAGTCATTAGCTCTGCTGAGGGCAGCTCTGAAGCCAGCAGGTAGGCTGTGTGGCTGCCAAGTCAGGCTGTGTTTTGATTCTGGGTCCGCTGTGTTTGAGCTTTATTCGGCCTGTGCCAGTTTCAGACGGTGATAAAACAACAATTCCCCCACCTGTTCTGCCTTTCTGAACCTTTTTCAGGACTTGATTCAGAGCTGCTTTTACAAACTGAATACTGGAGGTGGGACAAACCGGGTCAGCTGGCACGGCTGAAAGAGGCTCAAAAATGGTTTTCATGTTTCTGCTCATAAAAACAGATGATACTGGCAGAATCGCTTCTGTCACAACATCCACTGCAAATTCACACATGTACACATATTAATAAAGCTGATGTGAGGAACCTGCACCCTCTGTTGATGAAGTCATACCTCTGAAACTCAGATATTGTAAATCGTAGGGCTGGGTGATATAGCCTCAAACCAATATCACAATATATTGATCAGTTCAACTCGATAACGATAAATAGATGATAACTACTCCTCAAGCTGCTCACCCCCTCCCACATTAACTTTGTCTACTTCAGCCGCTCCAACTTTCTCTCCGTCCTCCATCTCCTCACCTGTCTTTCCCTCTTTGTTACGGACTGGATGGGGTGGAGTCACGTCTCTGATGTAGGACAGTGTCTTAAAGGGACAGGAGACCATAGCCTACCTACACACATCCAAAACCAACTTATATTCATTTATTTTTTTTAAACTGAATATACCTATATGGGCAAAATGACACTGGTTGTTGTAAATTTCAGTATTGGTAAATTTTCTGTTTATCACCCAGCCCTAGTAGCCCTAGCTCCTCTCCCCTCCTTCTGCTCCTCTCCCTGCTCTCCTCTCTTCTCCTCCTGCTCCTCTCCCTGCTCTCCTCTCTCCTCCTCCTGCTCCTCTCCCTGCCCTCCTCTCACGTCCTCCTGCTCTCCTCCTCCTGATCCTTTCCCTGCTCTCCTCTCTCCTAATCCTGATCCTTTCCCTGCTCTCCTCTCTCTTCCTCCTGCTCCTCTCCCTGCTCTCCTCTCTCCTCCTCTCCCTGCTCTCCTCTAATATACGTAAGCGTAGAGCTGTTTGATAGGATCTAACTTTTATGTGCTGTCTAAACGTTCTTGTAAAACCATCTAAACCCCATGAATCAGTTCGACAGAAGTCTTTCAAAACTGTGACTCTTTGGATAAAAGTCGATTCAAACTCATAACGGCTGACATGTTGGTTTGAACGATCTCGATTGAACCCCACACAGTTTGATCTGTCAGCTTTTAAAGACCTCACAGTGATGCTTGTCAGAGTTTGATATCCGTTTAGCTGGTTCAGCTGATATGATCAGGACAAAAATCCTCCTAAACTTGTTGAACCAAACTCCGTTTCATTCTTTCCCATACTGAAGCAGTTTGCCTTTCCCATAAAAGTCCTCTTATTTCGGCTGAATAGGTTTCTAATTTGCTCTATGATCTGGCTGAAACCCCATTCAATTTTCTGACAGAGTAAAAACCCCGATTTTTAGCTGGAAGCTCAGAAGTCTTCATTTTATTGTCTCTCTGGGTTTTGTGTCACATTATGAGCTCTGGTTTCTGTCTTCGCTCTGCCTCAGCCCTGTTTTCTCGGTGGTTTTGGCTTTGATCATCCTCTCTGTTGCTCTGGCTTTTTGGCTTTTCTTTATTATCTCTATTATATTGTTTTTCCTGTTTTCTGCTCGCTGTTTGTGATAAATCAGCTTCCATTCAGTTACTTTCCGAAACTTCTATCAGAGCTTTAAAGTCTGAGTGTTGAACCTCAGCATTTTTTTCTGGCGCTGACTGAAATGTTTTCGCATTTGGAACTTGAAAAGACTCGTTTGTGCAAATATCCTGCACATTCATAGTGTTTGAATCAAGAGGAGACTCAATTTTGAGTAACGCAGGTTTGTTTTTAGGGTCCAACTAGGGCTGGGTGATATGGGAAAAGTTCATCATGATATATTTTTTTCATATCAGTCGATATCAGTTAATATCATGATATAAAAGTGACATTTCACAGTGTTTATTGGCAGCATGTCTTTTGCAATACAATAAGCTACTGCATCTGTGACGTCTTTGTGTCTCTTCGACGTTTTGTCGTAAGGCGTTGCACTAGAAAAAGCGGACTGAATGGTTGGTTCAGCGCTATCGAAAAGCATATTGACCATGTTTTATATCGATATCGAGGGAAATTAATTTTTGATATCATTATCGTTTTATCGCCCAGCCCTACATCCAACACTAAGCCTCTAGAGCTGGGATAGAAGTCACATGATGTCATAAGCATTGCAGCACAGAGAATTGAGGTAATGATGGCGTGATTAGCGATAGAATTCAGCGAAGGCTTGCGTTATACTGTTGTGTATGTTGAGCCAGTATATTCCTGCCTAACCCCCTTTAAGAGTTGAGATGTGACATGCAGGATAATGATACCATCCCAGCGTCTGGCTGTAAGCAGTAGGAAGTGATGCTGAGGAGCTACTACGTCTTGAATTGATTGCAGTTTGCAGTCGTCTCTGAAGCAGACGGCGGTGAGTTCAGTCAAACCCGAGGGACTTGACCTCGTCTCCAAGCTTTGGTCTCGACACTCAGTTCTTCGTCGTCACTCCGTCCTCTCTTCCCGACTGCTTTGATTGTTCTCAAGTTTTATCTCTTGTCCTGCAGCTCTCTCCTTTTCTCTCTTCTCCTCTGTAATTGTCTTTCTTCTTACTTCCTCGCCACGTTTAAAAATGAACTGCCTCTCTTTCTCCTCTCCCGTCTCCTTCGATCTCGTTCTTCCTCTCCCGTGTCAGAGCTTTCATTTTGCAGCCTCTCTCCTCGCCCTTCGCTTCTCTGAGATCAATGACGGCTCAAGATATTTCATTTACGGCGTCAGATTAAATTAGGGTAAAATCTCTGCAGACGAGGCTTTAACAGCTTTGATAGAGAACAGCGACATGCTCTCCCATCAGCATCGATTAGCTCCATTGTCATCTCATCTGATGAATCAGACTGGAAGTCGTACCTGGAGGGAGGCCATGTGATGCTCTTGCTGATAATTATTAGATCCTCTCGATTGATCAATGGCCAAATGTTTTCCTGCGGTGTCATGCATCTTCGTCTGAATCTGCTGGGTTTGCAAACTCCTAAAGAGCTTTCAGCAAACACCACGGGAAGACAAAGAAGACAAAGACACAGGAATCGGGGAATAATACGAGACACAGCGAGAGAAGGAGGCGGGGATTGTTTGTCAGGGCCGAGAGCCTCGTGACACTGATGGCCTGCGAAGCTGCTCTTTGAGGATGCTGAATGAACCTGTCGTGACAGATAACGCCCTGTGTCCCTGAGCAGCCGCGAGCTGTGGATAAATCCTCAAACACGATGAGAGATTGTTGTGAAGGTGTGGAAGGTGACGGTTTAGACGCCGTCACATCGGGACTTTCACCTGATGCTACAGGTGACGGAAAAACAGGTGGTAGAGTCGAGAAAGAAACCTCGATTTGTATAAATGGTTAAAGCTGCAGCACTAGCAGACTCTCAGTGTGTGGGATTTGGTGAATCTGGAGTGGGTCACACTCACTCTGGAGGTCCTGTCCGATTGGAGGCAGGAGCAGGTCAGCCAGGTTATGTTAGATGTCAATAAGGCACCGGTGGACTCAGCTGTTAAAATGTGAGGATCATCAAACACGCAGATCGGACTACTCGACCCTTTTTTATGCCAGGCGTTTACTCAAGTCGTGGGAAAGTCACGCTCACATGAAAGCAAAGTTAGTCTGACTGAGAGTCCCACTCAACACGTCCAGTTTACCAGAGTTTGGTGTCTCTTTCATGCCTGTTTTTTTAACACCTAGAAAGCAGGTTGCGTCCCATCCAATGGTTCGGACTTGAATCAAAGGCAGATGGTGCTTTAATTTGTCTCGGCAATGCAAATCACGACCACCAACACAAGATCGGATGTGACTGCAAATTCACCCCTGTGGCACGAAACATGCTGGGATCATCTTCCAAACGAGGAAAGGAAGTCCCTTGATCGATTAATCATATAAATTAATGATCAATCATTGATTTGGTTGGTTTCTAGAAGAAACGTGTTTTTCCTCGTTGAAATATGCCAACTGTTGTTCAGGACCGTGCACTACATACTCACCAGCACTTCCTACCTACGCGGCTATCATAATAACTGTTGTTTTTTCTCCCATTCATGAAACGCTAAAATCGGGCACATTTCCAGGGACAGATTTTGCCGGGGACAGGTCACCAAAAACGGGGACGTCTGCTCACCCTACAGTTCCTCCTTGCTAGCAAAGAGCTGACGGTAGGTTGAAGCTGAGAGCGCTTGGAGGATTCATTAACCTCAGTCAGATGTTTTGGTTCAAGCGGTCCATCATTGGAGTCGTTATTGTGTTGTACTTGTACATGGCATTGCTGTATTTGCAGCCTTGCTTTCCTCGTGTTTTTTTCCCGACTTGTATGGAAGTCCACTGATGCTGTATCACTCCCCTTTTAAAATGTCCAGATCCTTCCGCGTGGTGAGAGTCATATCAACACACACACATGCACACTGGACAAAGAGGTTGATCTTTGCTGGAAAGCAGCTAGAGGATGGACGCACGCTGTCCCTTTTTTTAGTAACGTTAGATCGATCTAAATGATCAATTAATCATCGATTAATTGTGCCCATTCCTATTCCAATCAGTGCATTTTATGTTAGAGATTGGGAACGACAGAAAGCATGAATAAGATGCAGCGGTCACATCCTGGCGTTAGGTCTGGGGAAAACTGACTGCTAAACTGGGCTCTAGAGCTGTTCTAGGATGGGAATCAGCATCGCAGAGTCTAAAATATTTCACTCTAGGCAAGAGTAATACCTTCGAGTATTGAATGCTTTGGAAGTGTTGCAACAACTACTAGTGTTCATAGTTCCCAGAGTAAATAAATATGTTAAATAAGTCTGTTTTTCTGTGGTGCATTCGAGTGTTTCTGACAGGATATGACTGCGCTCCAACAGGAAACAATAATAGTTAAAGAAGCTGAAATGATCTCAACACTCCTCATGATCACCTCAGATTCAGTCTGATTCTGTAGAGATGGTTTTCATTTGTTCTGGAGCAGGTTCTGGTTTCAGTCAGAGCCAGCCGAGCCCTGATACAGTCTGTTGTTGCACACAGGTGCTGTTGAGAATCGCTGACTAACAGGCTCTTTACATTCACTCCGACTGGCAGGACTGATAAACACGCTCTTTACTTTGATGCCCAAAACGCCGTCTACACGGCAGGAACAAGCTCCGGTTTAACAGCTACAAGAAAAGAGAGGGTGGAAATAGACTTGGAGCTGCGTGAGAAGGATAGCAGAGCCCGGACAGCCTCCCTCTGATGTGTAGTCGGGGTATCAGAGGGCTAAATGGACCCTTTTTCAGCCCTGACTCACGCTAATGTGTTAATATGAAACATCACCACTCTGCAGCGCTCAAATGGCATGAATCTGCATTTTTATGTCATTTGCCGGAAGACCGATAAGCCATCAGTGTGAATGTGGCAGAAATATCCGCTCTGAGCTCTTATTTACATCAGCCTCATTCGTCTCCGCTCTCATTTTAAGCCGAGTTTGACATTGAAACGGGGAGTGTATTAAACACAGAGAAAGGAGACTTGGGTGTGTGTCGCTCTCAGCAGCAGATCGCAGATGATGAATGGCATGGCGGTTTAATGATCTTGTAGTGGGAAGGCAAGTGCTGAAGCAGGCACATTACACGGTAACTGGAGGGAGATGGAGATGGACTTCAGCGAGGAGCCTTGCAGCACTCTCAGGAAAGCCCCCACCTTAATTAAAGGGATGAGGAGTGGAGTAAAGTGGGCTGAAATCCCCTCGTTGTGGTGGGAATATATCATATATTCTGATCAGGTTGGTGAAGACTGATGCCAGGACAGGGCGATTATATGATCATGATAAATTTCAGTTCAATCACGGTGATTAGCTGTCAGCATATTTACTTGATCAAACATGGCGAAAATTTGAGTGACAGCCAATCAGAGTTAAGCTTTTCCTGCTCATTTCTGTACGTTGCCGGAGAAGTAAACAGAATGACCGAACGTGGAGCTGAGGGCTGCAAAATAAATGTCAGCCGTGACTTTGAGTCATCGTCCAAAGGTGCCATAGTTGAGGAGAAAAGTTACTCAGTGTCGGTTGTGTGGTGGTGCCATGGTTCGGGTATCTCTAAAGTGACGTCAAGCAGTTTAGCCGATGGGCAAAGTATTTTGGCGGTCGGTGCCCTCAAAAACCGGCAACACAACAAATCTAGGGTGACCATACGTCAAGTCAAGTCAATGTTTATTTATAAAGCACCTTAAAAGACAGCAGTCAAACAAAGTGCTGTACATGGGATAAATAAAAGAAGTAAATAGATAACAATAAAAGAAATAAAATTATAAACAGTAAAATAAAATAGAGACAGTAGAAGAATAAAAGCTACAGTGCCTCTGATTCCTGTGTGCTCATTTATTAAAAGCAAGGGAGAAAAAGTGGGTCTTTAAAGAGGATTTAAAAGACTCTAAGGTCTGTGAGACGTCCCCTTTTACCCGGATATGTCCTCTTTTTGGGGGCTGTCCGGCCTGTCCAGGGGACTTTATAAAATCCTTCAAATGTCCGGCGTTTGGTGTGGAAGTTTTGAGTTTGTGAACCGTGGACTAACCGAGTTAGAACCACGGAAAAAACACTCGACCCAAACCAGAAAAACGCTCAAAATTTTTTGTGCGACTCCGCCCCGCGTAGAAGTGTCCTCTTTGTAGTGATTCAGAATATGGTCACCCTAAACAGATCTGTTTAATCATTTGAAGAAGTTCTTCCTGGATGATTATGCGGAAAGCATAAAATTGCATTAGCAGTTTAGCTACAACTAGCGGTGCAGCCATCAGACCAAAGCAGCAATCGACCTTATAATCTACGTTTACATCGTCTAATGTTTACGTTTCATGGCGTCTTCATCAAGGCGTCTAATAAAATGTTAAAATAATCTCTGGCAGTTTAAAAAAATACAAAAAACAATTGTGATAATCGAGATCAGACAATATGACAGAAAATATTGTGATACTTTTTATTTTAACCAGATCGCCCGGTCCAAACTGATGCTGTCGGCACCGTATGTTCTTGTCGACTGTCGCTCCTCCTCCTGCCCGCGCTTGAGTCGCCTTTTTATTGTCGACCTCGGTCAGGAGTTGAAGTTCGGCTCTCACTCTACATTTGTGATCTTCTCTACACTCTCATACAGATCAACCCTGTGCAGACTGTGGCACTATCACAGCAGCTCCCCCCTCGGCGTCGCCACTTTAACACACGTACACATCACCCTTTTTTTTTTTCCAGGGAATGAAGTCGGCTGATTTACATTTTACTCCGCTCCCTTTGTTTCTGCATGTCTTCTCTCCTGGCACTACAACATCCACATCACACGCTCTTATCATGTCAGCCGGGAGCATCATCCCCAATTAGACTTACATCTCCATTCGGATCTTTAACGTGGCTCTCGGTGACACACATTTCATTAACCTAGTTCCCTCCTCGTTCAGTCTGTCTTTTAGCTTCTGCAGGTAAGACATCCTGAATTCTCGAGGAAACCTTAATCAGCTCTTGGTGTGTTTGTCTGTTGCACAATGCAACACGTGATTGTGAAAGTAAATCCTCTCCCTGCCCGTAAGGAGCTCCGGCTTTTGGATTACTCCTCATTGTTTGTGTGTGAAACCTCTGAAATAAAATTAGTGGTTGGATATGCTTTTGTTTAGCTGTGTTTGATTCCACTTGTGTGTGCGTGAACGTCTTAGGGGGGGATTTGGCCGCAGCCCCGGTAAAAGTTGCTGACACAAAGGGAAGCAAACCGCTTCTTCTCCTCGCACAACAATCATCATGGCATCAGGCGTACCATCAAAGCGGTGGTGGGTTGGCGCTCGGGGTTAGCCGCGGGTGAAGTGAAAGGAGTTAGCTTGTATCCTGAGGTTTGAGTGGTGGCAGGGTTCACTCGAGGTCAAGAGTTCGCGATGATGGAGTTTGGACGTATCAAAGAGGGAGCTGCTGGTGTCGACGGGTGCGAACCTCTCAATCTAAAAGAAGTTTGGGGTTAAGTGGAAAATCACTGAACACAACAATGAGGTGGGCCTTATTTTTACTGAGGGTATAGAGTAGGGCTGGACGATAAACCAAAAAATTACAGCAATACCCGAGATAAGGCTGCACGATATTGGAAAAAACTAACACTGCAATGTTTTCCAACCCTGCGATACATATTGAAAAATCGAGGAATTTTCACCAGATGACCTGAATATCACTTTCTGCTGAAATCTTGAGGACAGTTAATCTGCTCTGATCTTACCTCTTTTTGTGAATGTTAGTAGAACGGCTTCTGTCTCTCTCAGAGATATTTTTAGCTTTTATTGTGCTGGGACGTTCTTGTGGCAACAGATGAACACAGAACACGTGTTTTGGACTTTCTTGTAACCAAAATAATTCCAGATAACTGACTTTCCTTTTCTTTTTGGCAACAAATCTTCATTTTCGGTGGTTTTCGCTTGTTCGTTGTTCATTTTGCGATCGTTGTTGTTGTTGTTAGCGGTGTTGTGCCGAGAAACGCATGTCCTCCGAGAATTGCATGCACCTCGCAAAACGCGCACTGCTTAGTAAAGTAATTCTTGGCGGGTATGCATTTCTCGGCAGCAGTAGCGACTCACTCCATGTGCAGGGGCGTGGTTTCCTCCTCTCTGGTATTGATTGACGGCTGTCAGGGTAGTCTGATTGGCAACTGAGGAAAGAACGAATGTAATTGATGGATCGCTGCACAGCACATGCAGAGTCACATGGAGTGTGTCTCAGTCAGCTTCCCTTGAAATTAGATGAGTTCATTCGCCTCCGACATCGCAGGCTCTGCAATCGTCATAGCGATGCGCACGAATATCGCGATGACGATGCTCAAACGATATATCGTGCAGCCCTTAATCAACATCATTTTGCCCACATCGGTATATTCGGTGTCAAAAAAATAAATAAATAAAAGTTGGTTTTTGGATGTGTGTAGGTAGGCTACCCACATCCAGTCTGTAACAAGGAGGTAAAGACAGGTGAGGAGATGGAGGACGGAGAGAAAGTTGGAGCGGCTGAAGTAGAAGAAGTTAATGTGGGAGGGGAGGAGCAGCTTGTGGAGTAGTTATCATCCATTTATCGTTATCGAGGTGAACTGATCAATATATCATGATATTGATTTGAGGTCATATCGCCCAGCCCTAATACATTCACTCGACAAGCCCATGATGAGAAATGAATGCTAACTCCAGCAGAGTAGCTTTGAAGGCAGCCGTCTTACCTCCGCACATCCAGTCCGAGTTAAACTGCAGTGAGTAACTTTTCAAAGCCGCCGTATGAGAAAATAATTGACGCTGAATCAGTAATTGGACGAGATGTTTTGCTGTGTGTGTGTGTGTAAGTATCAGACAGTGATTAAAGGGTTTACAGTGTCATGCAGACCCAGAGGACACCACCAGCAGCAGCAGCAGGACTGAAATAAGACGGAAATGGTAAACAAACTCCGGCTTATTCTGCAAACACGAGCAGCTCATAGAAAAGCTGTTTTTGTCTCAGTTTGAGCATCTACAGCCGCAGTACCCAAGTGGACAGTTATTTATAGCTTTTGATTGACACAGCTGCATAAGTTGTTCCAACGATAATGTCACCAGAACACGTCCCTGTGCAGTTGTCGCTGTCTGTGAGTTAAGACATCGTGATGACAGTTTGGATACAGTGTGTTGGAGTTTACCCCGAGAAGCATCTGAGCACTGTGTCGCCAAATACACACCAGCTATGATGAAGCAGAAGCATCCACAATGATGCAGCCTCTTTTCTAGGGCTGGGCGATATGGTCTCAAATCAATATCACAACATATTGATCAGTTCACCTCAGTAACGATAAATGGACGATAACTACTCCACAAGCTGCTCACCCCCTCCGTCATGAACTTCGTCTACTTCAGCCGCTACAACTTTTGAACCGTCCTCCATCTCCTCACCTGTGTTTCCCTCTTTATTACGGACTGGATGGGGTGGAGTCACGCCTCTGACCTACACACATCCAAAACCAACTTTTTTTTTTGACACTGAATATACCGATTTGGCAAAATGACGTCAGTTATTGTCGTAAATTTTGGGTAGCGGTAAATTTTCGGTTTATCGCCCAGCCCTAGTTAATCATGTCATTGTATGTCCACTCCAAAATTGCACAGTTGGAGGAATCCCTGGACATTTTCCATGTTCCTTGTACACCCTCTTTCACGAACATCATGTGACTTGCCCGACCCTGATGTCACGCTCTGCCGTCCTATTAGGGCAGTACTGAAGGACACGCCCACAAACTGTGTAAAAAGTAACACCCACAAGCTTCGTCTGACTTTATATCGGTGGGAATGACGGTTTAAAAGGGCCGACAACAGAAGTCTGTTTTAATTGATTGTGCAACTTTACAAATGAATGTCAATGTACGGTGTTGTGTATTTTAAAAGTGTCATTTTGCGCACAAACTGGAGCGACTTTAAATTTAATTCACGGCATTTATAGACTTTTGTGATGCTACATTGAGGAGCTTTTGACTTTTTTGATGAGACAGTCTTTCCAATTACTTACGCTGCACGAGTGTCAAATCCTCAGGAGATCAACAACACCACCAACTATCGATGTTAGCCAATTTGAATAAAACTTGCATCGTATAGTCAACATGTGATGCACAGCTTTAATTAGTGGGTCTCCTGTGGTGTCAGTTTCAGTGTTTGTAAAACAGGCTTACATGCAGGGATCCAAGAGCGTCTGAAGCTTCTTGATTGTTTGTAAATTCTGCAAAGATAAGCAGGGCTGACGAGCGTCTCTGCAGATGGAGATCAAGTGTAGCTTTGAGTGCACCTTTGTTTCTCTGCAGCTGGGTGATCATACTCATCGTGGAGAAGATTAAAGCCTCTGACCGCTACCTGCTTGTACTTGTTGCAGGTCTGTATATGCTGGATTTATACAAAAATACTCTAAAACCACGATCACAGACTGATGCAGTAAAAAAAAACCTACAAACGACAAAGACATGACTCTGAAAACTGCGGTTTGTTTGAGATCCAACACCAAAAATCTGAGACTCTGCCATTTTCGGGGAATAATCTCTCCACTCACAGCAGCAGCCATGTTGTTGTTGTTGTTGTTGTTGTTTGTCTCGGCGCTTTCCTCTTTTTTGTCTTTCCACTTTTTTCTCTGCATGACCAAGCATTGTTCCACGGCTGGTTTGAGTTATTGGATGCACAGATCAATCCATTCCCATTCCAAGCACTGGTTAGACACGGTGGCTGCAACCCCCGTATTAGATAAATCAGTGATGACATTTCCTGCATGCAACTGCGAGTATGTAGCTGACAATCAGGTGACCGCTGGATGCTCTCAAGCTGTGCATCGTGCAGACAGCGTGAACACAGAAATGTAAATGTAGAACTAGAGTGCCCTGTTTGCCGCTGGTTTCTGATGCCGTGTAGATCTTCTCGCCCCTGCAGGCCTCCGCGGCTTCGTCGTCAGTGGGTTTCTGGAAATCCCTCACTCACCGCCTCTTAGTGCCGAGTCTTTTTTTGTGCCGTTGAGGTCGGGTGGTTGAATGAGACGCTTTTCCATTACTGAAGTCTGTCACCACATAGAGCACGGTTTGATGCCAGGCAGATTTTTCCCCCGTGCTGAAGCACACGCGAGGATGAAGCAGCGAGGTCGAGCTGTAAGTGTGTTCATGCACTTCCTCTGTGTGACCTGTCAGATCCAGGGTTATTATCGCCAATTAAAACTAACGAGATGACGAAAACTAGAATTGAAGAAACATCGTCGTTAACTGAAAGAAAAAAAATATATAATTAAAAGAAAAAAACGATAACTAACTGAAACGTAATAAAATTATAGATAAATATCTCTTCATTTTTGTTTTTGTCAATAGCGGATCGATATGAAATTGTTTTATTTCACTCGAGCAGTTTTACATGAGCCAGCAGTGCTGTACGGCACCTCCCAGTTCATCACTTCTTGTTTACAGTCGGCTTCTCAGCACCGTTCTACCTGTCAAAATGGCGACAAAACTCAGGAGAGAGCGACAGAGTCCGATATGAAATTTCTTTAAATACAACAGAGGGAAAGACAAAAGCAAGAGCCCTGAAAACAAATCTGAAAGTCCATTTAAGAAGCTCACACAGACACGCTAATCGTGAGTACCTCAACAAAGTGGCATCTCTGAGGAGCTCCCCTGAAAAAGAAGAAACATCTCAGCCAGGAGAACACTCCAGGAAGGAGGAGACAACAATAATGGACAGTTTTCATTAGCCTCGTTTATATGGGTAGTTTGTCTCAATCTGATTGAAATCAATCGGATTAAGTGAATCTGATTCCATCTACATGAACTTTAAGTAAAGACATCCACGTTCGATCCGCGTTTGCATGGCCCCAGCTGAATCCGATTGTATTGGTTTTTTTTTACATGTGCAGAAGGTCGCTCTGCCACTACCTGCAAATGTGTAAGAGAAGAAGAGGTGCACTTCCTGCTTCCTGTTTACCTGTAGAAAGATGGATCCGCGTCGTGTTTTGTTGGGGAAGCTTATTGTGTTGTGGTCACAGCAGTTTTTCTGTTTGTTCGCCATGTTTGTTTTCGTTTGGGCACGCTCAGCGTACCACTCAGCCGTATATGGAGCATGGAGCGGATTATTAATCGGCGTAGACTACCTTTTACAATCTGAACCGAAATACAATCAGATCCAGGTGAATCCGATTGGCTAAGGTGTTTATATGAGACATTTTGAATCTGATTGACCTTTCAATCTGATTGTAAATAGGATTTTTGGACCCGTGTAAATGGAGCTAATGATGACCAAAGAGCTGCTGGTTAGTTGAACACGTAGGAACGCTATCTTTTCACTCGTGCCAGAATTCACATCACCTGGTGCTGCACGAGTGAATAACCTTATTACCAAGTATGAAAAACTCAAACTTATATAAAAACTAATAATTCAGAAAAACTAATTAAAACTAACTGAATTAGTGAAAAAAAGTCCAAACGTAATAAAACTAAACCATTCTGAAAAATCCCAAACTATGATAACCTTGGTCAGATCCTAATCTTCAACAAATTACCAACAAAACTCACAGTTTTGAATACTCAGGTCCTCCTTTAGTCGTGGAAATACAACACTGTACTTATTTGCTGAGGTTAAGGTTGTCATTCAATGGTCAGGTTACGAAGAGGGTGCCCTCTGCTGGATCAAACAGCACATTTTACATTAATTTGACAGATTTTAGTCCAAGAGAGTTTGAAAGTGTCTGTGACAGAGCTAACAGAGCTAACACACACATTATTGTTCTTCCACTATTGTTGGACTGACTGCTCGGAAAAGGGCAAATCCTCACATTCTAGTTCTACCTTCAGCTCTCCATGATTTCCAGCCCTCATCCCTCTGTTCTCTCTCTCTCTCTCTCTCTCTCTCTCTCTCTCTCTCTCTCTCTCTCTCTCTCCTTCAGCTCCAAACCAAGCTTGAAAAGATGCTCAGTGGTATTGATGTGAGTGTGCAGCCTGGGGCTCGGGGCTATTTTGGAAAAAGGTGGAGGTAATGTGCAGCAGATGAAGCTTGTAGGTCAAACTGCTGGTCCGAACAACACAAAGATTTTGATCAGTGACCCCGCAGGCCGTGTCAGGACCGCGCTTTTCCTCTCACCTCTCGCAGAAACGACAACAGGGGATCGGCTCGTCTTTGATGCATAATGTATTAAAGTCAGAGTGACTGTCACTCAGGTTTAGCAGCAGCCGTCTTGTCCACCTTTCATGTATGCTTTAATATTTAATTAATGGCATTTAAGCGAGGCTCTCATCTGCACACAGAGCGAGCTGGTGGAGTTTCAATTAATTAATTAGGCCCTTCATAGATACAAGCAGCTGCAGCTATCAGATCTGTGACCTTCAGCCGGGAGACGGTGTCTGAACCCTTTAGTCAGCGAGGAATTGGATCGAGTGATCTCCAACGCGGAGGACCTTTCCTGTAATTAAAGTGAGTTTCATGAAGAGTCTTAAGGGTCTCCTCCTGCAGATGAAGAGCATCTTAGAGTGGCTGGATTCACACGGGTCCAAGTTTGCTGTGACCTCTGGTTTTGCACGTTGAAATTACAAGAGTGCGCAGATCTTCGGAGGAGCAGATTCAGCACTTCTGTTCCCGCCCACGCCGTTGTACATCACTGCTGATTAACCGTGACCCTCGTCTGGCACAGACACCCAGTGAGGCCATTTGTCCTGACCCCAGGTCTGCAGCCGCGTTTGCCCGACCACAGTGTGTGCTGGCACGTCGGGCTGAGCACCATATGTGACAGGATGTCTGTAATAATGTCTGCAGAGCTCTCCTCAGCCTTCTGCGAGCACTATTTATGAGGCGGCCCTGTTATTTGGACGTGTGGAGGGGATAGTTGGCAGGAATGAAGGCAGTTTGTCCTCTTAGCATTTACTTAAGACGCTCCGTTGTTTTTCTGCGATGGAAAATTTGAACAGCCGGTCAAACCGAAAGTCTAGGGATCGGATCGGTCCAAAATGGCAGCTTTGAGCAAACTTTTCCAAGTCGACTCCTCTCCTGTGGCATTGTTATGAAGCGAAACAGGTGTTGTTCCTCCTACAGAGTCTTCGGAGCTTTGCTTTAAACGCTTGAACCCCTCCGAGAGCTTGTGCAGTATTTGCTTTCTGTTTCTTAAGTGGTCCTTGGCGTGTTAAACTCGACTGATCACGCTCTCGCTCTCTGAGTGCATCAAAGCAGAAGAAAAGTTTCTAACGTGCTCTGATTTTCCACCGAAACGTGAGTAATGATGATATTATCACCTGTCAGCTGCGGTAACCGCGCTGTGGCTGACTCTGAGGTTTTCACAGCTCTCTGTGCCGCTGAATAGTTGAACTTTCACTCTTTTTATAGAGCTGGAAACAGCTGCCACATCAAGAGTATATTTTTCCTGTCAATTTGTGAGCTGTTGGTGTTAAAATTGGCCGACGGGGGATTAAAAACGCAGCAGGACACGTGTTCAGAGGCAATTGTTTTTCAGGAGTTCATAATGAGAAACCGGAGATCGACTTTAACACTTTTTTAGGGTGTTACTCATAAGGATAGAAAGAAGATTAGAAACTTAGTCCACTTGCATTATACTTCAGCAAAGGGTTAAACATGGATTTGCAAAATGATGATCTTCACGGCTCGGTTTGGGGGTCATTTCTTGTGCGGCGAATCCTGTCGTCGGGCCCTCAGAAGCTGATCAGAGATGTTTGAAACTGATCACGGTTTAAAAGGAGTCAGATGAAGTTGTAGCTCTTTTAATATCTAATCTACATCTTGTCTGCCTGTTTTAATTTTGACACCAACAACAGGTTTAAAGAAAGTTTGGACTGGGAAATGTTCACCGCTGTGTTGCAGCATTTAGTTTTTGAAGTGTGCGCTTCTATTAAAGGGATATTCTGCGTAAAATTATGTTCTTGTCAAACACACCGTAACACCGAGTTAGACACCCCCGTCGAGAGATGAATTTTGCAGACTGCTTGCTTCTCTAGTTATACCAACTTTAGTAACGACCGAAGGATAGCAATACACAGCGGTCTATGGGTCCACGCGCCAACCTCAACCAAAACACCACTCTATAACCACAAATAATGCTCAGAACAGCACCTAACTTCATCAACAGGACATATAGGGTCACAGACATAGTACTAGACACCAAACATCTTTTTAACTTTGACTCATTTATTTAGCAAAGAGACTAAACACAACTCACCTACTCTCTTCCAGCAGACGCTTGTTTGTGGAGGAGCCTTGACGAGTTGATCGCTGAGTGAAGTAAAAATCACCACATTAATCATTTACACTGCAGACGCTGTAGTTCTTCTGCCTTAGCGTCTCAGTCTGATTGCGTTTCCATTAAGTAATTATCATAAATGTTCTTCCTTAAGCTGCAAAACTCCGCTGCACCATGCGATCGACTCGTGAGGGCTCCCCCACAAACAAGCGTCTGCTGGAAGAGAGTAGGTGAGTTGTGTTTAGTCTCTTTGCTAAAGAAATGAGTCAAAGTTAGAAAGATGTTTGGTGTATAGTACTATGTCTGGGACCCTTTATGTCCTGTTGATGAAGTTAGGTGCTGTTCTGAGCATTATTTGTGGCTATAGAGTGGCGTTTTGGTTGAGGTTTGCGTGTGGAGACATTGACCTGTTTGACCTATTGCTATCCTTCGGTCGTTACTAAAGTTGGTATAACTAGAGAAGCAAGCGGTCGGTAACATCCATCTCTCGAGGGGGTGTCTAACTCGGTGTTACGGTGTGTTTGACCCTAACTTGGAACATCCCTTTCACCTCGGTGATCTCCCTCTTCTTCAGAGAGGTAGATGCGGTGTTCATGGTTTCCAAGAAGAATCCCAAGACCTGCTCTCTTCAATCCAATCCAAGTGGATCCATTTGACCGTCCTGCGGGTGAAGCTGCCATCTTGGTTGTTTACGAAAACGTCTCCTGAAATAAAGGATCACGATTGGTCCCAGTTCAGTTAGCTCCATGTACTCATGACTGTTGAATTAGAGTTTAGTTTCTACGCCTTTGTCAAACATTCTCCATTATCGCCTCCTCCTATGGGAAACAATCTTTGCACAGTATGGTACTCTGCATAAAGGCGTCCTCCATATGGCTCAGAAGAGCTGCATGTGGTCAGTCTGTGATGATCAGTCTCACTGCAGGACTTGAGTTTTTTTTCTGTAGCTCATTAACAGAAGACACGAGAGAAGAAAGTCCACATGGCGAAGCTTTATCTCTCACGCCTTCTCCGTCGATTCGCCTTTATGCTGAGACCAAAGCTTACTGCCACGGCGTTTGCTTTAAAGTTATCACACCTGGAAGAGAGAGAGAGAGGTGTGTGTGGATTTACTGAGTCATGACTTGAGGGTGAGAGATGGTGTGTCTGTATTTTTGTAACAGAGAGCGAGAGAGAGAGAGACTTATCGCCTGAAGGGAAGCTTTTTGTGAGCCGGGATGTTGCTATGAAACACAATGATGTAATCTGTACTAGTGAGTAATTTTCAGTGAGACTGACTTCATCTCCATCAGTTTGGGTCGGTTTGAGGGTTGGAAAGAGAAATGTGAAGAGCTCAGCGAACCGAGGATGGTTCTGCTTTTTTAGATCGGTTTATATGAAAGTCAAATAAGTTTCTTTTGCTTTTCTGAAGGATAACTGATGAGAGAAACTGTGGAACTTTGGCGTGAATGAAATCATAACCAGCGTCCCGAATTGGTCGTTATACAGTGCTTACTCAACCCACCTTCATTACAAACCCAGTTCTGCTCATGTCAAAACCCAAGAATCAGTTTTGCCTCCTTTGAGTCTTCACGTTTTGCTCTTAAAATAAATGGCGTACACACATTAATAGAATCGATGCGATTACATTGTGAGGTGTTCAAGGTCGGATCGGTAATATGAGGACTAGGCGAGAGTAATACGATATCATGATGTGTTCAAATGTCACGTCCAGAAAGAGAAAAAAAAGAGTTTTTGGTTGAAACAAGAGTGTCGAGGAAAACACTAACAGAGAGGCGTCGTTTATTTCAGAGCGATACTTAGAAAAAATACATTTAGTGTCTTTTTTTGGTTTACAGTCGTGTAGGGCTGGGCGATAAACTGAAAATTCACTGATACTGAAATTTATGACAATATAACCGACGTCATTTTGCCCAAATCGGTATATTCAGTGTCAAAAAACAAATGAATGAATAAAAGTTGGTTTTGGATGTGTGTAGGTGGGCTATGGTCTCATGTCCCTTTAAGATGCTGTCCTACGTCAGAGACGTGACTCCACCCCATCCAGTCTGTAACAAAGAGGGAAAGACAGGTGAGGAGATGGAGGAATTTAATCTGGGAGGGGGTGAGCAGCTTGTGGAGTAGTTATCGTCCATTTATCATTATCGCGATGAACTGCTCAATATATCGTGATATTGATTTGAGGCCATATCGCCCAGCCCTACATCAGTGTGATGTCGTCTTAGTCCTTATTTTTTTTTACATTATCTTCAAACAAAACATAAAATTTCATGTTTATTTCTTTTTATATTCTTTCAAACCTCCAGACTCCCTGTAGGAAATTTAATAATCAGATTTACACTTTAAATTATTACAGTTGAATTTACGGACATGGCTTGAACGTTTCGTTTAGAGTTATACTCATATAGAAAATCCACTGTGTTATTATGGATGATTAGTAACATTCATCATTATGATTAATTACAGCTGCACATTTTTCAAGTAGTATAATTATGACTCTCGTTATCTCTCTAACTGTCGCCGTTCAGCCTGAGCGCGTCCTCCTTATTAGAAATAACCGCCAGCGTATGATGACATCACAGCAGCAGAGCTCCCCGCACGCCGTCATGCTTCAAACATGTCATAGGATTATGGGTAATGTGCAGTAATAGCCTTTAATTGCATTGAAGATGATCTGCATAGCGGAAAGAGAGGATGGATTAGTGTTGCGTTTATGTACTGTGTTTTTTTATGCACGTTTGAATAAAGACTGATTCTGTGTTTTTAAGTTTTTGTGGATGACACCATGATTTTCTGTCAGTCATCTGCTGGGGTTTGTTTCTTAACTCTCAAGATATATAATCCTTTAAGTTGAGGGTTAAGAGCTGTCTTAAAGCAAATGAAAGATGCACTTCAGCATTTATAGACGAATTAGTACTGGTGCGTACAATTCATGTACTGCTTTATTGTTATAAATGTAGGTTTCTTTATCTCTTTATATGTCATTGACTGTTCTATGTTTTATAATATTACATTTGTAGAGGCCCAACTAAAGCAAGGGTTGGTAAAAGCTTAAAGACTCGAGTCTAATTGGTCCAAACCTTAATTATGAAAATTAAAAGTGACACTGGAGACATCCTGATCCCAGACATCTCTTTCTGTTGACAACTGGATGAGACCTTCGATTACTGTTGGCGTCAGTAAACAACATGGAGGATATTTTTGATGAATATAACCGTCAGTTTGTTTGGAGAGAATTGGAGGTCGATGCCAAACTAGTCAGCAGCAGAAAAGACAGAAAAGAGGAGAAAAACGGAGAAGAAATGAGTAAGGAGAGTTAAAACAGGAAGTTAAAGGAGCTGAGTGAAAGAGACATCCAGCAAATTGAAGAAAACAGACAGGACAACGTAGACTTACAGGAGATCTGACCGTAGTAGCTAACAAAACCACATCATCTGCAGAGAGAAGAGTCGGACATTTGAGAAGTTAATTTCAACATTTTTCATAAATCTCACATCTCTGTAGCCGTGAATCTTTAGGCATTTGACGACCTTATTTTTGCTGAAATCACTCATTAACAGAATTATAACGAGCTGCTGCGACAGCGATCAAGAGAAAGGTGAACTGCACCGTCGACCCTGAATGGCTGCTTTCAAAAACAGATACGATTCAGGTTTTGTTGTTTGCATTTCTTTTTTTTTTTCCCCTGATAGTTTTTTTTCCTCTCAAGGACATCCACAGCCCTTTGTTGGCTTTTTATGAAACATGTTCGAGTCCACAACCATAGAGGAGCTTTTAATGGATTTCCTTTCATCAGATTGCACCACGCCACGGGAACCAGGGGACTGAAATCAAATCTAGCAAATATGGTGAAACATTTAGTTTTACACTATAAAAGCAACGTCTCGATCAATGAGTTTTTCACTGATTTCTACCAGGGACATTTTTAAATATTTTACTCTTACAAAAAGTTCATTTGTTGAAGATAATTATCAGTAGTTTGTGGGAACATTGGAGCGAGGTCTCTTCAGCCCACTTCATAAATGCCTCATCAGGAATTATTCCACTTCGTTTTTATTTCCATTTACTGCAGGAGAAATAAAAATTAGTTGATATTCTTTCATGAGTTTTATTTGAAACTTCAATCAAGTTTTTAAAAAGCTGTGAAAAAGACTGTTGATCAAATTGAAGAAACTATCAATCAATCAATCAAACTTTATTTTTAAAACACTTTTCATACATGGATGTAGCGCAAAGTGCTGTCCATTCACGCAGGATATTAAAAAAAACAATGAAATAAAATAAATAAAGATACAAATACCAAACCCCCATCCAACACATACAGCACTTACACACACACAGATGCACATGCAAAAGACCAGGACTCTTCAACTTGCCACAGATGACTGAGGAAACGCTATCTTGAGTTAAAAAAACTAAACGATAAAACCATGATAAAATATAATAAAGGTGATAAAGCGTTAAAAGTTAATTAAATAAAAGTCTTAAAATCTAACAATAAAAGAAAGTAAATAAAAAAAAAGAGGTAATAAAACACAAAATAACTACTCTAGGACTAAAATAAGATGATAGTGCACATAATGCAGATGGATTAAAAAAAAATTCAGCTAAGAGCCGAACTGAAAAGGTAGGTCTTTAGTAGCTAAAGTAGACACAACGTAATCTAAAAGAAAATGACTTGAAAGAGGTTCTGCCGCTCTTTACTGCGTCTCCTAGAAAGGAAAAATGCTAATGCTAAAATTAGGGCTGGGCGATAAACCGAAAATTTACAGATACAAAGATTTACGACAATAATTGAGGTCATTTTGCCCATATCGATATATTCGGTGTTAAAAAAACATAAAAAAATCAAAGTTGGTTTTGGATGTGTGTAGGTAGGATATCGTCTCATGTCCCTTTAAGACGCTGTCCTACATCAGAGACGAAAAGAAAGACAGGTGAGGAGATGGAGGGCGGTTTAAGAGTTGTAGCGGCTGAAGTAGACAAAGTTAATGTGGGAGGGGGTGAGCAGCTTGAGGAGTAGTTATCGTCCATTTATCGTTGTCGAGGTGAACTGATCAATATATCATGATATTGATTTGAGGCCCAGCCCTAGCTAAAATGCTGCATTGTTTATCAGCTAACTCCAGCTGTCTTGCAGTGCTTTCCTATTCTATGCTCTGAAAATGCGGCCCATCGGAGTACTGTGTCTTTAAGTTGTAGCCCCGCCCCCTTTTTGGGAATAAGCCCTAATCCTGAATTGATTTTTGGAAACTCAACAGAAACTCTCAGGGTCTTTGGTTCGTCGTAGGGCAATAAGAGGTCCAAAGTTAGCCAGCTTTGAGGGTCTTGTCTTTGGACTGGATTTAGGATTCACATCTCTACGGAGAACGAGCTCTTCACTCTTCATTTGTCAGTTTTTAATCTGCCGTTTCCTCGTCAAGAGGTTTAGAGAAACGCTTCATACCCTGATTAGGAGTGATTTTATCTTGTTGACAAACTGCATCAATTCTGAGCTCCTGACTGAGTCCCTGTTGCCATAGTTACTCATTTTTTAGTCCAGACTGTTCACGGTCTAAATTAAAACTCTGGCAACATAACAGAGACTTCATAAATCTGATAGGATAGATGTGCTTTCTCAGGAAGTAGTGGACACCCTGCAGCCAATGAGAGTCAAATCTTGGTGAGGTCGTCTTATTAAGTCCTCATTCTCATAAAAACGCACATGTAGGATCGGATTCCAGGTCTGAAAATCCTCGCAGGCTTTGCGCCTATGGGAGGTTGGCGTGACAATGAATACAGACACACACAGCCTGCCAAGAGCCTTAAAGGCTGCCCACAGCCTGCTCATAAAGCCAATCTGCTGTGTGTGTGTGTGAATGTAAATGCTGGACTCGGTGTGACTGGTTAGATCCAAGTCATGTAAAGAAATGTGAGTGCGCCGTGTGTGAGGTGCATGTGCAGGTGCGACCCGTCCTCCTGCAGGTATGAAAGGCCAGCTCCCTGAAGTGTGATAACTCGCTCAGGGCGCTGACTTTGAACAAGGGCGCCTCCCCCGCTGCTGCTGCTGCTGCTACTGCTGCTGGAGGAAGTTCATTCATTGAAATGCGTGTAGTACTACAGCAGACGGACAGACAGGCAGGCAGAGAAACAGACAGACAAGCACGAGCAGACTTGTCACGCCTGCAGTAAACGGCGCCGACTGTTTGCGGAGCTGACATGTACATGTTCTCCCAGAGCTACAGGCCCCCCGCCGGAGAGCTGTCCTTAAAATGACACACATTTATCCGCCTGTCACGAGGACAATTGGCTGGGGAATAAGGCCAGACATGTTCTGGCAAATCTATTTCTGTGTTCAGATGCATGGAGGATAGTTGTCGTGCTCCTGAAATCTGCGGTTTCCTCTTCGTTTTCAGACCAATTTACGGTAAATTCAGTTTCTTCTGATCTGTCGTGGATTAGACTTTTGGAGTTTATATTTAAACACATCTTTTGGAGAGGAAGATGAAGAAGAAACTCCAGTTTTTCCTTCAAAGCCATTAAATCCAGCCAGTCAAGCATGGACAGTGAATCGAACACGGGAAACAGAAATGTGACAGACCCCTTTCAACATCCCAACGTCCTCCTTTTGGGAAGCAATTGGCTTCGTCCCGTGTCTGCGAGGCTTGGAGGACTTACAGGAACGCTCCCGATTATTAAATCCTCCGGCTGAGACTCGGAGAACAGTCTCTGATCCTGTTTCCCTCCGGAGGATGATTTGTTCAATCCGAAAGCTCCTTCTCAATACACGCCAAGAGTTACAGATATTTTTTTTTTCAATGTAGAAATCAAAACATCTTCAGCATCGCAGTCTTGCCCTTTATTATGCACATTTCAGAGCCAATGACATGAGCTCTAGGTTGCAGTAATAAATGTCAGAGCTGGAAATTAGGCCTCGCAGATCTGGGTTGTTTGACGAGACTAATTAAAAAAAAGGTCACATTCAAAAGGCCAGGTATGAGCTCTCAGTGGAGCGTAGGCCTGAAATTCAGCAGAGCGTTCTGGAGTTTGGAGAAGGATTCAGGCGAAGACAAAGAGAGAGCATCTGGAGCAGGTTTCTGGAGGTTTGTTTTAAACCTCTGAACCGGGCGATGACTGGAGCATGACTGAACTACAAATTCATGTTTAACTCGAACTTTAATATCTTCAGATGGATGAGTTAGGACTCCTGTGTGTGTGAACAGAAGTGAATCAGAACAAACCCACCTGAGGGGATTCCTTGGGCTTTGTAGACGGCCTCTAGTGGACCATCAAGGAACTGCAATCCGCACTCAGGCAATGATTCAAACTTCTGACTCGAGCATTTGCTGCTTGGAGGAAAATAAACCCACTTTTTATTTCTTCATTAATTTACTTTCCAAAATCTTTTTTACTTTAAGGTGAATTACAGACGGTTTTGTGGCATGCTGCTGATTTTAACTTGAAGTAGGGGTGGGCGATATGGAAAAAATTTCATATCATGTTTTTTCTTTTTGCAAAATCACGATCTTGATTTTATCACTTTTTTTTGGGGGGGGGGGGGGGGGGGGGGGGCTGAAAAATAGGAATAATATTTTAACAACAAACAGCGTAACACTTATCTGAACTGGATGGTCTCATTCCCGAATAAATTTCAGCCTAAAATAAGAGGTCATACACAAAAGTAAATATTTACAAAAATCAATGTTGTCTTATAGTCTTATAATAAAAATCACTTTAAACTGATTTACGACACACACAGCAGAGCAGAACAAAATTAAAGAGTTACTCACAGGAGCTTTAAATGGATGGATTAAAATCATCTTTATGAGGTTATTCTTGGTGTTTTCATCAGTGCATATCAACTTATCCATCATAACACAGTCAAGAGCAGGGTTTCCCAAACTTTCAGAATTCCTTATTTAGAGGAATCGAAAAGATGTTTCTCTCCAAAAAATAGAGAATATGTTAAAAGTTAAAGAATATATAATAGAGAAGAGTTTCATACTGTAGGAAAAGGGTATATGTGTCTGCATCTAACCTCGCACCTACTGTATCTACATGCAAACCTAATTACTGGAAGAATGATCCTGCTGTTAGGGCTGGGCGATATGGCCTCAAATCAATATCACGATATATCACAATAACGATAAATGGACGATAACTACTCCACAAGCTGCTCACCCCCTCCCACATTAACTTCTTCTACTTCAGCCGCTACAACTTTTGAACCGTCCTCCATCTCCTCACCTGTCTTTACCTCTTTGTTACGGACTGGATGGGGTGGAGTCACGTCTCTGACGTAGGACAGCGTCTTAAAGGGACATGAGACCATAGCCTACCTACACACATCCAAAACCAACTTTGATTTATTTATTTATCTATTTTTTTGACACCGAATATACTGATAGGGGCAAAATGACGTTGGTTATTGTTGTAAATTTCTGTATAGGTAAATTTTCGGTTTATCGCCCAGCCCTACCTGCTGTTCATATTTACACATGACCTCAAAGTAAAGGTGATGGTTGTTATCTGGAGTGTTGCATCGATTCAAAGAGTATGTAAAGAGGCAGCATTCATGTAAACAGTGGAGTTGAAGTGCAAAAAAACAAAAACAAATACAGAATCAGGGGGTTTCTGGAACTGTCCAGAGTCCACTGTTCCAACAGCCTGGTGGGTAGAGTCTGGTAGAGCAGGCCCGGAGGTCCTGGTACCTTCTCTCAGGAGGCCGAACAGGCTGTGCACGCTCTTACTTCTGACATTCCTAACAGATATTCGCAGTCGTAAATGTAAAGAAAGGATGAAGTTAGTCGTCCAATCAGACACCAGCTCTCTCGGCGTTATAAATGACGATATAGAAGTTCTGAGTCTTGTAGCTGGTGGTCTTGTTTGCCTTTGTAGGTCATAAAGAGGCATCAGTATCAGTTTCAATCTGTTTCACAGTAACTTCTAAACTCCTCACAGGAGGTTGTAAGTGAAAAATGTGTTTAGTTTCTCCACCTCTGGCAAAGACTGAAAGCAGAAGTGTGGGAAGTGTGTCCTCACTGAGACACCGGCGTCGTCCTTTTTCCATCTCAAACACTGTTTGATGCCAAAACCGTCGGCTCATCTTTGGAAGAGGGTTTGGATGGAAAAGATGGAGTAGAAATCACCATGGTTACGCCAGTCTCTGTTGTCTTTTCGTTTCTTGCTTTACCTTCAGCTCATCTTCCTCTCTCTCTCTCTCTCTCTCACTCTGTGCCTGTTTGTCTGACTCGTCCTCCCTGTTCTGAAGTCTCGGAGCTCGTCGAGCGTTGCCAATGATTTACGCCAGGACACGCTGCCGCTGACGGATAGCCGCATTACTGCCAGACGTGTCATGCAAGACGAACGGGGATGGTGGCAGTGGGTGCACAGGGGGCAGAGGAGATGTCTTTCAGAGTGGGTGCTGAGGTTGGAGGTTGTGTCTGCAGTCAGAGCGCTGCAGCTGGTGCAAAAAAAAAGGAGCTAAATTTAGAAGGGGACCATCATCTTTTCCACAGAGTACTCCCAGTTCAGAGCTGGTTGGGCTTTTTAATATCAGTGATTAGATTTGAAAACAGCGGGGGAATGCCACATCGCTCGCAGGCAGGCAGAATTAGTTGATGCAGTCATCAGAGCATGTTGGAAAAGCCTGCTTAGATGGTGGCTTTAACCCTCGCCGTGTCGCCCTGAATTAGCGTCAATCTGAACCCCCTGAGGACAGCGTTTCTTAGGTGATGAATGTGCAAAAACATCCTTCTGTGATCATCAAAAAACCTCTCCTCCATCACCTGGAATCTAACCTCATGAGAGCATTAGGTCCTGCATGTTATACGGGCTCAAAAAACCAGCGCTGCTCCATTTCCCATTCAGATTCGGGGAATTAAATCACAGCCGCAATGTTGGCAATCTGAATTAGAAACAGGCTTCTGCGCTGGATCACAACACTATGCTAATATGTGAGTGTTATCCCAAGAAGGTCATTAAACCAAATAAATTAAATGCAAATGAGGACTGCTGAAATCTGCTGTGTTTTGACTCATTTTATCGACCCAAGTATGAGAGAATTAGACTTCGGGTTCGTCTGTCCACGTGCAGCAAAACTTCCCCGTCACTTCCCCTTTAAATAAAGACGCCAACTTCTCCCGCCGTGCTGCCTCGCTGTCCTCATTCCGACTTGAAAATCACATCACGCTTCCCAATGACACCACAGGCAGCCGCCCTGTTAGCTGTCTTAACCTTTGACCCCTAAACATACGGCTCCTATCACATATCAGAAGCTCGTCTTCGAGGTCATCGGTTGCAAGGTCAGAGGTCATTAATCATATGTTCCCCCTCCCCCCCTCGGTGCAGGATGATCAGATGGACTCCTGCTGGGAGGGAGGCTGTGATGAGCATCGATCTGACTCGCTCATGTGGTTTGATGTTTTCAGGGAGGTTCATAGTCCGGGTTTAGGACTAGACATGAGATACAATAAAGTTAGAAGAGAAATGAGGAGACAAAGAGGAAGTGTTTGGATCTGATTTTAGATTACCATCCCTCTTTATTAACTCTTTCAGTTCCAGGTTCATTTATGCAGTTTTCACCCAATGCTACCATTGACCACAAAAGAATTTTTCGTATCTTTCAGGACCCACAGAATATTTTGTTCTTGGACAAGAATTAAGTGCAATATCTCAAAAGAAAGAGGTGATTCTCTTCTGTCAACAGAAAAAAAAGTGAGTCTCTAACCCACTCCTGTGTTTCATTTTTGTCTGCTCAATGCAGCATGGACATATCATCTTTGCCGATCTGGAAAAACACATTTTTACGAAGGAGAGACTTTCAAGCAAAACTCTGACCGTCTGTTTCATTTCACCTCAAACTACTTTATCGGTGGCATCAAGGTGTCCCTCTTTGGACACCACTCCTCATCACTCTCAAGATCCAATTGTGATCGGTCACTTTGTGATGGCTGGGAGTTTTATTGGCTCTCGAGAACCTGACACAGCGACTGCTTGCGTCCTCGCTGAATTCCGGTTCAGTCTCACTCACCAGTACCGGCACCGGCAGCACAACGACACGCCGGAAAATTGTTCCTTTGATTGTCTGCTGACGATGTGAAGGTCTGGTACCGTGATCTCCACTGGATCCAGAGACGGTAGCATCATGCCCACTGTTAGCTTTTGGCTAATGACTTCGGCATTTTCCTACTCTCCTCATAGAGAAAAAAACACTCCACAACTCGGCTAATGGGCACACTTGATGGCACACTTCTCACTGGCGAGTTCTTGTTTTTGTTATTGTAACATGGTTATGACGTCTTTGTCGGCTTTTCTGCGCTCAGAACGACACCAACTTTAGTCGCATGTTGAGGAGGAGCGCCCTCTGGTGGAAAACAATCAAACAAAAAATAAACTAAAAACTCTGTGATTGGCACTGAAGGAGTTAAGAGTCTTGATTCTGAAAGTTGGTCCCAAAACGTTGATGTCGATAATATTAATGGTGTTTTAATGCCTGAACCTGATCGCCTGAGAAGTCCAGATCAAGACTGATTCTGTTACGTTTCTGCGACTCGCATGACGTGAAGGACACGGGCCACGGACAGGGAAAGTAACAAAAGAAAAATCTGCACCTACAAACAAAACAAAAAAATAAGGCCTTTGGGTTCTAAAAGATGGAGTTGAGTTACGCCTGGTTCACACTGGAAGCGCCGCGCACAGAGTTTCGGATCGGCGCCCATGTTAACCTATGAGACTGTTCACACAGCTCGCGCGCGGAACGGCTCGCGCTCTGGAGCGCGGCTGCTCCACTTCTCTCTATTTTCGGCGCGAGCCGCGAGCGCCGATGTAAAGCTGGACAGAGCAGATCGGACCAGACAGGAAGTCGGAACAGGAGATGCGAGAGAATCCGGTCAATTTTCAAAATAAAATAAATTTCAATAAATTAGAAAAAAAGGATTCACGGTGTTGCTTGTCGGTCTATTTTTTACCGATGAACACACACACACACACACACACACACACACACACACACACACACACACACACACACACACACACGCACACACACGGAGGGAGAGCTGCAGAGATTCAGTTATTGAGAGAAAGGAGGGGGACTTTATTACGATACAGTCAATAGCCTCAAGCTAACAAGGCTATACATACAACGGAGTCAACAGACTCCCCGATTCATTCGTTGTTTACCCCTTTATAATAATTTAAAACAATACTTGAAGATGTTGCCAATATTTAATTTATGTATGACGAAATAAAAACGTAAATAAATATTGATTTACCCATTTTTAAAGCGCTCGTAAGTGTGGAAAACTGAGGGCAGACGGAAACGGCCGAGCACTGCCGGGCTCAGTCGATGCCTGACCAGCGTGTCAGAGCGCAGCAGAAAGCGCTTTCTGTGTGAACAGCCAAGCGCGAGCCGGCGCTGCGCACGCGCGCGCGGCACTTCCTGTGTGAACCAGGCGTTATGCTTCCCCACAGCCACCTACTATTTTTGCCAAAAGTAGGCAAACCAAAGTAAAAGGCCTCAAAAAGGTAGAACAGGTGGGGAGAAAACACAAAAAATCTCCTTATAGATCAAAACCTCACAAAAACTCTAGAATTTAACTTTCTTCTCTCAAAACTCAACCAACTCTCAAACACAGACCAAGAGAAACCAACTGAAGGTGTCGGGTCTGTGGTGTCACACCTCTAACTGAGTGAAAGAACCTCCTTTTTTAGACGACCCAGGATGATGAGCTCCAGCTGAGTGCAGTGAGGACAGGTGAGCTGAGAGAGAGGCTTGTTAGGTGTCCTGGAGGTCACAGACTACCTCCATCTGTAACAGACTCCATCTTTAAAAAAACTGCTGAGATAAAACTGCAGGTTTTAAGTTTGTTCATACAGGTGACATCTCTTTATCTGACACCCAGCGTAAACTCAGCAGGATTTATTGTATTTCCTGCTGAAACTTCCCCGTTTTCTTCTGATTAAATACATCCTGAACTGTTGATTGTTCAATAAAGCCTCACAATCCTTTCTTGGCTTGTCCGGTACTACATGTGCTGTCGAGGTTTGGCTTCCTCCCTAATAACATTTTGGTCGGAGTCCCTTTCAGATGGCTGTGAGCAGGGCTGGAGTCTCGCCAAGAGACGTCGATACGCCCCAGCTTTTAAAGATTGGTCTCATCGCTCTGGAGCTCTCAGTGAAACTGTTGATTACAGTAGCTTCACTCCTCCTGCGTGTGTGTGAGTGTGTGTGTGTGTGTGTGTGTGAGCGCAGAGGAGTGTCAGGATGTAAAAATAATGGGAGCTGCTGAGAAATAGGCTAAAAGCTGTCAAATAAGCTCCCTCATTCTGCCTCTTTTCTCTGCGTGTGCATGTTTGTTTAAACAGATTACGCTGCAGCCCAGGGCG